AGTAAGACTCTTAATTATTAGATTTATATAGTAATTTAATGGATGTTAGTAATCTAGAGATGAGATAAATTAATTAATTATTATCATATACGTATATTCTAACGTGTTGGATTAGTAAGCTGGCCAGATTAGTAAGCTGGCCACCCCACTAAGCCGCGCGTGACGCGTCCATCTACATTAATTTTAAAGCCGTAATAACGCTCTCTACAGCTTATAAAAGAAGGTAGGATTAATCTTACTATTGCCTCCTATTAATCTAATCCTACTTAATCACTTCGCCGCCTTACACTATCCTTTAATGTACCGTAATTAACCCTACAGACGCGCCTCCATGATGTTAAGCTAAAATGCGAGATAGTATTAGTTAATTAAAAGTTATCCCCTAGCGAGGAGTAGTCTCTTATTTAGTGGATCCTAGAGCTTAATTAACGAGGATTTCCACCCAAGATTATCAATGTATAATGGATGGCTGATCATCTACTTACTACGCGTAGCCAGGATCCTCCACCTCCGCCTGTAGGCCAGAAGTAGGCATCACGATTTATTAAGACTTAGCCAGAGCTGCAGACAAAGTGGGATAGGAAGCTATATAGTTAGCGCGCTCTATATAAGGATCCTATTAAGATCTCTACATGGTATACGCACGTAGAGGAGACGCGTAGGACATATAGTATACTAGATAAAGATACCTATAATTTTAATGAGATAGGATTTATAATGGGTGTAGGATCCTCCTTATCTAAGGTAGTAACTAGCGTAGACACTATGGGTAGAGCTGTACACGTATAGCCAGGTAATAGAGGCTAGGTAATAATAATTAAGTGTATCTACGTGTCTAGCTGGTCTATCCTACCCCTTATCATCCTATCTAGTAAGGTCTATTAATCTACCTGGTACAACGACCTACCTATAGGCTAGAAGCTTATAGTCAGCGATAATAGCTGGATGATAGATTAGCTAGGACTTACCTAGCTAGAGTACTTTAATTAGTATATAGAGTCTCATACTATAGGCTTATAGAGGCTCTTTATCCTAGATGGCCACAGTAGTCATGCTACTCTAGAGTTCACTTAGTACTATGTAGAATATAGGATAGTTAGCCTCTATATGCCTACGCACACGAGCCATCTACTATAGCCTCTAGATGTGAGCTGTTTCTCGCCACTCAAGGCTACATATAGACGTGAGGTGACTAAGCTAGCACGATAAGGAGTCTTTTATATAGATAAGGAGGAGTTTCTATCTATCTATCCACGCGTACGCAGGATAGTCTTTATAGAGAAGAATATCTAGAGTGATTTTTAAGTAATAGGACTTATCCCTCCCTATCTAGATCACGTTCTCTCGCACCTAACAGTAGTCAGGACCCCATTACTACCAGGGGTAGTAGTAGATGCTAAGGCTATATGGATAGCTGAGACGCCTCATACTACTTAATAACTAGAGAAGTAGGTACGACTCCTATAGAATTGCCTTTAGAAGTCCTTATAGAGCCCTATAAGTATTACTTTTGCCTAGCTTGTTAAGGGTTATTAGCTTATAATAAACTTAGTAACGCTCCTTATAGAAGAGAATAGGAGGCTATGGGTAACTAATTATTACTAGTGATAAAGGTAGGATAGGCGCAGATAGTATATTACAATAAGAGGAGCTCTAGAAGCTAATTAGGGGCGAGCTCTAGCTGCTATAGCTTATCTAGCTCTCGCTGAGGCTACTAATGCTAGATTAACACCTATACGCTAGCGCGCACCACCTACGTATAGTAAGTGCCATAAGTAAGGATATAGAAGGACTTAGTATAAGTAGTAATAGACTATCTATATATAAAATCTCATAGAAAAATATTATATTATTATAGAGATATCGCTGTTGAAGTACTACGCGGCTTAGTGGGGTGGCCAGCTTACTAATCTGGCCAGCTTACTAATCCAACACGTTACCAGCTTTTATTAGGTTCCTATTAACTATCCCTTGCTTTGGGGCTGGGTGTCTAGTAAGGGCTAATAGCTAGCTATCCCTACTACCTCCTACCCGGAGTACTATCTGTACCAAGGCAACTTCGTAGGCCCTTATCTAATAATAGTGAGATACTTAGTACACGCCCTTATATCTAATAAATATACTACTAGGGACTATAGCTAGAGGGGGAGATTCTGTAATAAGTAGATTATAAAGTTTATTATAGTATTATAGTATATAGTGCTAAGGCCTAATAGAGTCCTAGTATACTAAGTAAGTTGGCTATATATACCCTATACCGTACACTAGCTTTAGGGAAGTTAAATATTATTTACTTAATGCTATTAAGTTATCCTTTTACTATTAATCCTAGCGTAAAGTAAATACTATTGCCTATAGCTAGACCTTATATTATTAGTAGAGAGAGAGAGATTAAGTTCTCTTAGTAAGATGGTATATTTACTTATATGGCGCACTTACATATAAAGTACGTTATATAATTTAATTAAGTTTAATATAGATTATCTAGTTTACTAACTAATAGAAGAATATTAGAGAATAAAGATAATAATATAAACTAAGTAAAAATAAACTATTAAGGTCTTTTTAAACTAAAACTCTTATTACTTAGGTTTAGTATAAACAAACTAATTAAGTTTACGTAGATTAATAAGATATTTTAGGTAAATTAGTATAATGGTCCTACGTGGGTAGGTAGTCTAAATAGGTATAGGTTAGTTCTCTAGTAGGAGTAGAGTACTAAGGGTAAGGTATTAATCACGTAAGTTAATTACGTAAGACGATTAACGGGGTATTAGTATTATAGTCGTGAGAGTACAACTTAATAAGGCCTAAGTAAATTCAAATAATAGATTAATTATAAGGTCTAGCTATAGGTAATAGTATTTACTTTACGCTAGGATAGATAGTGAAAGGATGACTTAATGGTATTAAGTGAATAATACTTGACTTCCCTGAAGCCGGTGTGCGGTGCGGGGTATACGCAGCCAACTCGCTTGGCACGCTAGGACTCTATCAGGCCTTAGCGCCATATGCCACAACACCATAACGAACTTCACGATCTGCTCGTTACATTAATAAACAGGCTGAACACAGATATCATGAAGATATTGTGTTCCTTTATCTTGTCCCGCTCACTCTACTCACTGTAATCAGAGTAAGCGCTCACCTTGCTCACGGTGAGCATCGTGAGCAAAGGCTTGGTCGAGTCACGTGACACAGGGTTTCATCAGGCGCCTGTCCAGGAAAAGGAATTCTTGCCCAATCATACTTGTTCGGCTCGGATGCGGCCCTAGTCGAAACAATTTGTAAGATCGGCTTGCATCTTGAAGGCACGGCTGTATAACACTCTAAAGTTACAGCGACTTGCACTGATTCGAAATCTCTTGAAAGGAATAGTGTAGGCACTTCAAGGGGGGTGGAATGACCCTCTCTGCAAAATATCTTTGCGAACCACTCGATGAGCAGTTCAGCTGGCAATCAACCTATTGATTCCTAAAAACCCATGCAACCCTATTTCTCTGCAGTGCTATGAGTACCGCTCTTTCTGCCACCAAGAACACCTCGCAGCCGAAGTTGTGTCCTTCACTTTCCTGAAGCCCGTTGCATTGCTGAGCAGAAGCATCGAAGAGTCCTCTCCATACATGCTGATTTGTTCCACACCCTCTGCTACCGGAATCCCAGTCTTCGTGAACGACACGAGCAATTGTTGTAGCACGGTCGCAACAGTCCTATTCATAACCATGTTCACATTGACGTCTGAGATAGCGCCTCCGTCATAGTACTTGTACAAGTTGTCCATGCCATGGTAGGCTGGTGGCATTGCGAAGAGGTACGAATATAGTTTATTGTTGTAGGCATCTGCGAGGTATTTCGTGTTGCATGAGATGATGCTCTCTCCTATGATGGCAGAGGCGCGTTCGTACTCGCTCTTATATCCATAGGAGCCGTTAAAGATTGGTGGATACAATGTGTTCAAGATATGATCTAGCAATCTTAGCATTGAGTTGCAGTCTGAAGCGGTGGAGGCTCTTACCTCGCGATCTTGAGCTCATGTACGGGAATATGGTGACTAGGCTGGCCTGGAGAGCTTCGCTGGTGTTTATGTAGGGTGATGTGAAGAAATCTCCCTCGTGAGTGACCAAACTGTAAAAAACCTGAACGTTCTTGTCAAATCTTCCTTGAGCTAACAGTTGACTGGGAATCTCCGGCGTAAAGTCCCCATCAATGACAGGGCTGTACATAAAATTGCTGTATGTCGTGTTGTAGCCAACCATTAGAGAGTTGGCTCTCATGAAGTCTGCTTCGGAGACCTTTCGCAAATCGGCGATAGATGAGCTATTCGTTATATTGAGAAGTAGGCGATAGATCTCGTCCTGCTGCATTGTGGAAGTGATTGGTATCCATCCGGGAGATTGTGGCACTGCCCGTCGAAAAGGTACAGGCCCCTTCGTCCCGCCATAAGCAGTCATTTGGTGCATGATAGATCCTCCACCGGAGCTTTCTCCAAATAGCGTAATACGATCTTTGTCGCCACCAAACAAGTGGACATACTTTTGTATCCACTCCAGCGCGAAACGCTGGTCACGTAGGCCAAGGTTGGGGATACCGCCTTCGGACTGGTAAAGCGGGCCGCTGCTGAATCCCATCGCCCCCATTCTATGGTTTATCGAAATGTAAATGATATCGCTGTTAGTGATGTTCCTTGGATCACTCGCGGCGAACAAGCCAGCCGGATTTTCTTCCTTTGTGCCGAATACATAGCCACCTCCAGCGAACCATACAAGAACTGCAGCGCCGCGGCCCTTGCCAGTTGATTTAAGAACTTTCTCCGGAACAAACAGGTCGAGGAACAAACAGTCTTCCATTTCACGACGGTCCGGTGGCGCGAGGGGCAGATTCCAACTTGCTCCTAAGGGAACGTAGGGCTGAAAACATTCGTCGCACGGCGTTCCAAGAACGAGGCGTGAAAGCCACTTTTGCCCGAGGAAAAACCAGGCTGGCCCAGATTGAGGGCATCTCCTACCATCATTCCCATCACGGACTACGGTGCGATTTATCTCTGGATCTTTGGGGAGCCCGAATCGAATCGGTTTCGCAGAATATCGGATATTTGAGAAGTTGTAGAACCTTCCGGTCTCCTGAAAACCGGTTAATGTGACATATAAGAGTTTGGCTCGGTGATTGAATTACATTGAAATTCGAGGCTTGGTAAAGCTCATAACCCAAATCTATCACAGGTAAGATCTGGTTTGTCTGGTTTTCAGCTTGTCGGATATGGTACGCTGCTGTCGATGCTGCGAGAAGTAGGGCAGCTCCAAAGAGCTGCGGGATACCCATCCTAATAAATCGCTTTCAGATGCAGCAACAATGAACATCATTGTGTGCGAATCTTTCCAGCAGAGCTGCTCCAATATATATCCCGTGGCAATGCTGAAACGCAGACACATAGTCGCAGTGTGGTATCAGGTCCAATGGCAAAATTATGATCGACTCTATGCACCCAATTTAAAAGCTAATAACGTTTGGTGGATAGCCTCGTCCGCCACCGGCCAGATCCCATGGCAAGTGTCCTCGGCACTCGAGTACGGCTCTAAGGGTGCTTGAGGGGCGCATTCCCTTTATATGGCGGTCTAACAGCTCGTATCTGTTTCAGCAATGACCAGCCACTGTGCGGCTTCAGGATAGCACGTAGTCGTATTAATCTGTAGTACCTCCACCTTCCGAAAAGTAGGGTCCTATTTACCCAATCGCATGTGCCCCGCTCTCTCCAAGCAATCTGCACTCGAATTATCTGCGCAACCACTACCAGGATTCAGTGAACAGGCGCAACGCGATTTATCCTCGTGAAGACCCATACGGAGCGGCGGACCAATGCGCGAGAAATAATATATAGCTCACCTGCTTAGCTGGAGATTAGGATCGTACATTGAGCTAGCCACCGGGGCAAGTACGAATATGAATGTCAGATCGGTCTTCCCCCAGAAGCCCAGGAGCCCTCAGTCCTCAGAGTCTGGAATGTGCCTCACGGGCCTCGCCCCGCTCGTTTTCATAGTTACTTCCCCGCCTTTTGTACGCGCTTGGAGGGGTGTAGGGGTCCGAACTGCCCTTCCGGGCGTCAAACACCAGGCTCCGTCAGTCTCCATAACCTCTAACGCGTCCCACATTCCCCCAGGGAAGCTTTATGTACAGTAATAAGCCAGTATAGGACGTTAACCAAATCCATACCATACGAATATAAACATGTTTAAGATAGCGGCATATCTATCATAAAAGTATATACCTATTTACATTGAATTAGTAAGCATAGTTTATTACTCTCTAAAAGTAAGAGACTTCAATAACTTGCTTTTCGCACATACTGCCTTTGCTAGCGTCTGAATAGTACCACTCGCTAACACTTCAAGAACCTGCATAGTTGACTCGAACTCTCGCGTGATAAAGTTTCTTACGTCGATAGCAGTCAACGAGTCAAGAGCATAGTTTGAAAGGTTCCTTGTCGTATCCACTTCTTCCAATTCGAGGCCTAGAGTTTTGGCAATCTTGTCAGTTAGGCCATCACAGACTACCTGTTCGGCTTCTAGTAGCGATGCAGCATCTTTGACAGCAGCGTTCCAAGACACGGTCTTGCTACCAGCGTTGTTTTGAGCTGCAATTGCTTCGGCCGCAAGACGCATATCGCGGTACTTGGCGTCAGTAGCCCAGAACTGCATCTTCATAGGATCAAGCTTGACACCAGTGATGATGTGATTGTTGCAGCTCGATTCTGCAGTGCCATTGAGACATGCCTCCAGAAGAGACAAGACCTCCGACTCTCGGATATAGTTGTCGCCAATATTCCGCGCGATCTCATTGTAGAGATCAAGATTCTCGGACAGGTATCCCGAATCCAAGACGGCTGCTGGTCCGAGCGAGGCACCTGGTAAGCCAAGTGAACGACGGTATTGGGCGAAGGCGTCCATGAAGATGTTGGCAGCAGCGTATGCAGTTTGACCGCGACCACCCATTGCAGCGGCACACGAGGAGTACAGAATGAAGAAGTCGAGAGGTGTCGACGAAAGAGCATTGTGGAAGTTCCAGGCGCCGTGCACCTTGTTTTCGGTGATCTCAATCCAATCCGTGGGCGTCATCTTGGAAAACATCTTGTCCTGCACCGGGGTTAGCAACTATCAGATGAGAGCGCCAGGCAACACGTACGCGCAGAACCATGGCGGTGTGGATAACACCACGGATGGGTGGCAAATGGGCCAATCTCGCTAACAACGCATTGACCTCCTCTCGATTCACCACATTGCAAAGATGGACCACGACGTCCACACCCAATAGAGCCATGTCGTCAACGAGTGTCTTCACTTGCCCAGTGGCACTACCGCTCCTGGAAATAAGGACCACGGTGCGCGCTCCTTTCGTCGCCATCCACCTCGTCATACCACGACCTAAGCCACCGGTGCCGCCGATGAGAATGTAGGTTGCGTTTTCTTTGAATAATTTGATGATTTCCTTCGACGGCGTCATCTTTACCAAGTCATCTGGGCCCGGCACGACAATGGTTCTATTGCTGGATGGTGATGATCGAGCGGCTTTGAATGCCCTTGTAATTTCTGCCAGCGACACAATCGTTGCTCCTTCAGTGGTCCTCAGCTTGCCGTACTTGAGCGACTGGTTGACATTCTTGATAAGACGTCGGACAGCACGTGGCTTGTGTGTAGCCAATGTATGGATGTCGAAAGAAAGGAAGCTGAAACTTGACTTGTCGAGCTTGAGTTTGCTAGATGCATCGTTGACTTCAGCACGAACAAACCGCCCAAACTCTGCGATGCATTCCAGAGCTGATTGAATGCAAGATGTCGTTGCCTGAACGCTGAATACAACATCAACGCCGCGGCCATTCGTCGTTCGCCGAATGGAGGATGCCAATTGGTCATCTCCACTGTAGAAGATGTAGTCTTCTGGGAGATCGTATGCATCCATCAGAATCAGTTTGTCCTCAGCCGTCGCTACTGTTGCAAAAACGGTAGAACCCAGCGTCTGCGCGAGCGATACGGCTGCCTGACCTGCTGCGCCTGCACCATTCAGTACAAGCACAGTCTCCTCGTCCTCTAGACGCCCTAGCTCGATGAGGCCATAATGTGCAGAGCACTGGGCCAATGTCAAGCCTGCGGCATCCTCGAAGCTGATTTTTGAGCCGAGCTTCAGAGCAAAATCTGCCTTAGCTCGCATATAGGTGGCGAAAGCTGCGCCTGCAATGGCAGCAACACGATCGCCAACAGCAAATGCTTTGACGTCATTTCCGACCGCAGTAACGATGCCGCTGCATTCTTCGCCGAGACCCGTCGCCTCGATGCGGCCCATGGCAACCTCGACGTCTCGGGAGTTGAGTGCGACCGCCTTCACTAGAATTTCAATTTCGTCGGAACCGAGTGGTTGTTTTCGCAACTCATCGTCGGTGAAGAAAAGAGAGTCAAACATTCCTGGGGTCCGTATTGCCATTCTCAGAGAGCGCGTGCTGCCACCAAATTTGTTCTCCTCGACCTCAGGGGGAAAGGTACGCTTGTGAACGTAGTCGTTGATGACTTTGTCTTGGACAATCCTGGGCGTCAAGAACGCACCCCTGCGCTCCTGGAACTCCATCTCGACATTCTCCACGTTGGCTGCGCTCATCACTGTCTTGAAAACTTTGAGGATCGCGCGAATAGCAGCAGAATCTTCAAGCTTGTCCTCAGCGTCCAAGTCAAGGTTGGCAAATTTGTACATGTTCTCAGAGCGAATGGCACGACTGAGACCGACCACCATGCTGCCCGTAGGGTCACCGGCTTGTCCATATGCACCCCGCGTCACCCACAGCATGCCATAAGAATTCTCAACAATAGTTTGGAGAGCCTTGAACTGGGCTTGTGTGAGCGTCGGTAAGATGAACTCGTCAAGCTCGGTAATGCAGATGAGCTGCTTGTCCATTGCGTCAATCTCTTCGAGCAAACCCATGTCTACCTTGGCATTGTTGGGACCCTCAATTGATGCTGCGAGCATACGTGCAAGCTCGACCTGTGCCGATGAGGAACCGTGGATGATGCAGATTGGTGTGGCTGGCGTAGCGGTATCATTGCTCATCCCATCAGTTTGTGGACTGTCCACTCTGATCTGTTGATCCAGGACAAGTGGCGCCAATATCGGTTCCCAGATTTGCTTGAAGCAAAGCTCTCGGGCCGCCTGAATATTACTGTCCGCTTCGTCTGCGGGAAGTGGCGCAATGGTCAAATCCTCGATGCCGATAAGAGTCTCTCCGTTTGCAACAGCAAACATGGAGACCTTGCTTGGCTTCTGGATTGACAGTGGGTTGTGTGCTATGCTATAGGCACGCAGACTCTGGCCAGGTGCATTTGCCTGCTCCAGGACCTTCCAAGATACAGTCAGCTTGCCGATGGATGCAGGAAGACAGATAACACTAAGAGAAGATCGTCCAGCTCCAAGAATCGGCCAATACATCTGAATAAGCTGTTCGAGGAATGAAGGATGAACAATGTGCTTGGTCTCGAAGTGTTCGGGCATATCAGTAGCCGTATCGGTAACCGTGATATTCGCCGCCGCCCGTTTGTCATCTGCACGACATTCTGAAAGACCTTGGAAAGTGGAGCCGTAAGCGACGCCCATTTTTGCAAGAGCATCATAGATCCGCTCTTGAGGCACTAGAGTTCCCGCCTTCTCAATCTCTGCAATCTGTTGAGCGATGGACGCTGATCTGCGCTCGAGCTGCCGCTGGCCGTCAACTTCGTTGAGCTCGTTTGTTTTCACTGTAACTGTGCCAGTGCAGTTTTCCGTCCATCCTTTTCCAGCTAAATAGGAATAGATTAGGAAGTTGCTCGTAATCTGGGTCAGGCCGACATCCGCAGCCTGAGGGGAACGCAGAGTAATGGTCATCTCGACGTCTCTCCCAGGAAGTATCAATGGTGTGTGGACATTCACATCATGAAGCTCAATCTGGCCAATCGCAATACCCTTCAACTGTGCATGCTGGACTGCCGCCTCGACGACCATGCCAACGAAACCAGAGATAGGGAAGATTGTTAGAGACTGAATTTTATGGTGGCGAAGCCAGGGCAGGTCGTCTAGGCGTATGATATTGCGCCATGTTGGCTCGAGGTCATTCGAGTAATTTGCGAGCGTACCAAGGATATCGTGTCTTGGGAATGATCGATTCTTATGTAACTTGGCGATGCGGGACTCGTGCCAGTATGTGGTTGTGTGATTCCATGGGTATCTGGGAAGGTCAATCAAAAGACCGGGCTTCTTAACCGTCTTCGGGAAGTTGACGTTGGCCAAGTCAACAGGAGACCCTTTACAGAACAACATTGAAGCGAGGTCTAGCATCGTGTTCACCGCATCTTTCTTTCTAACAAGAGAGGTTGCATAGGGAATCTTGACCGCTGCGCCTCCCACGACGTTCAATGTCTGCTTGACGGGGCCTTGCATGGCCGAATGTGGGCCAATCTCAACGATCATATCTACACCTGTCGAGAAGTCTCCGGTAGGCGAGACCAGATGGGTGAAGGCCTGGGCAAATTTGACCGGGTTTGTCAAATTACGGACCCAGTAGCTAGAGTCGAGCTCGGAGTGGACCGCTTCTTTGCCGGTCAATGACGAGAAGAAGCGAACGTCAGACTTATCTGAGGATGGTAGCTCCTTGATCGAGGCAAAGTAATCCTCCGCGATCAGCTCCATGTGATGAGAATGGTACGCCGTCTCGATGACCAGTCGACGGTTGAAGATCTGCTGGTCCTCGAGCATCTGCTGCAACTCGGCAATTGCTGGTGTATCGCCAGACATTGTCAAGCTCTCAGGGCTGTTGTAGCAAGCTATTCGCGCTTCTCTTTGAGTTAGCTGCTCGAGTAGTGGATCGATCTCCTCCTTTCCGCAACCAATCGCCATCATAGTACCCTGCAAATCGGGATACCTCTCCTTCAGAACAGGCACAAGTCGCCCTCTGTGGTAGGCAATCTGCATTGCTGAATCAAATGACAAGATCCCTGCGGCGAAAGCAGCAGCAATCTCTCCAGAAGAATGCCCGACGACAGCGGTTGGAGTGACACCCCACGATCTCAGCAATTCAATCAAAGCTAGTTGGATTGCAGTGCACGCCGGCTGGCTGATATGCGCTTGGTTGATTCTAGTCGTCTTCTCATTACGACTTAATTCCTCAACTAGCGAGTATAGTGCGCCGAGACTGGTAAGCATAGCGTCTGCTTTATCGATGGTCTGAGTGAATATTGGGTAGCTCTCGTAAAGTTCGCGACCCATGGCCCACCACTGCGCACCCTGACCGGTACAGACAAACCCGATCCTTGGCGCCCCAGTTTCCTTGACAGGGGTGAAATTGCCCAGTGTTATTTTCGTGCTCAAATCGAAAGCTTCTTTAGCTGGGATGGCCACCCTCCAGGGCATAAGAGACCTTCGCTGTCCCAAGGTGTATGCGACATTACTCATCAGATCCCTTTGGAACATCTCCGGTCTCTGCTCGAGATAAACAACCAAATTGCTCATGATCTTCTGGCACGCAATCTTGTCGGCTGCAGAGAAGACGAACAGCTTCTTGGTTGGGTCCTGCTTCACAACTGAAACTGCGCCGCTGGTGATGCGCATGGGTGCTCGCTCCATTACGACATGTGCATTGGTTCCACCGAAACCGAAGTTGTTGATGCTGGCATACCGCTTGCCTTTTGGCCATAGGACTTGTCGAAGAGGAACTTTGAGGCCCCACTCTGCGAAAGGAATCTTTGGATTTCCTTTCTTGAAGTCATAATTTGGCAGAATAAACCTTCTGTCTAGGCCAACAGCGACCTTAATCACCGCCAGAATCCCAGAAGCGGATTCTAGATGGCCGATGTTGGATTTAACCGAGCCTAAGTAGAGAGGGTTGCGCAACGACCGTCCGCTAAATACTTTGTGGAGCGCAGTCACTTCGATCGGATCGCCGACACGAGTGCCAGTACCGTGTGCCTCAACGTAGCCTGTTTGCGCAGGGTCGAGACCAGCATCATGGTACACCCTTCGCATTAGTGTTTCCTGGGACTCGCCATTCGGCATCGTAATACCAGGAGTGTAACCGTCCTGGTTGACGCCGCTCGCCGAGATAACAGCTCGAACATAGTCGTTGTCTTTGAGAGCTTGGTCGAGCGGTTTCAGTAGCAACATCCCACATCCCTCGCCACGACCGTATCCGGTTCCTCGCGCGTCGAAGGAATATGACCGACCTTCATTACCCATGAGTCTAGAATTTGCATTAACACTATTTTGAGACCGTATTTCGTCGGTATGATTACCTGGACGTAGAATAGTTGATGAAATACTCGGGTATTAGATTAAGGTTACAGCCACCGACCAAGGCGACCTCGGATTCTCGATTTCGAATGCTCTGGCAAGCAAAGTGAACAGCAGTCAAAGAAGACGAGCAAGCAGTGTCTATTGTAACACTTGGACCTCTCCAGTCGAAGAAATGACTGATTCTGTTCGATTGCATGGCCAAATGGTTCCCTAGCCAAGGTCAAAGATGTAAGTGAAGAAGCATGTGTATCAACTCACCAGTAGCTTGGAACATCGGCATAGTATCTGAATCTCTGAAAAGATCGAACTCGTACTCTGGCGAACCAGCGCCCATGAACACACCAATGTCCTTGCCGACCGTTGCGTGCTTCTGGACGCCCGCGTTGTCGAGAGCCTCGAAAGCACATTCTAAGAGGAGCCGCTGTTGAGGATCCATTGATGTCGCTTCAAGCTCAGTGATGCTGAAGAATGGTGCATCGAACTTGGTCATGTCCCGCTGGATGAAGCTGGCTCCGTTGGTGTTGATGCATCCAAGTTTGCCAGCGTTCGGATGGTAGAAACTTGCATTATTGAATCGGTCGGTCGGGATCTCGGGCGAGAAAGCGCTTCTTCCTCTAGACAACATCTCGAAAAACTCATCGGGTGTGGCAGCCGAGCCTGCACGCACCGAGATGCCAATGATGGCGATGGGCATGCCCGCGTTTGGGTTGGCTTCACCGTATGGGACCGCCGTCTTGAAGCCATTGAGGGGATTCGAGTACTCACTTGTCGGCGTGGCAATGGATGGAGCCCAGGAGTGTAAGTCATTAATGTCGTTGACCAAGTGACCATTGACGCCGTTCGGAACAGGGACATCATCGTTGAGGTCATGTCCATTTGCCTGAGGGGCATCACTCTGGTAATCGCCATTGGGCTGAGGAAGCTCGCCATTGCTGGAACCTTCGTTCAGCTGCTGAGGCTCTTCATTGTGCATGGTGCTGTCCTCAGACCGCTGTTGGGGAACTGTCGGACTCGGTACACCAGAGAAAAGCTGATATTGTTGCGAATCTCCCTTGTGTGTCGTGATCAGACCGGGAGCCATGGTCGCTCAGCTGTAGGACCTTAGAAATGAACGGAGACGATCATGTCGCATGCAGAGTAGAGCTGCAAAGCTGGGCGCATGGAAAGGATAGAGTGAGTAACAACGAAGGTAATGACGCTCTTTTAGTTTGTTCGTTTATCCATTTTTCGCTACTGTCGAGTTTGGAGCTTCAGTACACATCTCCGGCCCGTCTGGACCGTTTGAAATTCCGGGTTGAAGCGGCATGGATAGGCATTCCGGCTGGCCGATCAACGAAATATGGCGTTAAAACAAGCCCAATTAACTTCAGATTAAAGAGACACTGTCCGTTCTGGTCTGGCTACGCGGGTTTCGTAAAGAGTTACAGGAGTGTTGCAAGGCTATTGGTCTATGCAACCTAAGGCAGAATGGTAGCGGAAGGCTCGGGTAGGAAGCTTATCTACTAAGTTGGATTGACGCGCGCGGTTGGTCGAGATGGTCTTGACGATCCTGCTATGGAGCCGATAATTCCTCGGTTTAACGCTCTTGCATACAAAGTAGCATGCAGCGGCCATTACAGACTTCAAGGTTTTCTCGGTTCTGAACCCCTGCCTATTCATGGGAGTGTTACAGCCCATAAACTGGTTATAAAAGCAAATGAGGGTCATAACTAGGAGGAGATAGTTCGGTATCACGGAATCAGGTTTCGGCAAAACCATCAACGTATGCGATATCAGCCATAGGACCTTATAGGTCCTGCTGTAAAGCTGCCCTGGTCACAACTTTACACCTAATTAGGTCAGAAATCTACTATAATCTCCGTAAGTACTTTGTCCCTGGTGCTTGTCAGTCTCTGATGCGGCAACAGGCTCGGGGGTGATAGTATTGGCCATTCGTCCGACTTTGTCATGGCCGAGTGCAACTCCCGACATCACGTCCTCCACATCCCGGCCAAGAAAAGGTTCGTTCGGGCCATCTCGGACGATTGACTTCAAATTGTGTGGCTTTCTTGTGTTATTATGGCAATTCCAGGAGAGCCAGTGTCGACGTAGTCAGGGCCGGGTGTAGCAAAGCCGAACACTTTAACTTCTCACGAGCATGCTGCAGAAGACGTCTGTAAATATACCATCTGCTTGACCTTCACGGCAATTGTGGCCGTAACACCGCCACCGCCCAAACTTTGACCACTCTTTTCGAGATGCCTACCAGGTTCCTGTGCCTTGCAGGCGCTTTTGCCAATGACGAAGTAGGTTAGCCACACTATGGCTTAGGTACGTCATATCTAACGCGATCGCAGAAATTCAAGGTGCAGATGGGTAGGTACGAACAAGCCGCTCTGTGTTGGTACTGACCATGCCGAAGCGCCTTTCATCAACGAGATGGAAAGTGACGGCACTGCTGACTTTTACTTTGCTCATGGCCAGCATGAAGCGAACCCTCCGCCGGGGTTCGAAGAATTCTTCGGAGGGCCTCCATTCTACCGCTGGATGGAACAAGTTCAGGGCCCCGTGGAGCATGACGGCCTCGAAAAGATGCGCGACTTTCCCCAGGGTGCGTCTCCCGAAGACACATTGCGGATGTTTGCCCCCATTGGCTCGTCGGAAGCTCTCGCTACAACCGCCTCCCAGGCACTAGACTATGTGAAAGGCATCATCAAAGAACACGGCCCCTTTGAGGCCATTATTGGGTACTCGGAAGGCGCCATCCTTGCAGGGACGGTAATCATGCGTGAGGCAGACTGGAGTGTACAGGGTGACTACAAGAACCACTTCAAGCTCGCTATGTTCTTCGGCGGATGGCCACCGCTCAAGAAGGACCTGACTGGGTTCATGTACAGCGACGAGACGGACGAAGTGATCCCAATACCTGTATGCAACGTTAGTAAGTGCCGCCCCCCCCCCCCCCCCCCGGGGGGACCATTTAAGCCGCAAGAAGATGGGCTGATCAAGCGATGCGGCTTAGTCGGCTCGCTGGACCCTTACGTAGACGGCTCAATGGCCCTCTACAACGTCTGCGACCCGGACACTGCAGTACTCTTTGATCACGCGAAGGGTCATACGCTACCCCGCACCAAGGACACGGTCAAGGAGCTCGGCGACACCATTCGAGACATGATCCGTGAGGTGCGTGAGCGCGAGCAGGAGCAGTAAATGGGGTGATGGTGATGGATGGTGGAGAGGGTGGGGAGTGTCTACAGAGCATTGGGCGGGTTTAGCCTAGCGTTTCTATACCGATACCGTGCCTTGGCACGCTACCGGTATGCGCAGCGTCGCGTCTTGCGCAACCCTGACATAATCAACACCAACTTTGACACGCCGCATCTCCACCAATACGGATCCAATTGAGGCCGCGATAGCAGCAGTTGACTCGCTATAGCCAGGAGAATATTTTTCATAAAAAAAATTAGCAAAGGACTTCAGTATTGTGCGATCTACATTGATTCGAAGGCATAAAGCGATATGCCTACCCCGCGCAACTGCCTACAGAAACCAACAAAATCTCAACCAACAACAAGAAGTAGAGCTTCTACGATATATTAAACAGCTTACCGAACGTGGCCTTCCTCCTACACGGCAGATGATACAGAGCTTTGCCTCAAATATAGCCAAAAAGCAAGTCTCGATGTCCTGGGTTGATCGCTTTAGACGGCGGAACAAGGAATCCTTGATATCTCAATAGACGGCCGGTATCGACAACAATCGCCATGAAGCCGATTCCTTAGCCAAATATAAGCTCTACTTCGAGCTTCTACAGCATAACATTGAGGAGTATCAGATTGAGGCTCGAAATACGTACAAGATGGCAGCCGCGAGTGGATTTCAGCCATAGCCTGCATATGCGCTGACGGATCTGCCTTGGCCCCAGGCCTCATCTATCAGGCCACCTCTACAAACATACAATCGAGTTGGGTAGAGGATCTCAATCCTCAACACCATCAGGCCTTTATCATAGTATCAGAATCTGGCTGGAGCAACAATTAGATCGGCCTTGCATGGCTGCAGCAGGTGTTGAATCGGCTCACAAAGCCAAAAGCTGGACGATCATATTAGCTATTGATCGTTGACGGCTATGGATCTCATATCACTATGGATTTTGTCGACTTTTGTGATCGCAATAGGATCCTGCTAGCTATCTATCCACCCCATTTAATATATACGTTGCAGCCTCGCGATGTCTACATCTTTAAACCTCTATTAATAGCGTGTTCAAATAAGCTATTAGTATTTATGAATAATAGCCAGGGACTGGCCTCAATTGCTAAGAGAGACTTCTTTAGCCTATTCTGGAAGGCCTAGGTCAATATAATGAGGCAGCTATTGATACTCTGGGCCTTTAAAGCTATAGACATCTACCTACTCGATCCAACAACTATACTTAATAGATTTGATCAGCCTCAGACAACTAAGTAAGACTTATAGGAAAGATTGATAGGCTACTAAGGGCTAATATTGTCACGAGAGCAACGAGTAGAGACGTCTACGGCCTCGTAGGCTAGACTGATATTACTGCGTTCGGTATCTATATGTAGGTACAAGACGTTGGATAAGGAGAAAAGGTCCTCCTCCCCTTAGCCAACGTGGATCTATCATCTCGCTTCGTCGCGTGCCCTTACCAAGGGTAGCTAGCGCCATGATTCGACCAATCAGCTAGCAGACGGGTCACCCGTGTGCTGTTCTATTGGCTGGCTGCCAGCGCGCGACACCTCTGAGATATACTGCTGGCAGCAGTATATCCATGCTTGTCAGGTAGCCTGGGGTTACCGTGACACGTAGAGGCCGAATTATCAAGACACTAAGCTGATATTGATGATCTGAGTACCTAGCAATTATCTTTGGGCCTAGGAGGCCTCAACTTCAGAAAATCTCGTGATATTATTGATTTTGGCTGTCTCTATAGCCTCATGTTTGTGGCCGAGCGATCATGTCGGGTTGTTGCATGGACTGACGCGTTGCACGGACTGCCAAGCTACGTTACGCCGGGTGATTCTAGATGGTTTTCCATACAGATGAGAAATACGTAAATTAGGTATGTCTGAACAAGCATTCATGAGTATTGACCCGAGTGGGTGAACAGGCGAATCGGCAATTAAAGCCCAGACAATTGAGCCGTGGGCGTGAGGGCGGATCGGCGTTTCGGAAAACCCAGACGCTGAGGATCTGCCGACATTAGCGGCCGTTGAGGACATGCCGGTCACCCAGTGCAAACAATCCAGACGTCCTAGCCAACCCACGACAATAAACATCACATTATGCGCCTGGGCTCTCCAATCTCCCCACCTAGGCGGGTCCTGGCCCAGTCGAGAGCACGCGGGATGTGGGGGCGCAGGGCAGCTGCGCAATTCAACCATAGTACCGCTATACACATTTTCCATGTCTCAATACTTACACTGTGCAATATACGCATTGATAACGCAAATCGAAAACCACGTGCCGAGTGCTTCCGTCTTTGCAATCAGCCATGCGTAATGAGCTTGTGCATATGCGCAGTCTGCTGCTGCGCGCGCTCGTCCTATCTACAACGACTACTGCCTCGTACCCTCCTTGATGCTCGAGGCTTGGCTGCGAGCTGCCAAAGGCGTAATCCAAAATAACCTTCGTCCTTGAGAGAGGCCAGGTCAGAGGTCAATCACCATGAACCAGGGCATCAAGAAACTGCGCGAGTACTGCTCGTCGATGCAGCAGTTCTTTGTGAGTCTTTCCAATCCGCGTCAGACAGCGCCGAAGACTGATTCTAAGCAGAGGATCTTCTCCTACTCGACGCCTATCGACCGACTGTGGCTCGTCATTGCTGCACTATCCTCTGTGGCGACTGGCACCACCATTCCATTAATGAACATCATCTTCGGTACGTTTTCTGTCATTTTTGTAGTCTCATCTTTCTCACTTTGAGACAGCAAGACTGGTCAAAGTTTTCACGGCTTTCTATGCCCGTTACTACACGGGGTGGACTCCAGAGCGCTTTCGTGAAGAGATCGCCAAGAACGTGTACGACTTCAAATGCTCGTGCGAACGCAGCATGCGCTAACCTGTTTCTCAAGATTATGGACGATATACATCTTCGCAGCAAGGCTAGTGCTTGACTATGTCGCTGTGGTACGCACTCTTACCCTGGTTGGCCGACTACACTGACTTCTGGTAGCTCGGCTTTCGGCACACAGGCCTTCGCACATCTGCGGCTCTGCGACTCAAGTACATGAGGTGCTTGATGGCACTGCCGGTATCTAAAATAGACGCTGTGCCGCAAGGCCACACAGCTGTTGTCATCACCATCACTGCCAGTCTAGTCCAAGATGGAATCTCTGAAAAGCTTTGCTTGCTCATCCAGAACGTTTCTTTGGTCATCTCTGCAATCATTGTTGCTTTTGTGTTTAGCTGGCTGCTTGCTATCGTCACCATCAGCGGGCTGGGCTTCGTGCTCCTTGTCTACATTTTCAGCATTTACTTCATCACCAAAAGATGGAACCTCGTTGCTGAGGCAGACAAGGAAGGAGTTGGTACCGCGAGCGAAGCTCTGAGCTCAATTCGGATGGTTGCAGCATGCGGTGCTGAAGATAAGGTGACGGAGACCTATGGCAAGTCAGTTAAGAAAGCTGCCAAGCATGGGCAGAAGATGTCCATTTGGATCGCTTTACAGTCGTCACTAGGCAAGTACACCTCCATATTATCATCCAGCCACCAAGCTAATACTTCGTAAAGTCTATTTTGCTGTATACGGGTATGTTACCTTGGGCCTAGCGATGTGGCACTGCCTTTTGAACTAATCATTCTTAGGACTGCTGCTCTCTGCTTCTGGTGGGCCGTGCAGCTGTATATGAGACAAATTATTAAAGACGTTCAAGTGATTCTTGTGTAAGTCCCACTCAGTCAACCGTAGCCATTCACCTTTACTTACCACAATACAGCGTCATCACATCCATCATGACCATTGTCATGTCGGTCGGTGGCATCTCAGCTCCCCTCGGAGCGGTGAGTCGAGCTGTTGGGGCTGCTGCCATCTTCTATGCTGTTATTGATGCACCAATGGCAAAGGCCAAAGAGTTGAAGGCGCCAGAAGTCTCGGCGACGGACGATATTGTCCTGAACAAAGTGAACTATACCTACATGGCACGGCCTCAAGACAGGGTACTACACAACATCAGTGTCACATTCAAAGCCGGAAAGACCACGGCCTTGGTCGGTCCATCTGGATCGGGGAAGAGTACTATCGTTGCCCTCATAGAACGTTGGTTCCAGCTCAGCGTTGCGGATCATGAGGAAGACTATGTAAGTCGAACCCTGACACCATGCATCCGAGAAGAGTTTCTGAAATCCCAAAGCACAACATGCTGCGTAATGGTACGATTACCGTGGCCGGACATAACATTGAAGAGTTTGATCTGAAGTGGTGGAGGTCACAGATTGGCCTTGTACAGCAGGAGCCATTCCTTTTTAATGGCACAATCTTCGAAAATGTGAGCTATGGCCTTATCGGTACGAAATGGGAAAACGAAACCGAAGTCAAGAAAAGACAACTTGTTGTACAAGCCTGCGAAGATGCCTTCGCGCACGACTTTATCTCGCGCATGCCATGCGTAAGCGAAACCCCTTCGACGTCTCACTTAGCTCGCTGAACATTATCTGCAGGGTTATGACACCGTTTGCGGTGATGCAGGCATACACCTCAGCGGAGGACAACGCCAAAGGATCGCCATCGCGCGCTGTATCATCAAGAAGCCCACAATACTCATTCTCGACGAGGCCACGAGCGCCATTGATGTTCGTGGCGAACACATAGTGCAAGAAGCACTTGACCAGGCAGCAAAGGGAAGAACTACGATTATAATTGCGCATAGGCTGTCCACCATCCAAAGAGCAAATAACATTATTGTGCTCAAGAACGGCATGGTGTCCCAACAAGGCACGCACGACAAGCTGATGAAGAACAGAGCAGGTCTGTATTACAAGTTGGTGAAGGCGCAAGTTCTCACCAAACATGACGAATCGCAGAAGACAGAGACAATTGATACTTCCATAGAGCTGACGGAGATCTCAAATGCAAAAGACGAGCCAGACTGGAGTGCCACCGACGGTAGCGAACACCCATCAAAGCGGGTCAAGCGAAAGACGTTCTCCAGGCTACGGCGAACCATCCGCACCTTCATGCAAATTATAAGTGAACAAAAAGGCAACTGGTATCTGTACGTTATGATACTTTTTGGCGCTGCCGGTGCTGGAGGTAAGAGGCATAACTCCTCCCATGTTGATGAAAACTGATCGTGTCAACCCTTTAGCCGCTTTTCCACTACAGGCATATCTGATTGCGAACCTGATATCCCTCTTCGCTTTTTATGGGGAATTTCTTCGCGAAGCGACCAATTTCTGGTGTCTCATGACCGTTGTACTTGCCATAGGAGTAGGAATTTGCCACTTTGTCCTCGGTTGGGCGTGCAATACTGTATCCTTCGTAAGCCATGCCTTCCGCAACGGGGAACGTCGCACTGACCGTCTACAGCGTATCATTGCTTCGTATCGACACCAATACTTCCAAAACATACTGAAACGGCCGATCGAGTTCTTCGACGAGAAGGACAACTCAACGGGTGCACTAAGTGCCCGTATTGCGAACGATCCGGCCCAGGTACAACAAGTCTTAGGCGTCAACGCGGCATCAATCATGACCTGTGTCTTCAACGTAGTAGGATGCGTCGCGATATCCTTCTACTTTAGCTGGAGGCTATCTGTTGTCGTCGTGTTCTCCACAACACCCATTATGCTCATTGCAGGCTTTATGCGTGTACGATATGAGCGCAAGTTCGAGAAGATGACTTGGCTAGTATTCAGCGAGAGCTCCAAATTCGCCATCGAAAGCATCGGCGCGTTCAGAACAGTTAGTGCGCTAACGATGGAGGACAGTATCTGCAACCGATACGACCAGCTCCTGTGCAAGCATGTGAATGACGCGTTCTGGAGTTCCATTGGCTCAACTGCGGTCTTTGCATTCAGCGACAGCGTTTCATTGCTGTGTACGGCGTTTGCGTTGTGGTACGGCGGCAACCTCCTTGCGGAGTACAAGCTGTGGCCGTTCAATTATTGTGAGTACGAACGCGCCGACGCCGGAACTTAGCTGATCGTTACTAGTGGTCGTATATCTTGCCATCGTACAAGGCAGTTTAGCTGCAGGCCAATGGCTAAGTTTTGGAGCTAGTGAGTACCGTCAAGACAACATCTGTCCGAGAAGGTGTCTCATACATCGTAGACATTGCGCAAGCCATAAGTGCAGCTGAGCGCATTCGCGGTATGCGACCTGAGCACGATCGTCACCCCAATGCATTCTCTATAGAAGAAAGCGGGCAGTGGACATTACCTGGGCTGCATTTTGAAGACGAAAAGTCTATGAAAGGTCCAAAAATCGAGTTGAAGAATATTTGGTTCAAGTACCCCACAAGAGATGTTCCAGTGTTGCGGGGGTTGAACATGACTGCAAGTTTGAGATCCTAAGTGCTTGGCAGGTTGCTAACATTTTTACAGATCGAGAAAGGACAATTCGCCGCGATTGTTGGGCCATCGGGTGCGTACACTTTGTAACATTGATGCGAAGGTATCTCTAACAAATGAATGAGTACAGGTTGTGGGAAGACTAGCATAATAAGCCTCCTGGAACGGTAAGCATCAGCCGTACACCTCGCCCATAAATCGTGCCTAACATATTCCAGCTTCTACACACCGCAGTTTGGCGAGATCCTCATGGACAACAAATCCATTCACAGACTTAACCTTGAACAATATCGCCGCATCCTCTCCCTTGTTGCGCAAGAGCCCTCCATCATTGCTGGCACCCTGCGCGATAACATAACCATGGGTGTCGCTGACCCTACTACCATTACAGAAGACGATCTCGACCGCGTGTGTACTTCCGCAGAGCTGTATGACTACATCGTCTCACTACCCATAACCTACAACACCCTTGTGGGACAAAAAGGTGTCGCTCTGTCCGGTGGTCAGAAACAGCGTTTGAGTATAGCACGCGCGCTAATACGCGATCCACGGCTCATATTACTGGACGAAGCGACGAGCAACCTAGATAGTGAGACTGAGAAGAGTATTCAAAAGATCTTCGAGAAGACGGGCAAGGGCCGCACGATGATCGTCATCGCTCATCGTCTGGCCACGATACAGAATGCCGACGTCATCTTCGTCATGAGTGAAGGCGAAGTAGTAGAGAAAGGGACACATCGAGAACTGCTAAGAAAGAAGAGCACGTATTGGCAGATGTGTCAGATGCAGGCTCTGAGTACATGATTGATGAATGTTGGCAATTTTTTAAGCAATAGTTTAGCTGTTAGCAAGGCTAAGGGTCACTCCTATCGTAGTATAAGATCTGCTCATTTTGCTAAGCATTCGTAGAATAGCTTACCAAACCCTTTCTCCTAGAGGTAGGAGGCAAATCGTCTTCGTCCGCATCCTCAATGTAAACTCGCCTTTTTAGTGCAGTTGCTAGCTTGGGATACGGGGCCTGAGGGGATAGCAGACTGCCATGCGGATCTTGAATCTCTTCAACTAGCTACTATACAACAACAGATAAGCTTCTAACGAAAATACGCATAGTAGTGTTACTACCCTAACATTGCATCGCTTTACTACCTGTTCCCTCTCTAAGCGCCTAATATACTTTATAGAGAGTCTTATCCTTAATAATGTTAAGGGAATCATCTAACCCTTGTGAAATTACTAGATAGGAAGGCAGGGAAGCAGGAGACAAGTGGGAGCGAACGAAACCAGGCGACAGGTACGTCTTTTATCCTCTACCCTGCTACAGCAGCTAAAAAAGCAAGGCACATTTAACCGCACTGATATAGACGTAGACCCCTTCGTTTATGCATATCCCTTGCACCTACTAACCCTCTTAAAGTTATAGAGAAAATAATCCTACGGTAAGTGCTACCAGATGCGGGCGGCTGAATGAAGAGACGGATCCATAACGCCCCATCCATGAGTGAGCCTGGCAATACAGCAAGCTAATTAACGTTAGCTACCATGGGGTAGATCTCGCTCCAGTAGATTGGCAAAATGCCTCTGTTGATTGAGGATAGTTGGGGCGGAGGCTGTAGGGCAGCCTACGCCACGCGTGCTATTAAAGCTCTGCAAGACGATCAGACACCTTATAGCAAGGTTGAACTGATATTTTTCTGATTGGGCGAGAGGGTCAATGTTAAATGTGACTAGAATCCCCAAGAGATTACCTAAAGCGACAGCTGAGTTTACCTTCATAATAAATCCCTCGCGGTCGGGTGGACAAAAGCATAGGATTAAGACATTATTAGTGCTAGCACAGCTAGGGTCTTGACTAGCTGTTAGCTATAGTCTAGAATTAAGTTGGATCTATAGACACAGTGGGTATTATAGAAGTAGAGATAATTGCCACTAGAAGAGCAAGAATAGTAGACGTGCGCATTTTCAATTAAATAGCATGGTGTAGTTCTAAAAAGCTGGGAATGAAATATTCAAATACTTAAACGTGCTAACTCTTTCTAAAATTAGTCGTGTAGTTAGGATTAAAGGGGACCACTATCTGAAGCATAGAACATATCGCCATACTACTATAGGGCTTGTTTTGGTACCCGGTGGGAATAGTTTGGTCCTGATCCAACTCATGCGGCCGCATTGATTAAATTTACTTTCATTAAATGGAGTTACTTATAAACCGTCTTCTCCTTTAACTTGTAGCGAAATTTTCGTCTGACTACTATTAGTAAAGCTATAGTTAAGCAAGACCTTATTTAACGCTTAGCTTAGTTTCGTAAGATTGCTACTAAGAGTAGCGTAGGGAAAATCTCAAACGTACCTATGGGTGCTAATGACTCCACTTTACGAATACACACAGCGTTAAAGGAAGCCTTCGGTTTTTAGTCTAGTACCTTACATAATTGTATATTATCGAATTACTAGGAAACTACTATATTCTATAAACTAATTCCTAATAAAGAGTCCTTCCTATAGTAGTTATAGCTCTTATATAGTGTATCGGCTCAGGTTAAGTAAAGTATTCGTTTGGGATCCGGGAGCACTCAGAGGCATATGGGAGTGCGTAATGGCTCGTATGGGTACTCGAATAAATTGTTACCTATAGGCCTGGTACGAAAAGGATAGTAGAAAACTACTGAGCTACACAGTACCTAGCTTGGTCTATATACTTTTTGTCGATACAGTTGGCCAGGGTATTGTCTACCGGCACCCCTCCGTAAGTGTTCCTTGGTCGCCCAGGGAACTATTCCAAATCGTCTGAGTCTTGTAGTCCAACCAGCCGCTTGACATTTGTCGTGCCGGATGGTCGTGGGCCAATTGGGGGTCCGATAGTGATCCGATAGTTGCGCAAGAATCACCGAAATTAACGCCGGACCCCTTTCGGTTCCGAATCGGATGACTTGGTGCCCTTTCCCGAGTCTCGATTTTCCGAAGCATTGATCTCGGGGTCACGAGTTTCCGTCGGTGCCGGCCCCGGGTCGATTCGTATGTGATAGCAACGTGTAACTCGTTACATCAAGCAAGTTACCGCCTGTTCGCACAGTAAAGAAACTTTACTACGGCCACTCAACTCTTAACCGCCCACTCCTATCCACCACTTTACCCTTCTTCTCATCACTCCTTACTGCCTCTCCTAGAATCACCGTCGCAAGCCTTTCCACCACTGCCTCTGCACTTATCGTATTTCCGTCATGACCCGGCTGACAATCACCAACCTGTATCTGCTTCCTAACCCTCGCCTCATACTCCTCGATACTATTCAGGGTGAGAAGCTGCATAAACGCAGCGCATAATACCACAAGCGCATCCGTAAAGATCACGTTGTAACCCCAGGCTCGGTAACGTGCTCCAATGAAGTTGCTTGTTGTAGTGTTCATAAAGTTGGTGAAGAGGGTGGCATTGAGAGCAGCGTTGGGAGCTTCAGTGGTGGAAAAAATGGACGGCTGTTGCTTATACAGCTGGTAAAGCTTGTCCAGTGCCTTGTAATGTGTTTTTGTCCACGGCTCAACAGCTGGCAGAGAGTCGAGATTTGAAAGAGTAGGATGCATGGAAGCAGGCGATCTTGTCCTCATTGCGGGTGAGCGAGGTGATGTCTGGATGTCATACACATTGTCCCGTTGTTGTGAGAATTCATTGTTCTCGATACGTAACGCGGCCGGGGTCTTCGTTTTGTTTGGGGTCTTGCCGGAAACTGGTTCTGGCGCACATCGCGTATGCTTAGGTGGACTGGACTTAAGGATATTGCTGTCTTTGTTCCAGGTTCTGCTCGTCTCCGTGATCTCGGTGAGGTCGTGCAGACTGCGTTCTTGTGGCACATATGCATCCAGATATTTGTCTGCCTCGACACGAATGCGACGCAGACTTGAGTCGGTTTCCGCCATCTCATGCATCAACTGCCGTTGATCTGAAGCCATGGAAAACCCGGTATCGCCTTCAACGTAGGTATGGAATGGAGAGCTAGGAGCTAGTGGAAGAGTGGATTCCTCAAAGGTCTGCTGTGTGGGATCCGACGATATGTCAGAGCTTTGTAACTCCTGCCTCAGAGGACTGCTCTTGGCAGGTGAAGAACGTATAGCGGCGAGCTGTGGTGGCGTATCCATGAAAGGATTCGGTCTGTCCGTTGAGGGTGTTTTAGCAACCGGGGGAGGAGATGATTCTGGAAGTAAGCTCTCATCCAGATTCAATGATATGTTTTGCTGTGGAGCTCGTCTCCGTCGGAACTCCCTGCAGCGCTTCTTGTTGAAGAGGTTAGGCAAGTTTGCTTGGAAGAACATTCCGGTATCATCGGTCTCCTCGGGCTCTTCATCGCGATCATCTTGGAGCTGAGTAGATGCTGAAGCCTGCACGACCGTGGCTTGGCCCTTGTCTACGGCTCGCGCAGGCATATCATCACACTCAGTAGATGATGGCGTGACTCTCCGATCGTCTTCGGCTTCTATATGGTCGCTGCAGAGGAAGTCATCCAAAGCCTTTCTTTGACGCCTTATTGGGATTTTATCGCGAGCTTGTTTCACGGCTCCGTCTTGTGTGGACAGATCTTGGTGTTCACAGGCGCTGTCGCTGCGTCCGGTCTCTGTTTTACACACAGCTGGTGATCGGCTGGCTTCTTCTTCCCACATGTCTGACACGTTTCTGCGAGTAGCTTCCGAGGGTTGGTGAACAGAGGGAAGCTGGGTACCTGTGTGGGCTAACAGGCGCACGGGAGGTGTGTCGATTCTGCAGCTCATGTCGTCGCCATCCTCATCAGGACTGCTGACTGGGCTGAGTAGACCTGGCCCTTGGTTGTCACCCGGCAGGACCAGGTATTGCACCTCAGTCGATTGCATTTCAAGGGCAGTGTCGCCGTGTTGATCCTCGGGCGTCAGCAAGCGAGAGGATTGTGATACAACGGGCGGATCCGACGTTATGTTCTTGCTGGGACTCGAAAGCGCAGATGAGGAAGGTTGATTCAGTCCGTTGCGTTTCGCTAGCTGCTCTCCTAGCCGCAGTCCAGCATGCAATTCCCTCCTGGTTCGCTCACTGAAGCCTCGGAAAAGATCATCGAGGTGGTCGCGATGTTCGTTCACGGTCTTCGAAGGTCCAGCATCTGGCGTGACACGGCTCGGATCCAGCAGGCCTTGAAGAGCAACTCCTGCCTTGACCACCCTTCCGATTCTGGGTGTTTGAGCTTCTGTACGAGACGTCCGTGCAGTGGCCACTGGCGGGGGGTTGGAGCGATCGACTGGTTCTACCGAAGGCGTCTTGTACCGAGGCGGTGCTGTTGCTGGTTGCCCAGGCAAAGTATGTATCATACGAGTATCCGTCGTTTGATCGGCTCCCCCATGCAAGGTTTCTGACGGCACATCAAGATAAATATGATTCCGGGGCGGCTTATGAGAGGAACTATCCCGTGCCACGCCATGTGCAGGCCTCGCCACAGAAGCGCAGCTAGGCAACGAATCGACAGAGATCATGCTGAAGTTCTCGCTATCTATGATGGTAGTATCGTCGGGCATTCTCGTAGCCCCTTCATCGAACGCAAAATGGGTATCATCCTCAAGCTGATCGTCTTCAGTTTCCGGTGTTTGGGTTGCACGGATGGGCAGAGCCTCGAACTTGCTCAGATGGTGTGAGGCTTCTTCAGCTTGCTCGTGGAGATGCCCTTCGGAGATTGGAACCTCGCTGTCAACGTCACTTTCTGCCTCGGAATCTTCGCCCGAAGAAATTTCGATCCAATCTTGGGCTTTGGCTACGGGTGTGTTCATGCGCGCCTGGAGTTTCCGAGACAGATCTGTCTGACTTGGCGTGGACTTCAAGGAAATTTTCTGTTCCTGTGGGTTTGGAAGATCCGGCACAGGGTGACCGTCGTTCTTGATATTAGGATCTGGTGCGGTCTCGTTGTGCAGCTCTGACTCCGGGCCATCCGGTATGGGAGAGCTCTGCGGCGTATGCTGCTCATTGGGTAAGACTTGCTCTTCCTGAACTGGTGGCTGAATGCTCTTCCGTGGGCGCCCTCTTCGCTTTTTGGGCGTTGGATCTGTTTCGGCAAGGGCTCCGCTTTCATGGGCGCCCACGCTCGACCGGCGAGCCTGGCCCCAGATGTCGTCCTCGGCGGGCGGCTGCGCCTTCCGCGGGCGCCCCCTCTTCTTTTTAGGAGTTCCGTCTGTGTCCACGTCAGCGGCGCTGGTGTCTCCCAGACTCGGGTGGCGCGGTTTGGTTGCCATTCGCTTTCGCACGGGCGTGGCGCTTCTTTTTGGCGTGGCGTCGTGTTTTCTCGGCCGTCCGCGACGCTTTACGGGCGACGATGCATCCGGCTCCTTGAGGGGAATGGTGGTTGTCTTGGTGTGGGTGACGTGATTCACGATGGGCGACGACTCCAAGGTCTCGCAGTCGCTGCCAGGCTCGGCCTGGACCGTGACCTTGATGCGCCATGGACTGCGGCCCGCGGTGCGCGGGGTGCTCAGCAGCATCTGCTTGGAAGGCGACGCGACGTGGATGCGGTTCTGCTTGCTGGGCGAGCTCGCGGTGAGAGGCTGTTGTTTGCGGGGTGCGCGCGACTGGACTTCGTCGAATGAGGCGGCGAGAGGGTCGGGCGACGACTCGGCGAAGTTTTCGCAGTCGCTCGAGAGGACGTATCGCGGCGCCATTTGTTCGTGCGCAGGGACTGCGCCGTGTATGGGGAATGCTGTCGAAGTGGAGTGCAAGCTAGGGTAGCCTACAAAGCACCTCGCATCCCGTCATGTTGCGGGCGCTATGTTGGGCCCGTTACTACGGCAACAATCAAGCTTATCGCGCGGCAACCGAGAACAGGCGCCCATCCAGTGCCATCTACCAACACCAGCGCGCTCACGGCTGTCTGCAATGGCAGTGCAATGGGTATCAAAGGGTGTGTATGCCTGCGATCGCTGCGACATTGTGTGCTGACTGCTATAGCATATACCAAGAGATCGGACGCGGCCGCCGCGTAGCGCTCTCCAAGTTCGCCGCCGACACATTCGAGCAAACCGGGAGGCCTTTGCGCATCGCAGTCGACGTGTCGATATGGCTCTTCCAGATTCAGGCCAGTAAAGGTGAGTATCGCCGCACTCACGAGTCGCGCGTGCCCGCTGACCTCGCGGCCAACAGGCGGCACGAACCCCGCGCTGCGTACATTCTACTATCGCCTCCTACGCCTCATAGCGCTGAACATACACCCCATCTTCGTTTTTGATGGGCCCAACAAGCCCCCGTTCAAGCGCAACAAGAAAACAGGGGGGCCTGGTGTTAGCGTTGCATCCATACCCGAATTCCTAGCGAAGCAGCTCCTCAAGCAGTTTGGTTTTCCTTTGCACCTTGCGCCAGGCGAAGCAGAGGCTGAATGCGCACTGCTACAGAGAGAAGGCATCGTGGACGCCGTGCTCAGCGAGGATGTCGACACGCTCATGTTTGGCAGCGGTGTGACCATTAGGAATTGGTCACCCGAGCAGAAGTCAAGCAAGACACCTACCCATGTTAACGTATACGATGCAGTTGAGACAAAAAATGGGCCTTCCGGTCTGGATCGCGAAGGCATGATATTGGTCGCTCTCATGAGCGGCGGCGACTACGTCCCGGAAGGTATTCCTGGCTGTGGCCCTAAAAAGGCCTGCGAGGCAGCAAGAGCCGGGTTCGGGAGAGATTTGTGCAGGTTGGCAAGGAATGACGCCCAGGGTTTGCGAGACTGGCGAGAGCGGCTGCAGCACGAAATCAAGACAAATGAGAGCAAATTCTTTGCCCAAAAGCGCCCCAGCCTGGTCATTCCCGATACATTCCCTCGAACCGATATTCTTGGCTATTATACCTACCCCGCCGTCTCCAACCAGGCCGGTCTGGACAGGCTCAGAAGTGCCATCAAATGGGATCAGGATCTTGACTTGCAAGGATTGCGCAGCTTCACATGCGATGCGTTTGACTGGGCAAAGCTCGAAGGTGCAAAACACTTCATCCGTAGCCTGGCTCCATCACTACTAGTACGCCATCTTCGAATGAGAGGAGAGCAGAACGAAAGATCTCCCTGCAAAAATCTTCAAGCTATCCAGGAAGACGAAGCGCTTCTTGTCAAGGGTATCCACGGGAAGCGGCAGCATGTTGTAACAGACGGCAGCACTGAGCTGCGTGTGAGCTTCACACCAATTGAGCTCGTCAAGATTGATCTGAGCATCGAAGAACCAGACGATGAGGTGGATATCCCACTAGCGTCCGAAGCTGACCTGGATGAGGAAATACCGATCGAAGGCGACGATGAAGCAGGAGGTCCCTCAAAACGAGGGCCAACAAAGTTCGACCCCAGCAAACCTGCAAGGGTATGGGTTTTCGAGACGTATGTGAAAGTCGGCGTACCACTCAAGGTTCAAGATTGGGAGGCAGAACGGCAGAGACCGCTGCGATCGAAACGAACAGCTTCAACAAACGATGCCAGCACGACAGCGACCAAATCGATAGGGGGCAGACGAACGAGGGCCGCCGGCAGTGCACACCAAATTTCCATTCAGAACTTTGCAAAGGTGACAAAGCCTGGCGTCAAGACTACGCGAGTATCTTCAAAATCTCAAGCCACTGCCGTATGTCAGCCTGCAACAAGTACTGATATTGTCATCAGCCTTCTCTCACCTTCACCTGTGAGAGTGAGAGGATCCAGCCAGCCACGATCTACCCGGGAGAGATCACTCTCACCGCTCGTGGAGTTACCATCTAGTGTCACCAAAAGGAGACGAAAGCCAATGCAGCGCGCACATACCCTTCCCTCCAGTCCTGTTATCAGTCTTGAAAGAGTGAATTGGCCATACCCAGGTGCAATAGAGACTTTGGATTTGGTGGATGCACATCCAATCGCATTGCCTTCGCAGACTCTCGCAAAGAAACTCAAGACGCAACAAGTGAAAGAATCCGCAATCTCTCAATCCACACTTTCAAGAACGGTGACAGCCTCTCCTGCGAAAACAAGGCAAACAACACTGGATGGTTGGGGTTCACCGGGCAACTCACCCAGCAAGTCTAAGTTCAGGAACAAGGCTCTTCCACCCGATTCAGCGCCTGAACCTTGTCCGTTGCGCTTCAAGATAGCAGAAGGGGACATGGAGACTCTTGATCTCACGCTATCCTCACCGTTGGCACTGTCTTCAGTAGCAGCAACAGTGCCTAAGGACTCAAAAAGAGTTTCACGTCGCCCACCATTGACATCCCTGTCATCAAACACTTCAAATGCGTCGTCATCCACCATGGCGGACACTTCGCCCGACGCTAAACCGAGAATCACAGCAAAGTCACTACGAAGAACTTCTCCTCGGCTCCAAAGGTCACGATCAGTGTCAACGGAATTCGAATCTCTCGATATGACGGAGATTTCATCGCTCCCGTCTGGCGGTAAATCTGCCTTACCACAGGTACAGAACGAAATGGATTCAGCCGTTCGACGATCACCCCGTGCGCACACATCTAAGAGGCCGGACCCTCCGGCAAAAATGACATCCCCTTCAGCAGCGTGGAAGACTCAAGTGAAGAAAAAGCGTGAAGTGATATTGAGGCAAAGTTTAGCAGGCGCGTGGAGCTTTGTAGACGTAGAGACCCCAGCGAAAGCTGCCGCCGGTTACGTGAAGTCCTTAAAAGGCGATGAAAGAAAAAGGTGGCGAGAAAGTGAGATCGAATTCCTCGACCTTTGCTAGTGAGGCATCTCCTGTGGGGATGGGGATTTTGTTGGGGCTTCTTGTATATTCTTGCTTTCTTATGCATAGCGGACGGCGTTAGTCTTTGCACATAGCAAGCACGACCCAACTCCATACGCACCCATGTGCTACTCGGAATGAGTTTCAGTGGTTCCATGAGCATCAATGTCATCCATATGAAATTCCACAGTTGCCTTGATTGGTGTATGCAATGTACAGACCTGTCGTGGTTCTGTGACCAGGCAGCGCAAGCCTTGCGAGCAAGCACTCACTACTATGATCAGACTAAAGTACGAGCCACAGCGACCTCAACGCACAAAGACATTAACGGCGGATAACCTTAAACGGGATTGAAGTCTCATTCATACTGGGCGCTATTATAGGCTACTCCTGAGTCCTCTCTAGGACAATAATAGAAGCCTGACCCGTGAAAAGCCTTTTGGGCGGCGGCTATACACGACCCACACTCCCTTCTGAGCAGGAAATGTCACTTTTCGCTATTGTGACAATGATTTATACAAAAGAAAATATGCCCAGAGCGACACGCGGTTCGACATCATGACTTCATCTTTCCCTTCTCCCTCTTCTCCTGCAAATACTGCCAAGCGCGGATTGGTCCCGCAGATAGAATGCCCTTGGCACTTTGGACGGTCGATGGCCAGTACACCGTCTGGTTAATGGCCTTCGTTACCATGGCTGGGAGGTCCTTCTCTGCAGCTATACGCCGATCGAATGCTCCACCTACCTGCTTTTTCAGACCTCCCTTAGCATCTTCATCCTTGCTGGCCTCTAGCATATCCTGGAACTCGCGGCCTGGAATGGCGAATTTGCGCTGATAAAGGAAGTAGATTTTCTCGCGAAAGGACTTTGGCAGTCGCCTGACCATGTTAGCCCGTCGCTCTACATCCATGTCCTGATTGAGCTTGAGATCTAGTGCGGTGTCGTCCATCCAGTCCGGCTTGCTGATTGCCTTTTCATCTGTGTATGAGATATTGGGCAGCGACATGATCAGGTCATGATAGAGGAGGCGGAAGTTGCGGATCTGGTGGGTCACGATGTTGTCGATCTTCTTAGGATTCTCGGAACCATACGTCATGCGTGGGTCACCCTGGTAGCTGAGGCCAGTGATTGTGGAATAGAGCTCTTTTTCTGTGAAGGACTGGGGAAGAAGAAGCAGTGAGCATCGGACGGCGGACAGGAGATTGCGTTGATTTGCGACGCGGATGTTTGGTTCCTCGAACAGAATCTTGACGGGCTTGTGGAGACGGCCAGCAAGGTAGAGTGTATCCCAGTTGGTGAGATCGCGGTGGAGCGTTTCGAAGTTGACGACGGCGTATTTGATCATGGTGCCGTTGATGGTGATGTAGGGGTTGAAGTAGACTCCTGCGCCGTATCTGTCTTGCACGTGGCTCACTACGCCGGAGCCCAGTCTCCCGAGGAAGGAGTAGTGATCTCGGTGCTCGCGCAAGTTTAGCGAATGGAAGTGCTGGGAGAAGCGCGTCGTGAACACAAAGTCGATCATCTTGCCGCCTCCTTTCTGCCATTTCAGTATTGCCTCTGGGGGGTTCGGATGGGGCGAGTGCGTGATGCGCGATGCGGTCGCGTCGGACTGTGGGAAAACGCCGGAGCCGTATGCGAAGGCGTACGTGATGGGAGGAAACTGCTTCAGGATGCCACGCAGGCTTCGCTTGAACTCCTCGTTCGTTTCTATGAGCTGGTTCTTGCCGAAGTCCTTGTGAGGGAGCTCCGAGAAGTCGGAAAGCGCAGGCGCTTCATCTTCCCAGTCTGGGGGAAGAGACTGGCTGTAGGCTTCAGCGGTAGCCTGCGGGGTTTGTGAAGCGACATAGCGACGATTGGCGTGGAGCAGAGGCCGGCGACACCATGCTATCCGGGCGAGAGGATGTGGTCGATACATGATGCAGAGGCATTTTTTCCCATCAGCGGGCGAAGTTGCGATGCGCATGACTAAGCACAACCGCTTGCGCACAGCTGTTGGCGCCGCGTTGCCAGTTGCCAAGGCGGGCGGGCGTGCCTGCTTGTGTTTGTTGATGCGCGCCGATCGCGACGTCCAGCCCCCCACCGCTCCCATCACCGCTCCTGCCATCGCATCCTGGCCGCGCGCCCGCACATACAGCTAGAAACACACACCAGGAGCTTTATCCAAGATAATACACATCTAGGAACCGATATCGTGCTTTGCAGCACCGTAATGGATTCGTCGCGCGGGGAGTTCGCGTCCCTCCAAGCGCGCCTCGACACCTTCGCCGCGCCCAAGACCAAAGCGCGTCGCCCATCTGCTCGCGGAAAGAAAGCAGCGCCCAAAGCCGCTCCCAAAGGTGGATGGCCGCTGGAATTTCCGCGCCCCGAGGAACTTGCATATGCCGGCTTTACTTTCAAGCCAACCTCGGCGAGCCCGGATAATGTGCAGTGTTTCCACTGCCAGACGCAGCTCGACGGCTGGGAGCCAAATGATGTTCCTGCCTACGAGCATCTCACCCATTCTCCAGAATGCGGATTTGCTCTGAACCTGTGCATACGCCTCAGGGATGGAGATCCCGGCCGCAACGAGGAGGATCCGCTCAGCGAGCGCATGATAGAGGCGCGTAGGGAGACTTTTCAGGACCTCTGGCCCCTAGACACCGCAGCAGGCTATCCGAGCATTGAGCAGGTGCGTTTAGACAGCTGGCCTTCGTGCGGTCGTCCGCTAACCCCGTGCAGATGGTTGAGGGTGGATGGTACTTTGATCCGAGCCATGACCAGCCCGATGGCGCTACATGCCCTTACTGCAGCCTGTCCCTGGACGCATGGGACATTGGTGATGACCCAACTGAAGAGCACCGCAAGCGGAACGACGACTGCTTGTTCTTCACGCTCAAAGAATATTACCACCCTGCACAAACTAAGAAATCGAAAGCTGCTCGCAGCAAACGGTCATCTACCCGGTCATCGACAGCCAGCACACGGACGAAGAAGACTACTCGCACGAAAAACGCCATTTCCAAAGATGATGTCAACAAACCACTACCGCCCGCACCAGACGAGACCAGGGTGAGTTCGATCATCGCGTCATTTCCGGACCTTGCCAATGCGTCGATGATGTCTATTGCACCGCCGGCGCCTCCTAGAAGGGGTCGCAAAGCAAAGATCGCTTCTACTACAGATGAGACGATCATGTCCTCAGTTACTGAATCATTGGCTGCTGGTGCTGGGCTCTCGATGATCTCCATTCCTCCCAAAGCGCCGCCTGCGAAGAGAGGCCGTAAGCCCCAAAGCTCTTCTATCCTCGACGAAGCGCCTGTACAGCCGTTTGCCGAGCCATCTGCCGATTCGATTGCAAGTCCAGACGCATCGGCACCCACTAAAGCGCCCGCAAAGAAGGGACGGAAACCGAAAGCTGCCGCAGCGCAAGTGGGGGCAGCAGGAGAGCCTTTCGCAGAGTCATTCGCAGGCTCAGTTGCATCCACCATGTCCAAAGCGCCAACGAAGGCACGCCATACTAGGAAAGCACCAGAGCGCGTTTCCGCCATATCAACAACATCGACAACGCGCACTACCCGTGGTACGAAGCGTCAAAGCGAGGCGGTGGAGATGGAAATCGACATGGAGGAGCAGATGCCGTCGGCGAAGCGCACCAGGCTCAGCGACATCTCGTTGCCACAGTTTGAATCAACACCTGTGCACACACCTAAGGAGTATCGACAGGAGAAGATGAAGAGCCCAGCTTCGCGGTTCAATGCAACCCCAAGAGCGACTCGGCCTGTGCAATCGCTCAAGAGCCCCGGCCCGGTTTCCGTCCGTAGCCCCCTAGCTGTGAGAAGTCCCATGCGTGCAGAACCGCAGACGCCTGAAGAGCCTCACACTCCAAAAGCTGTCTCCTCTCCAGTATTCAAATGGGATCCTATCGTTATTTCCAATATCGTCACCGACGCCGGTCTTGAAAAAGAGGACATGGACATCGATATGGCTGATACGACCGAAAACATTACGAAGGCTGTTTTAGCCAGTCTCACAAGCCCCGAAAAACGCATGACGATCGAAGAGTTTGTCTTGCACAATGCCAAGCGTGGAGAAGAGAAGCTGAGGCTCGAGTGTGAGCGCCAGATTGCTGCATTTGAGGCCGAGGGTCGCAGAGCATTGGCTGCGCTAGATGCTTATTAGCAGGATATGTGCAGCTTTTGGACTTTCGACGGCACTGACGATTGACTTCACGACTATTGGGATGGACTGTGGTGGTTTTGGCGTTTTGGGTTGTTTTTCTCTTGGTCTTTTGTTTGGTCCGTGGCTCCTTTGTTCAGCTGGCGCCATACCCCGTCACCCAATCGCGGCTTGAGCTCTAAAGGTCGTAGGCCTGGAATGGCCTCCCCAGGAGCAAGAATAGCCAGGTTGGGGGTCACGTTGAGGTGAGGCTAGGCCTTTCGGATCCATAATTTTTCTTTCATTGTTCGCGTTAGACCTGGGGACTACTGGGCTTGGTTTGAAGTGCCTCTTGCGAAGGCTTACTTTCTCTGTATTATATCTGATGATACCACTGTTCGTTGTACAAACGAGATAGACCTGTACTATAAAGGGTTTTTTAAGTGTGCTTTACCACCGTGTTACCCACGATAGTGATGGTACATGTGTGATTGAGCCTTCCATATATATCTTTAGACTGACACCAGCATGAAACAGGTAGTTCGTCACGAATACAAAGCTAGATACACAGGGCAAGCCCAAGTCCGAATGTTCCGAGACCATGGCACCCAACGCGACCGTGACGCGATATCACGTGACATTGACATTGATGAACCTGGGGATTGTGAACGTGGAACATGAAGTCATCGACACTGCGTGATGAGAGACGACTTTTGCAGATGGTATGAGGTCATTTATCATATATAGTTCTCCGTTATCCTTTGCAGGTTGTCCAGAAAGCCACCACCACCTCGATGACTTGCTGGTGGTTGCACCTGAGGCTTTGTTGTGCTCCCGCTTCTTGAGCCCTGCTGCCTCTTTTCCTTCTCGCGGTCAAGTTCCTTTTGCCTATCCTCTACGATCCTCACTAGACCTTCGACGAATTTTGCTCTCGCTTTCTCCTCGGCCGTTCCCTTCCACACCACAGCCAGATCCTTGAGCGCTTGTATCCTCGTCTGGGCCGCTTCGGGTCCACTCTCGGGATTGCCCATTACCAGATCGGATATCTCGGCGCGCAAGGCAGCAGCGAACTCTTTGCCTTTTTGTTCGCGAGTGGACGCATCGGTGCCGGGGTCAGGGGCGGAGACAGAGATAAGGGAGGAGGTCAGTGAGACTTCGGAAGGGGGGAGCGTCCAGTGCATGGCTTCGCCAAAGACTTTGATGACGGTTTCGAGGCGGTTCCGGACGAGAGTCAGAACGCGGAGCTGAGTGATGTAGCCTGGCGTTGACGGTTCTGAGTCGGGTAGGTCTATTGTAGGTGCTCCTGGCTCCTGGTCGCCTTGTAGTGTTGGGCTGGTAGCTGCGGTATCTTCTTCTTGTTTATCACCGAGACGTGAACCCCCTGGCACGAATTTGCTAACGTCCTCCTTCAACCCAATTGTGAGTGTCTCAGTGAGGCCAATGGTCTCCCCGCGGAGGACTTCGACTTCGTAGGCAAGACGCGCGCCGCTTCGGAGGATGTCATCGGTAAGCTGGGTGAGGATAGTGGACAAACGCGTCGTGTGGGCATTCAGCTGTGAAAGGAGGTCTTGGGTGTGCGAAGAGAGCTCGGCCAGCGAGACGGCGTGCGCCTGCTTGAGCGGGCGCGAGGAGACGGAGGACAGCGAAAGGGAGGGGAGTGTCGCATTGAGATAGTCGGCGGGGTCGAACTGGCGCTGGAGGAAAGGGACAAGGGCAGGGTCCGCGACGTGTGTGGATGTGGGCGCCGGGGCGCTGTCTGGCACAGCCATGTTTGCTGTGCAGATGCGGATGGGCGAGGCGTGCGGGCTCGTAGCGGGCGCTCGGTGGTGCTAGTGGGCCGACTATGGACGAGAAGGGGCTCGCTTCCGCTGCAATGCTGGCGGTAGCGACGGCGACTACGCCTACTATCTGGGTGGACCCCGCTGCTGCTCGGACGCCTCGACGCTGCTCAGTCGTCTCGCACATACAGCGCTGTCGTACCCGGTCCTGGCTGGGAGTCCAACGCACACAGCGGCACTGGCGCTGGCTCTCACGCCTCAGGCACCATGGACGGCGGAGGCAGAGCCACGGTGCGGGGTGGTGGCTCAGTACATGGAGCTTGGGCCCGCTTCTGCCTGGGAGAAGAGCTCTCTACGACCACGCCTGTGAGCATTCACCGTGGCCTCTATTGCAGGCACCCGCAGCGAGCACAGCGACGCTAGGCCCTCGTTTGTGTTTGCCGCCGCCGGGTAGCTCCAGCTGCGCTTGTCTCCCAGGCTCTGTTTTCTCCCTTCCGTCCCCTTCTCAACCATCCTCTCGTCCATGTGTTGGTCCCTGCGTTTCTGTTGAAGGGCGTGCCTGCTCTTTCCGTTCTTGACTGACGCAGTAAGCCACGGACAGCTTCACTAGGACTGGCCCTGTGCCGAATCTAACCCTGGCTCTGTCTGCACTCACCTCGACACTCGTCTGCTCACGCCTGCTTTGGCGCCCGCGCGCTCGACAACACCACCAAATCAGACCTTCTCGATTGCGCGCCCAGCATGCCTCGTCGGCAGTACATCGCCGACCTGAAGAAGGCCCAGACAGGCGTGTCGATCGCCGGTAAGTCTCTCCCTCGACTCAGACCACCGTGGGTCATGCAATGTCCGCCATGTCTGCACAAACTTGATTGTATCTCTACTTCTGAGCTATCTATGCCCAGCTGGGCCCCATCGCTTCGAGTAAAAGTCACTCACTAAATGTAGGCATTTCCAATGTTCAGACTGGAGGCGATGACGGAGAGTTTACCTTCCTTTGCTTGGCCGACGGCAAACAGTACGAATTCTCAGCACTTATTCCCGACGTCTCCGAATATCCTTCAAGTCACATGTACATGTTGATCGCCCCTGACGACGCTCCTGGGCCAGTTGCGAACGCTCTCTCCGGCATCGCAGAGTCGGCGTTTGGCAAATCCGTTGAGCAACTACTGGAGCTTACATCGCGGAAGCTCGAATCTACAGACGATGACGGTGACCACCAAATGTTAAACTCGCAAGACGTTGGTACGGCAGAAGAGGATTCCGATGACGACGACGTGGACGACTTCTTTCCCGATGACGATGAGATTCAGAAGCCTTTCTCCATGCAGGCCCATCTTGCGTCCACACAGGACCATATGGAATCATCCTCCAGGTTTCGATCCCGCATTCGATCTGATCTTCTGAGCGCCAGGGTAGCCGGTTTCAAAGTAGGCCACCAGGGTGCGCTACTAGAGGGTGGTGCGTGTTATGTGTCCATCTCCTGCCGTATAGCAAAGCTAGGCATATCCGAAGAGGCCATGCAAGCTTGGCAGGTGCAGCCGCAAGAATACCTCGTCGTCGTCATTGCTTATCCCAATGGCTACAAGAATATGTCCGACATGGAGGGCTATGATGTGGCTGCTGCTCGTCGTCATTTCGGTGTCAAAATCGGGATCAGCAACACGTACAAGCCAACCTTGCAGGAGGCTGTCCAGGCTTTCACCAAGCTCAGTAAAGAGGAAGAAATGAAACGCGAGAAAGAGCTAGAGGGAGATCAAAATGGCGCATCTCAATCCCAAGGCGCGGCAATGCACAAGGGTTTCCGGAACTCCTTCATCTCCCGTCCGCTCCATGACCTCTTGGAAAATAGGTTCCCCCAGCTGCTCAAGTTTCGATATAACGGCATGTCATGGAACGGCGCTGAGGAGTTCTATCACGACTCCCTCGGCTCTCACAAGTCTTCCGATTTGGGCTTAGAAGACAAGTACATGACTGCCGAAGCGGTCAGCACGGCTTATCCCGCAATCGTTACAGCGGATCATATCGCTGATTCATGGACTGGTGGAGAGCACTCACTTCCATTAGTGTGTATGCAATTCGTTCTGCGCCACTTTGTGCGCTGTACAGAGTTCTGTCTCATCTGCTTCCGCAAAATGCCAGATGACTTGCAGGCTATCAAGCCATACGTATGTGAGCAGCCGCTCTGCCTATATCAGTACATGTCACTTGGTTTCGGGCCTAGTATCGAACACGAGATTCTATCACAACCTAAGGTCGTTGATCTGCTTATTAGCTTCTGCTATACAAGCGCGCTATCCAACAAGCTAAACGACTTTCCCACCGGGTTGAGCCTCATGGTCCCTCCATCATCCGCCTATGAGGGCGACTACACAAGCGCCCAGCAGTACACGTACAACACGTATCCACAGAATCAGACTCATCTGGCATCGCAGGCAGCTGCAACAGGTGGTGCAGATGTGAAGCCAGGTAAGCTATTGAACAACATTCGCGCATGTTCCTATACAGACATCACTCAGTTCCACCTGATCAGTGCGCGCTCTTCGCAGCCGCATCAGAGTCTTCCGTGTAGTTGCTGACATTATGCACAAGAAACTTTAAAATTCAACGCTGCAACGAAAGAAATCATGTTTGACGCACCGGAAGTGAAATGTCCCTTCAGGGCAGGCGACTGGCTTGTCATCCGTCTAAACAACGATAAGGCCAAAGCACTGCACTGCCGTGTAACCGAGACATATTTCTACCCAACCATCAAAGTTGCTGAGCCCATTGTGCCGACCACTTCACAATTCACAGGCCAGGAGAATGGCTTCCCGACGAAGAAGCCCACAACTCCCGCACCAGCACCTCAGGTCGAGCAGGCAGAGAACGTTTTCAGGCAGGCGTCTTTCTACATGTACGATCAAAACTTTGACTCACTTTCAGTGACCCACAAGCGCGAGGGTATATATGCCTTGCTCGATCTATTGCCTAGTGTCGATGACATGAGGAAATATCTCCAGCGCAAGAAACAGTCAACGCTGAGTTCTTGGGTGGATCGGTTGTCTCCTGCAGCTCTTGGCGTGCTGCGTTGGATCATAGCCTCCAATAGAGCTTGCATTATGCAAGTGGAGGATCCTAATGCATCGGGTGTTGGGAGTCAAGAGCGTCTCTGTGGTATGTCCGGCTGGACACAGTTCCGCTTTGCGATGGGTGCTCCGGACAAAGAGCGCCGCTTCGTGCAGGCTGTTCGGGACACATCTCATCGACTGGCCCTCGAGCATGACACATTGTTCGCTTGGCATGGCAGCCCCCTCCACAACTGGCATAGCATCATCCGCGAAGGTATGTGTACATCGTAGACAGGTACCGAGGGGCCCGGAGATTTCAGAAGTCCAGCATATGCGAATGTTGCAACGTGCTCTGCATTCGGCCTAAAATTCTCCATTATGGGTCTACATCTTGGATTGATAATTCTGACTTCGTAATCTAGGTCTACACTTCAAAGATACCGCTCATGGCCGAGCATACGGACACGGTGTTTACCACTCTCTCGACGTCAACACGAGCTTAGGCTATTCTAACGTCTATGGAGGGATGTCCGGCAGCGGATGGCCCATGAGCGACCTGCGTGTCTCCCAGGCCTTGGCCTTGAATGAAATCGTCAATGCTCCTAAGGAGTTTGTGAGCTCGAACCCTCATCTTGTTGTTGCCCAATTGGACTGGATCCAGACTCGGTATCTCTTCGTTCAGACGCGGAATCCGGACTATGCCATTCCATCTGCACTGAAAAAGGCCACCAAAGAGGTGGTCCCGACGAGTCCGATACCACAAGACAGCTCGTACACCCCTCGCGGTGTGTCTGGCCAATTGGTCATCCCACGATCCGCTATTCCGAGCCACCGTGGGCAGGGGGCTCGCACAGCTGATCAGTCTGCTAAGCGTCGCAAGACTGCGACCGGTGCAGGCTTCGCCGATCCGATCGAGCTCGACGCAGACGATGATGGAGCTAGTGTAGCTACGTTGGAAGAGGATCGGTTGATCTTCAACGAGGATGCTCTCACACCTCAGCAGGAAACCCTCCACGCGGGTATCATCACGCCAACTCCTTCAAAGGGGAAGGGAAAGGTTACCTCAGGCTTCTTCTCTAGGATGATCGGCACAAAATCATCTCCCCCGCCACCTATCAAAGTCTTGACTGACTATGTACCGGGCAAACTCGACTATAGTCTCCTACAGATGCTTGCGCGACCAGCCTGGGCCACGCCATCAGCTACTCGTCGTCTGATGCAAGATTTCAAAGCGGTCATTGCTATTCAAAATAGGACACCACTTCATGAGTTAGGTTGGCACATTGACGAAGAGAAGATGGAGAATATGTACCAGTGGATTGTAGAGCTGCATTCTTTCGACCCAGAGCTTCCGCTAGCGCAGGATATGAAGAAGAGGGGAATCACAAGCGTTGTGCTAGAGATGCGATTCGGGAAAGACTACCCAATGTCTCCACCGTTCGTCCGTGTCATCAAGCCACGCTTTTTGGGCTTCAATCAGGGTGGAGGTGGTCATGTTACTGCAGGTGGTGCTCTTTGTATGGAGGTATGTCTTGGTCCAGCTCCTTCCATACTGGAATCGATTGCTAACTCTATCAGCTTCTCACGAATAATGGCTGGAGCGCGGTGTCTACGATCGAATCAGTCCTGCTACAGGTACGCATGGCCATGAGCTCTGTCGATCCCAAACCTGCACGTCTCGAGAACGCCAGCCGTACAGACTACGGTGTTGGCGAAGCCATGGATGCGTATATTCGCGCCTGCACCGCGCACGGCTGGAAAGTGCCAGATGGTTTTAGGGAGATGGCCTTGGGTGGCGCTGTGCCAGGATCCATGTACTTCTAGCCTCATGTCCTTCCTTCCTGAGTTTTCTGTCTGAGCTGCTCTATCCAATGATCACGGAGCAATGACCTTTAAGGGCGCAAAACTTTTGCAGAGAAGCCCTACCATGAGGGGTTTTTGGTGTCGACGGGTTCGAACATAGCATTATCACGGCGCGTTGGTGGTCAAGGGCAACCTCCACACTTTTCAAGACGATAAGCTTTGGGTCTAGAGACCGCTAGTTGGTGGTGGTACTGCTCGTTGGTAACAACGCATCATGGCTAAGACGGTCTCAAGGGACACATCACGTATACAATGATCTTCTGAACTGTCCTCCTTTGACTTGCGATACGAATCAAAATATAGGCGCACAGGACACGCGCACTTTGTTCGATATGCGTTGCATGGCTCTCTACACCCCGCTTCTTCTTGTGAAGGGCAATAGCCATGAGTATGCTGCAGTCAAGTAGCACGCGGTTGAGGGTGTAGCTAAAGCATCGACTAGGCTACATAGAAGGACAAGGTAAACGGCGCTATTCTCAACGTGGATGGCATGGTAGCAATACCGAGATAAAGGGTGCCTTTGAGTTACTGTCGTTAGCTCGTAGCGTGCTTGAGCCGCCTTACAAACACTATCGCAAACATGATCGACGATGGCAATATTGTTACGCGGCAAATACTTCGTTACCTAGGTAGCCCCCTTTGCTGTCCAAGGCACAGTTTATCATTTACAGAAATTGGAATTGCAATTGAACATAGATGGTTTCGCAAAAGACGGTGGCAAAGTCTTACTACAGTCTAAGCATATGAGACAACACACATAAAAAAGGGCACACGTCGAGTTTTGCAGAGATGATGTTGCATCAAACACGATCTCCAGAGCATCGGAGATCTCGGGAATAGCTTGCAATGCAGTAGTGCTTGAACGATACCACATTCCGTATCGCGCCGAAAGCTATGCAGGGGAGACTGCAATCATAGCCCACCCGGGCCCACTCAGATAAAATTCCGCGGATGCACAAAGATGCGATTTTGAAGAAATACTGAAATGCCATGTATCCACTATTGCCACAGCCTTCCTCATGTATGAGCACTAGCTCCTCGTGACGAGAGGGCCGAAACAGAGTTTTGCAGGGGTTATCGACCTACTCAACCAACGTCATTCTTCGGCTTACGAACCGAGGTGAAGCTGCCCCGTTTCTCCAAAGGCAACTGCTCGTAAGTCTGCATTGTGATGGGAATTTCTTTGATTCATCTGTGATTGCTAGATGCTTCAATAAGACGATGTATCTATTCGCAGAACAACGACCATCGGGGGTTGTGCAAACGACGTACCCTAACTTGCCCGTGGACAATGGCATTAACGGGGTGGTGGAGCCATGCCATTCTGTGACCCATCTTTCCCAGCTATTGACTTTTTTCCATAAGACCCATAGCTGTAGACCCACTTCACATCGTAGCAATCGTACTTAAGACTGCCAAATGCCATAGCGGGACCACCAAAAAGAACCAAGTCTTCACTTCGTTGGAGCATTCTTTCAACCAGGCCCATACAAAGTGGTTCTTATTGCGAGCACTTGTAGGCTTCTGCAAGTTTCCACCGACGGCTAGAGCACGCGTCAAGTTCCACCTCCACCAAGGGCTTCCCTTCAATGCGCCATCATCGCACCAGTCTCGGACTGCACCCTCTCGCACCACTCCAAGACGACCATGCAAAGCACGAACGACAGGACCTCTTTTGGTCTCGAGTACGCACCACTCTTCGGGAACCCTTTTCCGAATTCTGGGGCACAGTCATCATGATATCGTTTGGCAATGGCTCGATTGCACAGGTCCTCTTGTCGACAGGTCAAACCTCAGGAGCACCCGGTGGAAGTGGATTTGGCAACTATCAAAGTGTAAATTGGGGGTAGGTTAATTGATTGAGCTCTTCCATTCTTCTTGCTAAATCTTGGATCTGCAGCTGGGGCCTCGGGGTCATGCTTGGGATTTATGTGGCTGGCGATAGCGGTGCCTACTTGAACCCGGCCATCACTTTTTCGAACTGCCTTTACCGGCAGCTACCGTGGCGGCGGTTCCCTGCTTACTTTACAGCCCAGCTGCTCGGCAGTATGGTCGGCTCATGCATCGTATACGCCAATTATATCAGCGCCATCGACTACTACGAGGGTGGACATGGAATGCGTACAGTGCCACCGGCGCCCAAGGCTACAGCTGGGATTTTCGCTACGTACCCGCAACCATTCGTGACGAAAGCGAGTCAATTCTTCTCCGAGTTCATTGCGAGCGCGATTCTCATGTTTGTTATCTTTGCACTCAAGGACCGCGCCAACATGGGAATGGCAAAGGTAAGGAAAATCCATGTACATGTCCCCGCTCCTGCTGACGCGGTGGACAGAGCGATCAATGGTTCCCATTCATGCTCCTGTTCCTCGTCTTCGGCATGGGATCATGTTTTGGCTGGGAAACCGGATATGCACTCAACCTTGCTCGCGACCTTGGACCTCGCCTCATGTCGTATGCTCTGGGGTATGGGTCCGAGGTGTGGTCGGCGGGCGGATACTATTTCTGGGTAAGAAGACGGTAGTGGCAATCAAACGTAAAGCATTGCTAACGCTGTCAGATTCCCATGGTCGCACCGTGGCTCGGATGCATATTTGGCGGGTTCCTTTACGATGCCTTCATTTATACGGGCCAAAGCCCGGTCAATGCACCGTTTCTGGGACTGTCCCATTTCTTCCATCCGAGGAGGGAGGTGCGTGCGAAGCTGCAGGCAGAAAAGGATTTGCAGATGGTGTAACAGCACCCTGGCGTAAGGCGGATGAGTAGAGGTGGTGGCTGAAGGGTGGCTGAAGGGTGGCTGAAGGGTGGCTGAAGGGGATGGCTGGGGTTGACTCTCTTCGTTTCCGACGCATCTGTTTTTAAAGCGAGCATTCCAGCGGATGACGAAAGTGACGAATTCATGAACATGTACAGCAATTGATCCTGACACGCCAGCATGGGCTCGGAATAGGAGCTCGAGGTGTCGCTGCGGGATCCGTGTGCGCGTAGCGGGCCAGCGCTGCACAACCGTCACTGTGGCGCTAGGCGATGGTGGGCATTAGCGCCTCGTGGACGCGTTCTCGCTCCCGCAGCGCGCATCCTCGCGTGCTGGCATCGCCCTCGTGCAAGCTCCCGCAACACTCGAGACCAATTGCTTGCCCGTCCCGCTCCACCTGCACCTTGCCCTCCCTATCGTTTGGGCGCCTGCCGAGCAATGAGCTGCCACTAGCTGCGAGTGCTTCGATAGCCCACCGGACGCGTCTTGCAGCGCGCCCGCACTCCTTGTCCGCCATGTACCTCCCCCGGAGCCTGATCGCCCAGCTGTACCAGAACCTCACCAAACGAAACCATGCCGCCGCTCCTCCCGTACTGTTGCTCGTCGCCCTCGAACCCGACGCGCTGTGCGCGTGCCGCATCCTCACCGCGTTGCTGCGACGCGATTATGTTCCGCACAAGATCCAGCCCATCGCGGGCTACGGTGACTTGAGCCGCGCCGCCGATGGCCTGATCAGGCCCATGCGCACTACACACGGAGGCAGCGGGGGTGTTGTCGTGTGCTTGGGCGTGGGCGGCATGGTGGATCTCGAAGAGATATTCGGCATGGAGGTCGACGAGGCCGGGAACGGGGGCACAGGCGGCGTGGAGGTATGGCTCATGGATGCAAGGCGCCCGTGGAATCTGTCCAACGTGTTCGGTACGCCCGTTGCCCAGGACCCAGCTACGGGAGACTGGGTGAGGAAAAGAGCAGGTGTGGAGAAGGCAAGGCTACAGAAAAATTACAACTCCTCCAAAGGCGGCATCATAGTCTTCGATGACGGCGACATCGAAGAGGAGCTGGAGAGCGAGCGCCAGGCCTACTGTGCGCTCGAAGAAATGCCCGAGCTGGGCGAAGAAGCAGAATCAGACGACGAGGGTGAGCAAGGACACGAACATGATCAAGAGCACAATGCAGAGGCCGACGAGCCTCCCTCGGGGCAGGCTCCTAAGAAAAGAAAGTCATGGAGCGGGGCCGAGGACTCGGACGAGGACATGTCTGACGACGAACGCCCAGCCCAGCGGCGGAGAAGTAATTCGGTAAGTTCTGGTTCTGCTTTCTGCATCATGTCAGTCTGACAGACGTACAGGGTGCATCGATACCCTCAACCCCCGAACGAAGACCACCACGACGCGGCCTCATGATCTTGGGCGGCTCATCAGACTTCTCGCGCTCCGATTCGCGAAGTAGATCAACATCGCCTGCGGTCGCGGCACCAAAGGAGCAGTCGATCAAAGGCCTCCGAAGGCAGCTCATGGCCATGCGCGAAAAACATGACAAGACCCTCCAAAAGTACTACGATCAAGGAGCCTCATATTCCGAGCCCGTCTCGTCCCTCGTCTACTCGTTGGCATCGGAGCTCGGTAGAGAAGATAACGACCTTCTCTGGAACGCCATCGTTGGAGTCAGCAGCCTCGAGCTCTACGGTCGAACAGGCAGTGGGGTAGGCCTCAACCCTCTCTCGGCGGCTGGTGGCTCAGCAGGCTGGAACGGTGATCGAGGAGAACGCATACGCTCCGTGCTGCGTGACGAAGTCCGTCGTCTGAATCCTGTCGATATCAAAGACTTGGCTCGTGAGGCCACGATGGGTGATTCAACAGGTGTCATTCCCACCAGTGCCCGCTCCGCGACAGACAAGTCGATAAGACTATCACCCGAACCGCGTTTCCTGCTCCTACGGCACTGGAGCTTATACGAGAGCATGCAACACTCGCCATATCTCTCCGCTAGACTGCACCTCTGGAACGAATCTGGAAAACGCCGGTTGGACAAATTGCTTGCTAAGATGGGCCTGAGTCTCGCACAATCCAAGCAATATTACACTCACATGGACATGGACTTGAAGAAAGGCCTGCGCGAACGTCTTCTAAGATTTGCTCCCATGTACGGACTTGACGGTCTAGTTCCGCCAGCACCTCGAGGCGGCGACTCCAAAGACGGATGGGGCTTCGTTCGCTGCTGGGGTTGGAAAGCTTGTCTCTCTGCCATTGATACCGGCGTGATCCTTGGTGCCATTCTAGAAGTAGGCGATGCAAAGTCGCTCTCTGCTTCCTCCTTAGACTCTTTCAATTTTGTCGGTACCCAAGACCACTCTGAGCAGGCTCTCGATTCCTCAACCGAAGCACAGGACCGCATTACAGCCCGCTTTTACACCGCTTACGACGCCCTCGCTGACATAGACACCCTCACTGCACACATCTCGACTGCGCAACATTTGCATAAAGCCATTCTTCGCACAGGCACAGCACTGATTGAGAAGAAACAGATACGGCACTTGAAAGCGTTTCGCATGGCTGTCGTGAAAGAAGGTCCAGATGTGCAACTTTTCACTCATTCGGGTGCCCTGACAAAACTGGCGCTATGGGTTGCAGAAGCAATTGTCGAGCAGAACGGAACCAAGGGCCGGAACAGAGGTAGCGAGCTGGTCATGGCTGGTCTGGACGAAAGACAGGGTCGGTACGTCGTGGTCGGCCTCGGCGGAGGTGGCGCTACCGAATCGGCAAAGGAACGCATTGCGAAGCGCGAGAAGAAGAACAGGGAGCGTGAACAGAAGAAGGCCGCAAAAAATGCAGAAAGGGAACGTAAGCGGCAAGCCAGAATCGCGCGCCTTGAAGCCGCAGGCCTAGAAGAAGACGAGGTTGAGGACTCGGAAGAGGAGGAATCGGAAGACGATGACGAAAGCGAAGACGAAGAAGACGTCAGCAAAAGTGGACGCAACAGATTCGGCAATGCTTTCCAGGAAGTCGTTAGGGAGACTGGTGCGAGGGTCCGCATGGATAGTTTTGAGGCGTGCGTCATTGAGATAAAGAAGGAGGACCTGAGCGGATTCTTGGAGCGGCTGAGTATGAAAGCTGTGGTTGGCTAAGCAATTTTCAGATATCCATGACATGAGACATGGTACATAGGGCAGCAGGGTCATGATCATTACTATGTTGGCGGCATGAATGGCGTTGTGGTTTTCTGCTTCATGTACGCGTGCAGCGAACGGGGTGGTCTCCGTGGTAGAGTAGCATGACCAAGCATTTGTAGCGCAATTCGTAGGCTCTAATCATTATTATCTACAACCCACATTTTTCAGCCCCGTACTTGTAGGTGCTACAATTGGGAGCAAGATGCTGTTGTCTCGATCAGCAGAAGAGTTCGTTTCCACTAGTGCACGTACCGACAGTTTCCACACATGACACCAACCGTGCTTGTATTTCAAGCCACCGAGGAATGACACGTATCAGAGCGTCCAGCTCTTCCCAGCCGTCCAGATATAAGGGTAAAGATGGGTTCAAGTGCTATGATAACTGCGATCTGAAAACGCGCTCGCGGAGGATGGGGAATTTATGTAGGTGGTCGATTGTACGTCTTGACTGCTTAGTTTCAATCGTTGGGATGGTGGCTCTTCAACGACTTCGGGATTCACAAGTGATCAATGGTTGATAGCGTAGTCTGTTGAGTGGGCGAACGCTGGTGGGACCAGATGCAGACATGCGTGGGGTTTGACCATCACATTGTGAAACTCATGAATAATATCAGCCTGACATTCGTCGACTCCGGAATTCAAACACGCCTTCGCGAGACCAAACGATACAGGGTGCCAATACATCTTCACGAACTAGGTATGTTGACTTGAGAGGATTGATGCCATTAGTCTAATGAGCACTGCAGAAAATTGCCCGTGCATTGTACTACTGGTTCAACTTCCTGGGCCTTGCTATTATCCTAATCACTGGCGGCACCTTTATCGTCCTAGAGAGTACGATAGAAATGTTTGTAGACTGACTCGACAAGTGTCCTATCGGACGAGACAATCCCCGAATGACATATGCACGCCTTGAATGGCACTCCAACACCACATTGCAAATTCATTGTCTCGCATATGGAGGAGCTGGGTACGGCACCTGGTAGAATCATGCAGAAGCATTAATAGTCACCCTGCCTAGGGAGAAGCTGGGCATTGTCAACATCAAGGACGCAAAACACCCAAAGATAGAACATGCTGGGTACAGGCTGCGGCCAGTTCTGACGGATCAAATAATGGTGGATGAACAACATCCTAGTCCTGAAAGTACTGCAGAGACCTCTAAGGGGCGGATATCCAGCGCAAGGGGGGTTTAGAAGAGGATAATGCGAACGCACCTTCAAGTCCGTCCAAGCGGGAGAGCTACGGCCAAAGACCCCGCCCATGACTGACCGCTGCACAGATATAGCGGCGAGAGGCTGTCTGAAATTTATTAGCATAGAATAAGCTCTGTCGCACTGTGTCGCTAAAACCAATCTCGTCAATTGTTTCTACGTCATGGCGTTGGCTCACAGCTCGGGAGATAAGAACCTTTCTCAAGTGAGCGACATCCACCGGCTGGCTTAGTGTAGCAGCAGTCTAGAAGTTAATGCCGCTCACTTCCCTCTCATAGATTGCCACCACTTTGATTGCTGCTCCACTCGTCCTTGCTCTTCAATCAACCATGACCATTTCTCCCAAAACCAATGCTGTACTTCCCAGCTCCTCCGATCCCATGGTAAACCCTCTTCCTTCCCGCGAGACCTCCACACTATCAATCCACCGCGCAGAATATCCTTCTTGAGTTCCGAGCGATTGTAAGCAGGTGGATCCATGGATGCCAGCGTAATGGCGCGCTCGCGAAACCATGGGAACGGTATGGTATCTATGAAGGGGTGATGGGGGTAGCGTATTTGAGCAGGTGTTGGAATTAGATCAGGAGGTACGCGCTCCAATGTAAGGGCAGAAGAGGGCATCAATGCTGTTGGCGAGTACCACGGCGACTGACAGTTCGGTTTCATCAGTTCCTCGATTGACAACCCAATCTTCATGCAGTTGTAGAACACGACTTCGATTTGCGATTGACGGCTAAGAAAGATACCATCTATCGAGGGATCTGGAAGGGGATATATAACCGAGGGGGGACTGTTGCTCGTTAGAGTAGACCAGTTTCCCGTGGCCCATGTAACAGGTCGTCTTTTCTTATCTATTGTCATAGTCGTTTCTTTTTCTATTTTGAGCAATCTGAGACCTGCAATCAGAATCTTGCTCAAGTCAGGCCTTTCCTCCAGTGCGAACTGTACTAATTCGTCGAGATCCGGCGCGTCGTCGCCTCTGAGCAGATGCTTGAGATCTGCGAATGACGATTCGGGTGCAGGAACCGACTGGTCATCTTCCAGGAACTCAAGGTCGATGTCACTCAAGTCTTCGATAACGTCTCCAGATGTTGTTTCAGGGACGTTGTCTGCACCAGTTCCATCTGGCCTACGATCCCTGTCGTTGTTCTGCAAGGCCGTGATTTGACGTTCCAATTGCTCTAATCTTTCTTTGCGCTTCTCTCCTACGATATAAGTCAGCAGTATTAAAGGATCGTCGATGTGCGATAACGAACGGTATGTCTTTTGGGCAGCTCGGTTCTGATTACGCCGTTTCTCTGTCATCCTCCGCTTATATGGAACCTTTTTCTTCGACTGCTGAGCAGGGTCCATTTCGGCTTGCAAGACGTCCGGCCGGATGCGTAAGCCAGAAACCGTGGTGTGAGTCGATTATGGTGCACAAGAGGAAAGAAGGCGGACATTTGATGCGGGAGGTGAGAAATCGCAGTGGCTCTCGTAAGCCATATATTCTGCTTTAGGAATAGCGTAGGTAAGCATCACAGATGTCGGTCGACTCCTCCCTTAAATCCATCGTCCTCCCTAGCAACACACCCTTTGATCGGCGTTTCTACTGTGTATTTTGCAAATGATAACACGATCAATGTCATGGCTTATGCCATTTTCAAGTCCATGCAGGACATTCGCAGCTTTGGATTATAAAGTTTGGAAAGCAAAGCAATCTCCCCTTCTCTGGTTTACCTGTGGGATCTATAAGTACAATGGGTGGTTGAACATCCGAAGTATTTGATCACGTCTAACAGGATAGATATGGAGAACAAAGCAGCGTTCCTCAATTGTACTGGCACGTCCTTAGCCATTCAACATGCACCTTTTCCTCGTCCCGAGGCGCATGAAGTGCTCATCCGCAACCACGCCATTGCCATCAACCCTGTCGACTACAAGATACAAGATACTGGTGTTTTGGTACGAAAATGGCCATACGTATGTCCTTGATCAAATTACTTACATGAACGGACTGATGTTCAAGGGCAGGTTTTGGGTGAGGACATTGCCGGCGAGGTGATCGAAGTGGGATCTGCTGTCACCTCTCTCCAGAAGGGAGATCGCGTTGCAGCATTCGCGATCAACATTGTAACTCAAAATCAGGCCAATGCGGGTTTTCAGCTATACACAACCACGCCTGCATCGATGGCGGTGCGTATCCCCGATAGCGTTGACTTCACGGATGCCGTAGTGTTACCTCTGGGCCTAGCCACGGCGACTGGTGCTCTATTCTCACGCGAGTACCTGGGTATTGCTCCTCCACAGGCATCGCTTCCCGTTCCAACTGGGAGCAAGGACAAGGTGATCCTTATCTGGGGGGGATCGAGCAGCGTTGGATCTTGCGCCGTCCAGCTTTGTGCTGCTGCTGGTCTGACCGTTCTCACCACCTCCTCAACTAAGAATTACGTGTATGCTAAAGACATTGGTGCGGCCGAGACTTTCGACTACAATGACGATGAGGTCGTTGACAAGCTTGTGAAGGCAACGCGAGGGAAAGAAGTTGTTGGAGCCTACGATGCTATCTCTTCGGAAGCCAGCCTGGCGGCCTGCGTTAATTTTCTCTATGCTGTCGGAGGTGGCAAGTTGTCCCTCACACTGGCCGGAACAAAACTCCCGGACATGCCTGAGAGTGTGAAGGCAGTCGCCGGGCGCCCGCCACTTCAAGGCCCCGATGGTGGAGAGCCAATCTGGAGGCAGGTGTGGAAAGATTTCCTCGAGACAGGTCTGCAAAATGGGAAGCTGAAAGCCAAACCTGATGCTCATATACTCAAGGGTGGACTGGAAAGGCTACAGGAGGGTCTTGACCTGGTGCGAAAGGGCGTTTCTGCAAAAAAGATTGTTGTCGACTTGGCAGAGTAATTGTGCCATTTGGACAGGATCGTGAAAGGTACGCATGGGCCAGAACAAGGTTTCAAATTGTATGCAAAGGAAAGATTTAAGATTAAGCACTAGAGACGCCTCTACCTAAACGCCATGTGTAACGACTATTTTCGTGAAAACCTTCTGCCAGGCACACGCAGCTTATATACGGTTCATCTCTACATCCGTAATACTCACATCACCTCTCGTTCTTGCCATTTTTCGATCCTGTTTCCCAGCTTTCTTTGCCGCCTTAATCTGCTTCTTCTCGGCTTTCCTCTCTTTTCTGCTGGGGAACTCGCTCTCCGGGCCTTTCAGTGCAAGACCTGGGTGAATGACAGCCAAGATGAGGATAGCTAGGCTCATTGGAAACGCGTCTAGAGCCAAAGCGTACTTCTCGTGGTAAGGTAGCGGATTATCCACCCCGGCTCCGGCGGAGAACTCGATCAGACGGAAGATGATACGCATGGTGATAAGGGCAAGGGCCGCGTACAGCGCATATGTGACCCACTGCCACCTCTTGCCAAGCCAGCCAGCCCCATTTCTCTCGAAGCGTTGAAGCTCGATCTGGAAGCGAACGATAAGGGCGAAGAAGAGAAGAATGAACAGCTGCTGGACTCCGACGCCTGTCATGTAGATGTTCTTTCCTGGGTGACGTTAGCACAAATTGCCCATTTTCGGCTCAATTAAACACTTGCCTGTCGTCATGGTACTCGCGCTGGCGCCCGGAGACAGCATAAGACCGCCAACGGCTTGAACGAGGAAGGAGAAGACGTCGAGCCACACAAAGTATTTGCCCAAGCTGATCGCTTTGAAACCCCAAACTTTTTTGTTGGGATGGTAGGTCCAGATGAGCCGTCCCGCCGTCATATACACGTAGGCATTCACCCATAAGGGTGCAAGGAGGAAGAGGAGGGTGGCGGTGAATGAAAACGCCTGAGACTGCTGGTCGTGTGCGCCGAGCGCGCGCGTTACGAAGGCGATGAATTCCCATGATACACCCATGATCATGACCCAGGAAAAGCCCTTGCGGAACAGAATAGCAAGGGCGAAGTGTGCGATAAAGAGCATACCGAACAGGGCCGAGAAAGCGACTGCGGCTGCGAACGACGGGGAGTATGCCCACTGAGCATTGCATGCGTCTGGTGGGACAAATCCATACTGTCCTGGTATAGCTGTTGTGCAAAAGGGAGTCGAAGTAGATGTCGTGCCAGTGGTAGACTGGGTCGCGGTCGGCGTTGCCATTATCTCGGTTTCAAGTGGATGATACAGTTGTGAAGTTGCGAGGTTCAGTCCCTGGAGAATGAAGTAATTGTATGACGATATGTTTGGCGGTGTATCTCATACATACCATTCCCCTTCCTTATATATCTATCAGAATCGCTCATATGCGGCTCATCCTGTGCTCTAGCTTAGCAGTCTTGCGCGTCCTCACCAGGCGGACCTCGTATTGTCACGTGTTGTGCTACAACAATTGACGAGCGAACCAATCAAACACCTTGCAGATCTCAATGAAGCATAGGACGTGCTAATTACAACATAAGCAATGCCTACCACAGCCAAGTACATGACATCCGTGCAACTGGGCGGACTAAGCCTCGGGGGCCTTGCGTGGCGCATGTGTTGAGTTGCTCGTCTGATTGCTCGATTCGGTTTAGCCTCTTCTTAGTGCATCTTAGAACAGCCCGACAGGGGCTTAAAGTAGACGAAGGAGCCAATGGCAGCGACAGAGGGCCGAGTCTGTAACATGTCGCGCAAGAGTTGCAAAGGACGCTGACCGACCGTTGATGTGCCTGGTAAGTTTCCTGGTAGGTAAGCATTGTACTCTAAGACTCGAGGAGGTACTGTATCGAGAGCACTGCCCTACTCTGATGAAGCCCGCGCGATACCAAGAAAGTGAAGGACGATGGTGTGAGCTTATGAGCATACGAGAGTGAACCTCCAATCATAAAGGATAATGTACATGTGTTGTCTCGTCCTCGGGAACACTGGTCGACGCCAGCCGTAGGTGCAGACAGGAAGACCTGAGGGTGTCTAGGACTCATGCAACTTGTGAGTGCAGAAGCTGCTTGACAATTGTCTTCAACGCGTTCGTGCACCCGGAGAGAAGACGTAGGTTCTGAGAGCATTCCTACATTTGCGCTACACGACAAGCGGCAAGCGCATCCAAAGTGCTGGTACTAGAAGCTCCGCTAGCTAGTGACCATTCCGGCTCTACGCTCGAACTTCCACACTTCACGTTACCAGGCATTTCTTTGTTCCATCCACCATCTTACCCATTCTCGCATCGATTCCATTGGTGAATCAATTTCGGACATCGGCTATGCGTAGGTGCGAAGCTGCGTTGGTCGAGTGTGTAGAGGAGCCGGACGCGTTATCAACAGGACAGGTAGTCTCGATTGTTGTTAGTGAGGGCGTTACCCAAAACTGGCGCAGAGGCGGCATGGTGAAGGTTTAGAATATCTTGGTCGCACCAACGGGACGAGTAGGATGTGTGTATTTTTTGTATGGCGCCAAACGTGCTCAGCACGTGTGCAGCGGGGCGCCACTTCTTCATATTAACCATGAGCGAGATTGAGCACGTTTCTGCAAACAACCTCGAACTGTCGCGTAGCCGCACCCTGGCACGGTTAATCTGCAGCCACCATGTCTACAACACGGAGGCCATTCAAAATTTCTCAATTACATATTGCGCCGGGCGCCGTCTTTCGCGAAAGTCCACGTTAACACTTTGCAGCTGCTTTGCTTACCCTGGAGGTACCATGGCACGACTCAACGCGCTTTCGGCTGCAATCCTCTTTCTGCCTGCAGCGACATGTATGGACATGGCTTTGACCAATACTCGGAACAACCATGGACTTATCGGTTATGGAATCAACATGTACAAGCCGAATTGCGCCTTCTCCTGTCGCGCCGCTATCTCGTCATGCACCTTGAACTGCTCGACCATGATGGAGATGGAAGGGATGGATATGTCCATGGATGACATGATGATGGAGACATCCGCCGAATGCTATGCAACCGATGATGCGTTCCTGAAGACGATGGCTTACTGCATATCCCAGAAGTGCGAAGGGCTGCAGAAATGGGAGCTGGAGAAGTACTGGCAAGACAACATACCCGGTACTAGTGCGGTGCAACCAAGCCCCAAGTGGACCTACCAGGAATCGCTCGATACAATATCCAGTCCTCCAAATCAGACTGTAATAGGTGGAGACTCCTTGAACCAGACTATGCTAGTGAGCGAGGATGACTGGCTAGCGAATTGGAATGCACAGAATTCATTCGAGGAAGCTGAAGGAAAGCACGAGAAGTACAGGTAAGACTCTGCAGGTTTTTTCTTTTTCAATCGGATATAGAGCAACACTACAGCGAAGGCTTGTGCTTACCGGACCACAGTATCATTGTCATTGTCACTTGTTTTGCGCTACCGATCGCTCTCTCGTTCCTACGCTTCGTCCCATTCCCGAACACGCTCGTCACTCGGTTCAATGCCTGGATCATTGATCCTCCGCTGTGGGGTACGAAGCAGAAGCAGCCGCTAGCTGGTGGTTTGGGCCTCATGCCAACACGAGGCCAGGCATTGTTCATCGGCTATATTCTTCTCATCAACGTCGTTCTCTCGTCAGTCGGCTACCGCTCATCGCAACCAAACGCATGGAACCCAGACAGCGTACGCAATGAGATTATTACGCTGGTAGCAAACCGAGTGGGCGTCTTGAGTTTCGCGAACCTCCCACTGCTGATTCTGTATTCAAGCCGCAACAACATCCTGTTTTTGATTACCGATTGGAGCCACTCCACGTTCCTGCTATTGCACCGGTGGGTCGCAGGTATCGCGACAATTCAAGCCATCTTGCATTCCATCATCTACCTCCAACTTAGGATCGAGGCACACACCCATGCAGAAGAGAGCAAGCTGCCTTACTGGATCTGGGGAATCGTAGGAACCCTGTCCATGTCCCTCATCTTACCATCTTCTGTGCTTTACATCCGCCACAAAGCATATGAGCTTTTCCTCGCATGGCATGTTGCCCTATCCATCCTGACGATTGTTGGTTGCTACTACCACATCCTCTTCCGGTTCGCGCACCAGTGGGGATACGAGACGTGGATATGGGCGGCAATGGCCGTGTGGGGCTTCGACCGCGTCTTGAGGATGCTCCGCATGGCGAAGAACGGGTTGCGCTCTGCCGTAGTTACCAAAGTCGATGATGACTACGTCCGAGTGGATGTTGCAGGCGTTGCTGCATCAGGGCATGCATATCTCTACTTCCCAACCTTGACATGGCGTGTTTGGGAGAACCACCCCTTTTCTGTGGCATCTACCGCGACCCCCCAGTTCGTACAAAAGTCCAAGTCACTTAGGGATGAAGAGTCAGGCTCGTCCGAAAAGGACGAGATCAAAATTTCTACTGCAGCTGCTTCTAGCAACAGCTCGACTCATGGACCCGCGAAGCTAGGGCTGACGTTCTTCCTCCGCCGCCAAGGTGGGCTCACCCAGCAACTTGTCTCTCGGGCTACTCTTCCCGTGCTTGTTGAGTCTTCTTACGGCACTCATGTCGATACGTCGCACTTCCCACACCTGGTCTGCATTGTTGGAGGTATAGGCATCACTGCCGTGTTGCCGTATCTGCGCTCGCATCCGGGATCCTCCAAGTTGTACTGGGGCGTGCGGTCTGCTGGTATTTTGCATGCTGTTGATGACGAGCTCCTGAAGAATGTGGATAAAGAGGTATTTGTAGGCAGTAGAATGAACATCCGAGCGGTGCTGCAGGAAGAGGCTGCGTATGCCGGTGAAGGGGGTGTTACGGTACTAGTCTCTGGACCTGGGGGAATGGCGGATGAAGCGCGGATCGTTGTATCGGAGATCGGCAGGCAGGGGAAAGTCAACATGAGGCTTGTGGACGAAGCTTTCAGCTGGTGAAGGGGCATATGGTGGTGTGTGTCGAGCCTTTACATATGATACCAATTCCTTTCTATGCTTGACTTTCCATGTGTCCTGAGTCCCACAAATCGAACAAACCTGTGTAATTTGTGCTATTACGACGTATTGTGCCTGATTCTGGCTCGGCAATAGCTTTGCATCATGGTAGAGGTTCACCGAGTATCTAGGAGCCTGTGCTCAGTCATTGTCCTACTCTGTGCCACCTCGACGGCTAGCTCGAGCGTATACAAACTGAACGATGTACACATGTCAAGTTACCACGTGTTTTCAGTTGTGGACCAAGATCGCAGGCGTGACTTTTTGGACCCGTTGTGCACTGGCTCCTGCCTACCAGGGCATCCTGGAGCAAGGAGATTTGACAGTTTCCAAAGTTTCTGGAAGTACGGCAAGGGATTCGCGGGTCGGGAGACAGCTAGAGTCGCAAAAGGGCTACTTGTTAGGATATCCTAGATAGACGTGTTAGTACGGAATATTGGTTGGGGGCCACCAGTCCGTTGAACGAGCATCGTGTGCTCTGGAATCCGGTCACAGTGGATGCGGCTTGAGACATGCGGCTTGAGACATTACTACGGTGCTGTCATGACCAGCACATCCGCGCATGGGGACGAAAACGACTTCTCGTCACATGTGAATGGAGTCTGCGTTTGCGACGAGGCTGAAGCTGGGGCGCGATGGAGTAAGCGGCGCTACGTGACTCACGCGGCTGCGATAGTGGCGGGGGAAGAGCAAGCGCGCCCGGAAAGAGCAAACCACGGCACCGAAGTCCAGCGGCACTCACGCCCAAGACAAGGACACAATCCTGACTGCGACATGCCTTTTGTGCGCTGCCATAACACGCTCGTCCTTCTTTGTTGCGCCGTGCCGGCTCTGTTGGTCGTGTTGGCGACGGGCGCGGCAGCCTTGTCGCTGCGCGTCGCTGCCATCTGGCCGCTCGCTGCGGGCAGCGCCGGGGATGCTTGTTGGACCGGTGAGGCAGTGCGGGCTGGCGGGCTGCGCGCTGCATTCCAGTGGCAGGCTGCTCGGCCTGGCGGCGAGAGAGAGAGGGAGTGCGTGGTTCGCGATGTTGACGGCGCGATATCGCTTGGTCGCTCCGGCATCCTCGGCCTGGTGCTAGTCGCGAGGTGAGGCAATGGCGACGCGAGCAGGTAGTCCGAGCGGCGGCGACGGAGCGTCATCGCAACGGCGAAGGCCGGGCCTCGCTCTCTCACCCACGACACGACGCAGGCGCGGGCGGCGCTGTCTCTCACGCTCACGTCGCCCGCGCGCTCGCTGCGACGCGGGCCCAGTGCAGCGTCGGCGGCGCGCGTCGCAGGGGCACACGGGGTGCAGTGCAGTGCAGTGACGGCGGGCGGCGCATTGATGGGGTAGCCCCTATTCCTTCACCGCGGCCAGGGTGCAGAAGTTTCTGGCGCAAAAGCGGCGCAGAGGGGCCCGTGCGCCAGGCAGCAGTCGCAGGTATAAAGCCACCCGCTCCCCCCAACTTTAAAAACCCTTTCCGGCCTGCTCACTCCGCCGCCTCACCACCACACCGCCCGCCCCCACGCTGCTGCAAGCTGCGAATCATCCGCGATTCCATTGCGCGCACACTAATAATCTGCCTGCGATTAATCCACCGCGGTTTTTCGCGCGCTTCCGCTCTCTCCCAGGCTCCGGAGCTCTCTCGCGCCCGCGCTAGGCCAGATCCGTCCGCCAGCCTTGCCCCACGCAGCACGCAGGCGCCCTATAGACACACCAAGCGCAAGCTGGTATCGCACTCGGTGTCCTATTCCTCTCGAAGTAGATAGCTGTCCTTCCGGACACGACCGACGACTCGGCTTCACACACTCGGCACTGGGACTCATTGGGTTGAAGATCTCCTGCCATCGGTACGGACCTCCCCCGCCTCCCAAGCCCCGCGCTCAGGCGAAGACCGTCCTCGCGAACGCGATCCGTCCCAGCCCGACCGACTGTGCCTGTCGTCGCGTCTGTACATAGTTCTGACCTGTGCAGTCAAGCCAAGTCACTCGAGTATCCCACTCGGACGAATCAATAATTGAACTCATCATGGATTCTCTTGTCGCCCACCCGTCGAACCCTCAACAGGCCAAGGCGGTAAGCATATGTGTGATGTCTTTGCGAATCAACATTAGTTCTAACAACACCTCAGTTCACCGCGCCGGGAAGCTTGTCCTACCCCAACAGCGCTGCTGAGCTGACCCCTCCGTCCTCGGAGAAGAACGCCATGGGTGATGCAAAGGTCAACGGCGTTGCCACTCCCGCAGACACCCCCGATGCCAACGCGAACGCGTCAGGTATCGTGCCAACCCTGCAGAACATCGTCGCTACCGTGAACCTGTCTGCCCGCCTGGACCTCAAGACCATTGCCCTGCACGCGCGGAACGCGGAGTACAATCCCAAGCGTTTCGCTGCCGTCATCATGCGTATCCGTGAGCCCAAGACTACGGCTCTGGTGTTCGCGTCCGGCAAGATGGTCGTGACCGGTGCCAAGAGCGAGGACGACAGCAAGCTTGCTTCTCGCAAGTACGCGCGTATCATCCAGAAGCTCGGCTTCAACGCCAAGTTCAGTGACTTCAAGATCCAGAACATTGTCGGCTCTTGCGACATCAAGTTCCCGATCCGTCTCGAGGGTCTCGCTAGCCACCATCACACTTTCTCCTCCTATGAGCCTGAGCTCTTCCCTGGTCTCATCTACCGTATGATGAAGCCTAAGATTGTGCTTCTAATCTTCGTCTCCGGCAAGATCGTGCTCACAGGAGTAAGTAGTGTCTGTTCCTTACAGACGCGCGCTTGTATCAGTATTGCTAACATACCGTGTTTCTAGGCCAAGGTTCGCGAGGAAATTTACCAGGCGTTCGAGCTCATCTACCCCGTTCTCGCGGACTTCCGCAAGTCCTAGGCCATGCCACAGGCCTTGCTCTCTTCATCTGTTTTATCTGCGGCATTGCATGGTGTTCCGGACATGTTTCGGTCGGGTGGTCTCATTTTCACGGTTTCCAAAACGTTTTCCTTCACACACACACATTAGACATCTCTCCGGGTAATCCCGACAACCATGGGAGTCGGTAGTGGCGGTAGTGATTTTTCTTCTATCTTCTCTCAACATGGGTACGATACGGCGGGGTGGCGGTGCTGAAACACGAGATTGACATCGGGGATCGGAGTCGTAGATGATTGTTTGCTTGCTTCGAATGCTTGCGCGTGCGGACGGACAGTACATGTCCGCACAGGAGGGGCTCGTTTGGGGCGGCCTTTGAGATGCCCGAGCTCCCCAGTGAATGGATGGTGGTGTCTTGCGCTCTATTGTGGGTATCCTTTGGCGGGTCTGTTTGGAGATCTTAGCCGATAAGGATTATACTTTGGTAGCAATTTCACCACGATATATTCAACATGATCGTGCCGTCAATTTATGTGATGAATGTTGTTGCTGTGACTGACTCTGGTCCGCGCCGAGGCGAGAGCAGGAATTCTGATCCTGGAGCCGCTTGCAAAATGTTGGTGACATGCTGTAGGGAAGGATGAAGTGTGACATCCATTGCTTTCTTTAAGCTGCCGACGTTGGAGGCCTGTTCGGGGACCGAGGCAGCCTGGGGTGTCGGTGTTGGATTCTGGAGCGTGGCGTTAGGTGGGTACTAGACTCGATGTGATGAGGGAATACTAAACTGGATGTGCATCCGTCAGACTTTATGACCCGAGGAGGATCACGTCGGAGTGCAGGTACGTTGAGGGCGCCGCGAGGGTGGTGTGTGCTTGCGTCTAGGCGACGGTACGGGCGTTCAACGGCAGCGGGCGGCGTGTGATGAATGTGTGTGTGTGTGCCTGCGCGCGTGAGTGAGTGTTGTGGGGTGGAGCCCCTTGGGGGAGGCGCGTTATTTGACGTGTGCCGTCGTGGTCACATACCACCAAGCGCGTCATGTGACGCCTCCGGAGCTGCGGGCCCGCGATAATACCGTCACTATCAGATTATTGCCATATAACCGCATGCAATCAAATATGTAAACAAGCCATGGGGCCGGCCCGTTGAGCATATGCATGCTGCATTGCATACACGCGCCTACATGATCATGTTCGCGCTGTTCGTTTATTATTATATTACTACTTATACGGCGTTATGAGTACAGTGATGGCTGTCTGGACAGCAAGGTAAGGTGTGGGTATCATAGAATATTAATGTGTTGTACAGCACAGTAGCGCACAGCAAGCTAGAGACCCGCTTCGATTCGTAGCTTGTGCTTCTCCTTACTGTCACGACGTCAAACAAACGTCTTTGATATGCCTTTGCCTGTGCCTGTGCCGCGTCTCGTCAAGTCGGTATAGGCAGCGAAACTTCGTCCGGAAGTGGAGGGCGCGCAAGCGATGAGTACGCACGACAACCCAGGACCAGGTAGATCACGCAGGCGAATACTGCTATATCTTCTGGCTTCTGATACGTAATAGTCAAAGGCGGTAGGAATGATGGCCAATAGGGCACGGAGCGATACCCCGGGGTATTGTGGAGCATAGGCTGGTTGGCGAAGGATAAGACGTGTTGATGTGAGACAGTCCAACTTGGGTCATCCTAACCACGACGACAATGCAAACATTACGCAAGTAGGCGAATACGACGATGAAATCCAATAGGTCTCATCCGTCTTCGTGGCGATACTGGTATGGCAGATCGCCTACACCTGGGCGGAGGTTGAGACGCACAACAACAGAGCCGGCTGAACGTAGCGAAGAAGTCGACGAGTTTGGCAACAAGGTCGACGGGCTCCTCTGCATCGTGCTTCGTCGCACGGAGCCTTCGCCCGAGACTGCTGATCGAATAGATGGCGTCCTTGGCTGGACGAAGCCTTCACCGCTCGCAGTCCTGATCATGGAAGGCGCCGTCTGTACTGTCTGCGGGGAGCTAGGGCTCGGGTGCTCCTCAGAGGAAAACTCGGAACGGTTGTCAGCCATGGGTGTTCTATATGGCAGACCGGTACGCGAGGAATCATGAGAGGATGTATACGAGGAGACAGTGGGAGCAAGACTGCGTGTCTCGATATCAGAAGAGGCGGCGCGTGCTTCGTCAATAACCACAGGGTCGAGCTCTGTCATTCCGTTGAGGATCTCGGTGAACACAGCCATGATGTCTCTGAACTCATGCTCTGTGAGGCACTTTGTGGAGAAGCGTGCGTACTCGTAGAGAGAAAGGAACTTGGGCCCGAGAGTGGGCGGGTTCAGCAGACCGAACGAGGATAGCCGTGCCAGGTAGTCGCGCAGGCCCATAGTGCGCGGCCGCTGTAGGAGAGCGACAATCTGCGCGTCCGGGAGCATAGGTGTGTCTTGAATGCGAAGCGCACGATCCTCCAGTGCCGGATCAGGTGGCGCCAGTGAGACAGCTTTGGCTTCGATCAGGTTGGGCAGCTCGTTAACGACGTTACTATACTGCAGGTTGGGCAGATCCGGGCTCGCGGGAGACGCCCACCCAGGATGCGAGACACGGCCCCACGGCGGCGACTCTGGGTTTACAGGTATGACGGTAGCCGGAAAGGCATGCCTCTTCTTGTGGGTGTGATGGGCCCTCGTGGGTCCTTGTCCGTCATCGTCGCCCGCTTCGCCCCGCGCATCCCGAGGCATGCTGTCCCATGCGACCACTGCGCTCCTCCGCAACTTCTTGACAATCATCCTACGCACCAGCTTGCCCACCTCGCCATCCTCGATTGGAACGTACGGCTTCGGGATTGCCTGCAGCACGCTCCTGTTCGTGTACAGCCGCGTGCTGTAGACAAGAAGTATGATCAAGACAGTGAGCACGTAGACGCCGCCAATGACAAAGATTTTCTGCAGTTCGTCGGATCGGAACGACTGGTACACGGTTTCCGCAGGGGTGACGGCGAGGAGGACCAGGAGGATGCCAAAGATGACCGTGTACGTGGTCGAGTACCAGATGCGGAAGAGGGTCGGAATGCGCATGATGGATATCGGGCGGTAGGATGCGTATTATGTATTACATGGTTCAGGAATGCGACAGTGTTTCGGCGCCGAGGGGCATCATTGGGGGGATGTTTGGGTCTGTGAGGGTTGCTTGGACTTGCCAAGCCAACCCCAGACTTGCGGCAGGCCACATGCGCATCCCTGGTGTGCTGCGTCACCGGCCTCAATTGGCGGAACACTCGAAGCATCGCATGTCAACATTTGAACAGCAAGGCGGTGTACACTTCTGTCGGCGAATGGGAAAGCAGTGGTTGTTCTTGAGAAAGCTATTAGAGCTCTTGTAAGGCCTAGTGAGATAGACTGAATACTTTAAGAGCATAGAACACGAGTGCACTTGGGATGCTGGACCTGTCAAGGCCACCGGCGTGCCCAAGTTCTGCAGAGAAACACTGTAGAGGAAGGCCTCTGTTTTTGCGCAGAGCACCCGGCCGGCGACGTTTTATCGACATGGCCGCCTACGCTATGCTCAGTCCTCGCAATGTGTTAGCTCCTCGCGACTCTATCCGTACATCGCTCCAGCCAGCGCGTATTACAGCGCTGCGGAAACATCAAACACCTCCGTTATCCCAGTTCGCAAGACGTTCGACGAGCTACTCGTCAAGATGCCGAAGGAACACGAAGTGATCGCCCAGTCGATCCGAATTGAAGTCGGACCACCGAAACGGCCCGTGCATCGCAGCTCGCAAATCGTCACAGTTGTCGGACCCGACTTCGCCCCTGCAAACAAGCCATGGCGCACACGTTACTACCGCGCGCAGCAGTGCGCTTGAGCTCCCAATCCTCACTCCTCGCAGCCACATGCGCCACTGTCACGCCATGTCGACAACTGTGCGCTTCCTGTCCCAAATCGCAACCCGTTGTACCTACTCACACGACCCAGCTTCCCGCGCACCCCGAAAACGCAAGGCCCCGCGCGAACCTTCACCTGTAGCCCAATTGTGCAGAAGAAAGCTGGCAAGACCAACAAAGCCAATGCCCGAACCGACTCAACCCCCGTCTCAAAAGCGGGAACGTCCACTGCGACAGATGAAGCCTACGACCTTTCCATCCTCGAGTCAGAGATCCTCAGAGCCATGGAGCAGCTCACGCACAAGCTCTCTCAACTGCGCAGCGGCGGCCGGCTGAACCCCGAGGTGGTAGAGAGCCTCAAGGTGCAGCTGGGAAGCGCGGGCAAGGACGGCGACGGGAAGGAGACAGTGCGGTTGGGCGACATCGCGCAGGTCGTGCCCAGGGGAAGAACGCTGAATGTCCTCTGTGGAGAGGCTGAGGTGCGTTGGTTTTCGCGTGCAGGCGTTTGTGAGGGGAACTGATAACCTGTTGCAGCATATCAAACCGGTATCGACAGCAATTGCAGCGTCGCCGCACTCGCTCACACCACTCACGCCCGAAGCATCGACCCCCTTGACCATACAAGTTCCTCTCCCCCCTCCCACAGGCGAAACTCGTCGCGCGGCTATTCAGTCGGCATCAGCAGCTGCTGAGTTGGCGGATAAGTGGATTGCAAAGGCGCGCCAGAATCACAACCAGAAGTTGAGGAAGTACCAGCTCGACAAGACTGTCCTGCCAGACGATCTGCAGAAGGCGGGGAAGAGGATGGAAGAGGTGGTCAAGAAGGGCCATTCTGAAGTGAAGAGGATTGTAGATGGCGCGAAGAAGGTGCTTGAGGCACAATAGATGTCTTGGGCAGGGCTTTCGCGTCTGAAGAGCGTGTAGGATCATATGTGATGGGCGTGTTTGGAGCGCCGGCGAGTGTAGAGAGAAAACTACGAAAGTGTTGTATATTGGGTATCTATCAAGAAGAAGAAATCAATGAAACATACGAGTGCAGTCACATTCAATCGGCCCGCCGACGTCTGGTTCCGCTTCTACTTCATCTCATGTCCCTTTTGCGTGAACGCTGGACGCCCTGTACATAGAGCAGACGCAACGATAGGGGCATCATGCCTGGGGCCACCAACCGCAGCAGCCTCTGGTGTTCTCAACAGTCCTTCCTCGCTATGCCAGCTGTCGTGGCTTGGTTTGCGCAACTCCAATGTTACTGTTGTTTCTCGCTGCACATGGATCTTCGGTATGATTTGTTTCTGCTCATGCGATTTGAAAGGATTGAATGATTTTGACCATTTTGGTGCACGGTTTGACTTTTCCATGGTGGTTCGAGGTTCTGGTCCTGGTATTGGTGCGCACTCTATGAGCGCGGGGTCGCCACGCATCGAAGAGAAGGAGAGCTTTCTCGTATCATGGCCGTGGTGTGGACCGGTGTGGACCGTACCGCCGCCTGCTGAGCTTAACTTGCGCGCGATGATGTCGTCGAGTACGGACTTAAAGTCGTCTAGGAATATGGTATCAGAAGCACACTTGAAGACCAACGCAAACCGCCAGTATGGATTGATCCCAGATGCAGTCGTAATGTGCGCGGCATTGACTGCGACATCTGTGAGAAGAAATGCAATGGAAATGAACATGCATGCTAGCATGACTCCGAATCTTGAGTTGATCTTCACCAACGCCCAGATACTGTACCCATATGATTCTTTGATAGAGCTGATAAGCTTCCAGGTCGTGAATATCCACCATGGGTCGCGCAGGAGAGCTTCATAGGGTCGCATGCGCACGTTAACATCGGATCCAAGACCGTTGAAATACTCGAAGTTGGACCAGGCTTCCGCAATCCAGAAGGGCTGGACGGCAAGAAGAGAGAAGATGAAGAGCCGGGACCCCCAGAGGGGGAGGAAGGGGCGAATTTTCAGCCAGGAGACGACATTATGGATTTGATAGGAGATGAAAAGAAGCGCGGCGGTCGAGGAAAGGTACCAACCATAGTTAGGATCTTTGACGAAGATGAAAGTACCGTGCCATAGAGCGAGGACGAGCTGAGCCTTTTAGCAGGGTGCCTTGAATACAGACATTGGAGGCATACCTCGAACAGAATGAGCTTATGTAGCAGAATACCAGATCGATAGTTGCAGAAGACGATGAGGATGAGGATTATCAACGACCCAACATTATAACCTTGAGCCCATGCCTCAAGGAATCCTCCCTCTGTGGACAGGCTATCGCGAGTTGGTGGTTCCGTCCGTGTCGAAGGAATCGGTGTCCTCTTCTCCAGCAGTGTATAGTCAACGGCCAGTAAAGGCGCCATGATCTCGCATTCTCGTGCAAAGGTGGGCCGCAGAATCAGAATTGAGGGAATGCTAAGCGGGCATAGACTTCTAGTGTTATAAGTGTAACATCCGCGCAGCGAACAGGTTCTCGTATGGTTGACCAAGGCCTCCTACTATGACATCCAAGCGCAAAAGGGTCGGATACAACGCGGCAGTCCTCCACGCTTTTTGAAGGACAGTTAAATTGACAGCAAGGCGTTGGCGTGCCCTTTACATTGGTTGCTACTAAGCCGCAAGCCAGTTGAGCTGAGCCAACAGGCGGGCAGACCGCCCTGGTATTAGAAGCACGGCAGTCCATTACGGTTAAGATTGCCCGACCGTAGCGCTGATCCTCTAGTCATCTAGCGATCTCCTACATTTCTTGCACGCTCTGTGGAGGACTCAAGCCACACACGTGCGTCATAGAACACTCAGCATTACTGCCGCTTTCATGGGTCAAGCAAAATGCTGCTCCCCGGAGAAGGCAGTGATGATCCCGACTGAACGTCTCCATGGTGTTAGCTTGACCACGATTCGTGAGCGCAGGCTTACCTGGTGGAAGATCGACATCGGCCTTGCGCCACTTTGCTGGCAAGGCTGAGATATTTGGCGTCAAAGAACGGGCCGCCTGATGCGCTCACGGTGTAACCTTCTGCTTACCTTTCCTCCCACGAGAGCGGTGTAATCGAATCTCTCATCGTCGGTCAGGCTTTCGGCTGAATGGTGCCCTCTCTGCATCCGTATGGATAGTGCAATTCACGACACTGAGACGTCGGAGCAACTGTACGCTGCCATGGGGGCGGCGACTGCTTGATTACGCAGCTCTAATTGATCGGAATTATTGAAGATGCCGGAAAATGGTTAGTGATGGGGTTTCACGTTTCTAGTCATGAGAGAACTGTGAGAAAAGGAAGGCGTAGTCGGTGGCGGGAACGTACTCGGAAACCCCGCAATCTGGTAGTGCGGACGCAACCCGTCCCAACTTCATTGTCAGTTCACCGCACTGTCCTCATGTCCGATATGGTACGCGTGCCTTTTCAATGCCGAGTACGCTAGTCTAGAAACTAGAATGAAGCTTGTCCCAAGAGGTAACAAGATGTGCTCACGCACACCTCTTCTGTTTGGAAGACACTGCGCGGCTTACCGCGATATTGCAGCATTCAAGCCTCACGCACAGAAAGAGTGCGAAGATCGAAATTGCTAGGAGAATGTTGCATCCATAATTAAACTTGTTATCGTATGAGGACTATTCTATAATACAATCGCTCGAAGCAAAACCAGTCCCTTTTCCACATGGCATGCGAAACACAGCATTGCTGTCTTCTCGCTTGTCCTACAATCAGGACAACCAGGCTGAATGCAGATGCAAAAACAAATCACAAAAGTCATCACCTCTCGCCCTCAAATGCACGGGCTAGCGAGCGCACGCTTTATATCCTTCTTTTAACCTCCACTACAAATTCGCCTGTACACCACAACGTAAAATGATCTCTGTCCTAAGCGACCACATTGCGGTAGTAGCTCGTAGAAAGGTCAACTGAATGGCGAAGCCATAGGTCCTCGGTAAGCGGAAGCCGCAGCACGCTGGCGCGATCTGTGAGCTGCATCATCGTTAATTCTGGTCCGTACATTGAACTTCGCATCTCGCCTACCTTGTTCTTGGCCATCAAATTGGCGACCGTGCCCGCGATTTCGCTCAGCGCGACACGCTCCTCTAGACTCACGCCGTCCCATCGATCGGCCGCCACCTTCTCTAGGCTACGCTGTAGCTTCCTAAGTAGGCTATGGATATCATGATTTAGCTTGTCATCGGGGCGGTAGGGGTTGCGCTGCTCCGTGAGGTCGAGTAGGTGGATGTAATCGAAGTAGATCTGACCACCCTGGACCCAGCCCGTGATTGTCTCCGTTGTCTGCACATCCTCAAAGCCGCCCAGGAGCTCCCGCAGTGGGTCGAGATGGCGTGAGATGATGGCATCTGGACCGACACTACGGCAAAGCACTTCGTGCGCTTCTCGAAGCTCATTGGCTTTGATGAGGTGCGCGGCTTGATGGAGTGAATCGCCAATGCACTTGGCTTGCAAAGCGGAAGCTGCATACATCCATTGTTGCGGGATGCTCAACTTCAACAAAGCTTGATAGGTCGAATCGGATTGTCCAATCTCGTACGTGTTGGAGAATTGGTTGAGAAGCGAGCGGATGTGGTGTGAACGCATGGCAGGATTGGAGAGATGTGTGTACACCCACGCAGCGGTGGTCCAGTGCTTGGGCGTATGCAATGATGCGGCATAAGTGAGCGTGAGCTTGTCGCCGAGCTCGACAAGTGGATCTTCTGCTTGCTCGATTACGTTTGTAGAATTCACCGAGGAAAGCAGATCAGTCGGCCCTCGGCTGTCAGGGTCACGGAAGGTAGGCATTCCAACAATGCGATCGTCCTCTTCGGATGGATCGGTTCTACGAGAGTAGAACAATTGGAAAAGCTGGAACGCGAAGCGCGCGTTGAGTGGATGACCTGACACGTTCTCCGGCGCCAGAACGTCTTCGAGATTTGTGGGAACAAGCATTTTCGACGAGGCGTAAAGCTTGAGTATGCCCCAAAGGATGTCCTCTCGCTGTGTTTCCTGGGAATCGGTCCAACCCATATTGACGCCCTGCTCAATGAACCAGGGGACTGGCTTGACATCTTCGATGCCATTGCTCAAGGCGTCCGCGAATTGAGCCACAGCCATTTCAATGGGCTCATCGTTCGTTGCTTGATACCAGAGGCGAAGCCCAAAGGCGCGTCGCCAGTCCAGGTTGAAGCGGCTAGCGATTTTGAAGGTGGATACTTTGTTCTCTCTTCCCACGCCCGTGTTGCCTTCTGCTTCCGCGCAATTGCCTTGAATAAGCTCATACAGAGCTCGTACTGGTTCGTCCATCTCAGCGAGCTCATCCATCTTTCTCCACTCGTCGACTTGGGCGCTCATGTCTTGACGCACCGCAGCGTCTCCGCCGAGTTGAGACACGATGGTGGCGAGACGCAGATCTGACGCGTGGAACAGCGTAGTGACAGCATCCGCGATGGAATGGCAGCTGAGGTAGGCCAACGCCTTCTCCTCGTGCGTTGCGGCCTCTTTGGCATGGTTCTGCGCATCTTCAAAGACAAGAGACTGCCAAAAGCGGGACAAGCGCTCCTTGCGATCCTGAGCTAGCCATTGCTCCTGTTCATCTTGGGGTACGCTTGATGGGACTTGGCTGCCCCCATCAAAAAGCAATGAGAGCAGCTGCCACGCCTTGTGTTCTTGAACCCCGGCCGTAGTGCTAAGTGGAACAGCATCGGCCAATTCAGAAAACTCTAACGGCGTAGGCTCGGTCCGTAACTTCGCTTGAGGTACCTCGTCCGAATAGGAGATCCTAGTGTATTCTTGTTGGACAGCTATTGTGGGCGGGGCGGCCTGTAGCGTGTTAGTATAAATGATTGCCAAGTCGTGCACCAGCTTACATCAGCAAACGTAGGCAGTTGCTTGAAGCGAACGTCTTTCTGAGCTCCAGCGATCGGGGCCCGAATGCAATCGTAGCTGTCTTCGCTCGTGGTATCTGAGCCTTTGCCTGTGTATACTAGGATTCCGGTTTCGCTGAAATGAGGCTTGCCGCAGCTGTGGAATTCCTTGTCCGCATCGGTCAATTGGTCGAGGTCATTCGCTGTCTTTGGTCGCTTCGCATAAGGATACTAGACATAAGTTTCAGCAAATTGATTCATATTCACTTGCAATTACATACAGGACGGACCGAGGTCCCGGGCATCAATCTTGTAAGGAAACCTGCTATGGAACCCGCATGATTTGCACCCGTTCAAGACATATGATGGGAAAGGGGAAATCAAACCTGAATGCCGCGTTCAACTCGCTTCGAAGAGGAAACCTGTTGTGCGCTAGTCTTCCCAAAAAGAGAATCCATGAGCTCCATGCGGCTCATTGTAGCTTTCGTGTTCCGCACGCCAAGCGATTGTGCGAGACTGGCTGTGTTGTTGCCACGCTCGCGTAGTGCGTTACCTTGGCTCTCCCGAAGAGCCCGTCGATCCTGCTTCCGAGGGCTGATGGTGCGCTGCAGGGCATTGGCCCAATCATCGTCAAAAACTGCTGGTCCTTTCGAAGGGGTATCTGAGCTAGGCCGGAATAGATGGCTTGCTTTTAAGATCGACTTCGGTTTGACAGAATCCTTGAAGGGATCGGCTTGTCTGGCAATGTCTTGCTCCGTGGTACGAATCGGCCCAGATACAGAATCAGCCATGTCCTGATCTTCGACCGACTCAGATTCGCTTCCTTCCAGATACTCGTTCTGACCATCAAGCGAACCCACGGAGCGATCCCCTAAAAAAGACTCGCCAGTCTCTTCCATTTCCTCATCATCCTCAACTTCGTATGCCGCGTCGTCATCGAATTGTCCCGGGACGTTGGTGCGCTTAAGCAGACCTCGTTTGAAGTCGAAAGTGTCATCAGGGCTGGACTGAGTTGCGCTAGGAACAGAGTCTTGCGGTGTACTAGTCATCTGACTGCTTCCGAAACGAGCAGGTGTTTCCGGCACCGGGCTAAGCTCGCTGGACTCCAGGTCTTCCGGCTGGTCGTATTCGAAGCCGTAAGAAGAGAAGTGAGGAACACCAAAGACCCACTCACCAGTTTCGTTGTCGTAATTCTCGAAAGTAGTACCAGTGACTCGCTTCAAACGTTCGATATGCTTTGTGGGTTGCTTGCCTGACCCCCGATTGGTACCACGAGGCCATGAATTACCCATCGTGATGCGTGAAGGTTGGTTCAATCCTGACCCAAGAGGCGGTTTGGCAACGGTGCAAGTATCGCCGTAGACAGTAGCGTTGCGATGGTTGAGCGAGATGATATCACCGAACAACTTGTCGAGCGGGGTGCTCGATAAATCGACAGGTTTGCCATAGTGAAACTCAATCTTGCCGACCTTGTCGCGACCAACCACAAAGTTGGAGACGCTCTTGAGGTCGGACGGGCTCATCTTCTTTAAAGCGTCTATGCTGGGTTCAGACCAGTAACCACCGGGGGTAGGATCAATCGTTTGACCATTTTGTATGTTAAGCGATGCGGAAGTGCGAGGCTGCAAGGTTCGGTTCTCAGGAACAGGGGTCAGGTCGACACCGTTAACTTGCTCCATCTCGGGACTCTTGCCTTTGCGACCGCTGCTGCTCGTGCCATTGACAGTTGCAGGTGGAGACGTTGACTCAACCTCATCGCGTACAACCAAAGCATTGCCTGGTGAGCTGGGTTCCCCGTTAGTAGCAGAGCCGTTTGGTACAATCTCAGGGCTAGCCGCGACGAAGCTCACGCGCTTAGGGGTGGACTCTTCGAATAACAAAGGTCGCTGATTGATGTTCCGGTTGAGATTCAACTTCTTCAGGCTACCAGTGCCATAGGGGCGTCCAGTCATAGAGAAGGCACCCGGAGCGAGGACGCTAGTGTCAGCTGTATAAGTGTTACGCAGATTGCTCGACGACAAGCTTTTGCCCAAGTGACGAGAAAGACTGCCGGTGCTGAACATGCTGCCACCAAGCGGGCTGGACTGCGTGCTGCTTGGAGTTCCATAGGTCGAGTACGTGAATCCATATCCTCCGTTGCGCTTTCCTTGGGGCGTGAGGAGGCGAGTGGATTGAGAAGGATTCAACTTGTGTTGCGGAAGGATTGCGCTCCGCTTGTTCTTCTGGCTGCTCGACAGAGGCGTAGCAAGCGGGCCGGGGCTATGCAGAGGCGTGGACAGACCGGCGAAGAGGGGATCATTTCCGTAAGGGTTGGTCGTCATCGAAGTGTTGAGCAGGGAATTGGCAGACGCACCAAACAAGCTATTGTTCATAGGCTGTTGGTTGGACTGCTGCTGAGACTGATTGCCACCGAGCAGTGAGCCTCCGAGGGGAGCTGAATTGTTGTTGCTTTGACCGAGGCCAGAGAACAAGCCGCCACCGCTGTTCGTATTGGCGTTTGTAGATCCGCCGAAGAGACCTCCGGTTTTCTGCTGGTTGTTTGCACCGCCAAATAGGGAGTTGCCGGTATTCTGTTGGATACTTTGGCTTCCCATACCACCAAAAAGACCCCCAGTGTTGGATGTGCTGGTAGTGGAGTTTCCGAAAAGTCCTCCCGATGGCTGGCTGGGAGCACCCCCAAAGAGTCCACCCCCAGTCTTATTCTGACCAAACGCTCCACCACTCTGCGCCTGGTTCTGCTGTTGCCCTCCGAACAAACCGCCACCACCAGTAGTCGTTGTGGAGCTACCAAAGAGACTGGGTTTCTGCTGATTTTGCTGATTCTGTCCCAGGGCTCCCCCAAAAAGACCACCAGTTGACTGGTTTTGGGTCTGCTGGTTTTGGCCAAAGAGACCGCCAGTATTCGTGGCGGTGGTGTTGCTACCGCCGAACAGGCCACCGCCAGTATTCGTGGACGTTTGCGCGCCAGCACCGAATGCAGGTGTAGTAGATGCCTGATTCTGCTGGCCGAACAACCCGCCGCCAGTGTTTGTGGTACTGCCCCCAAAGGGGTTGCTGTTGGTGGTCGACGTGTTGGTGCCAAAGCCGCCTCCGAAAGCAGGCTTGTTCTGGGCAGCGCTATTCTGACCAAAGAGGCCACCACCGGTGGTTCCAGTTGAAGCACCAAAAGCGTTGCTCGTGTTCGCAGAGCCGAAAGGATTGCTTGCCGTGTTCGTGTTCGTGGTGCTGCCGAATAGCCCACCGGATGTGGCAGGCTGTGTGGCTGTGCTCGAACCAAAGAGACCGCCAGCAGGCTTGTTCTGACCAAAGAGACCTCCACCGCTGGTGGTGGTGTTATTGCTACCAAACGCAGAGTTCGTATTTGAACCGAATGGTGTGCCGGTGGTAGTGTTCTGGCTGCCAAAAAGTCCACCGCCTGTGTTAGTATTGGTTGCTCCGAACGAGGTGTTGGTGGTGTTGTTCGATCCAAAGCCTCCAAATCCAGTGCTCTGTCCGAATGCGCCTGCCTGACCGTTTTGATTGCCATAGCGACGTCCTTGAGCGTAGTCCACTACACGAAGCTCTTCTAGCGAGTAGTTCGAGTACGGTTGTTGAAAGGTAATCGTCTGGTATTGAGCCGAACTGTTTGCTGCTCCAGGGTCCTTCTCGGTGAAGGGCTGGAAAGGCGGGCCCGCGGTGCCATTGTTCGCGTTGCTGGTTGCACCAAAGCCCCCAGATGTTGACGCGCCAAAACCGCCAGTGGTATTGTTCGCACCAAATCCTCCGGAAGTGTTACCTCCGCCGAATAGACCACCTGTTGTGCCAGTGGTAGTATTGTTGGAGCCGAAACCTGTGGACTTGTTCTGACCGAAAATACCTCCGCCGGTATTTCCTCCGCCGAAAGCTGGGGTGGTGCTGCTCGTTGAGCCGAAGCCTCCCCCGAACGTGGTGTTTGACGTGGAGCCACCGCCAAACAATCCTCCACCAGTTGTAGAGCTACCGAATGGCTTCGAGCCAAAGCTGGTGGTGTTGTTGTTGGAACCGAATCCGCCTATATTGTCAAGTTAGAAGCGTCTTTAGGTGCGTACGATAGTACGCCCGAACTGAAAGCAATAACGAATGTTCAGGCGCGTTGGAAGAAGCCTGCGAAAAAGGTGCGCAAAACAAAATTGTCGAGCGCGTCGCGCAGATCCACGAAGACGAACAAAGCCTGAACGATGACACGAATGCGACGCGCAAAACTTCGACGTACCTCCGCCTCCGAATGGAGAACTTGTGCTGGCGTTGTTGCTGCTGCCGAACAAGCCGCCTCCTGTGTTGTTGTTCGAACCGCCGAAGATGCTCCCGCCGGTGTTCGTGTTGGAGCCGAAGCCTGAAGACGCGGAGAGCAAGTTAGACACATTCGAGCTGGCGCGGCGCTCGTCGGTCGGTGCGCGGTATTGACCGTCTCGCGAAGGCGTGTAGAGCCTGGTGACAAGAGAAAAGTGTGCTTACCTCCACTGGTGTTATTGTTAGACCCGAATCCGCCGAACGTCGACTGGGTGTTGCTGTTGGAGCCGAAGCCCCCAAATCCACCCGACCCAAACGACATGGTGGGCTGCCGGGACGAGGCGCGCGTTTACGTGTTCAAGCCGTACAATTTGCGGGCGCGGCGTGTGTGGGTGGCGGGGTCGTGGTTGCGCGCGGGCGTGGAGATGAGGTGAGGGCAAGAATGCGTGTGGTGCCGTATAGCTGGCAGAAAAAACGCCAAGCCGAGCTCGAGCAATCGCCGCGAGGTTTGCGCGCGGATTAGACGAAGGAGTGGAGACGCTCAGAGCGCAAGCAGATTAAATAGAGAAGGGGCCGTCATGGAAGAGCGACGGTGGAAAATGCGGCAGAGAGATCGGGGTGAGGGACGTCGCTGCTCTTCTGGGGGTTGGGCTTCGCGCTAAGCCCGTCAGGGCACCTGCCACGGGTCACGTGGCGCGAGCGCGCCGGCAAGACTTGCTGCAATAAACTTGGGTGACAAAGCGCAGAAGTCTTTGGCAAATAGCAGTCAAGCTTGCTGGCTTTGTGGTGGGCTGAGTCTCACAGCAGGCTACACTGGGACAGTTCTCCAGTTGCCACCTAGTGCTACCTGTTGCTGCCTGCGAGACTGAGGCAGACTGCGGCAGCTCAGCCCAGCGGAGGGGCCATGCTGAAACACTTCTTGTGGTCCAATGACTGGTCTGGCCTTGCCAAATCGTCAAAAGCTCCTCTGCAGAGCTGTAACTTGGAAAGGACGCTTTGGGCCGCCGAACAGTGACGTCCAGCGTGGGCTGTGCTGAACAGCCTCTTGCGTCAAGGTGAACACCGTAGATGCAGTAACAGCTAAAAGACATGAAGATGTATAGTAGCATAAGTTACCCTAGTCTCTACTACTACTTTCTCTACTCTCAAAGGTATGAGCTTAGCTTCGGTCTTTGGGGTGTCGTGAGAGACAACGACTGTGTTAGCGCGCGCGCAGCAAACCGCGCTACGAAGCGACGCGTTCCAAAGTTGTCGCGTTGGCGCCCGCCGCCATATGCTTGACCTACCCACCAAAACAAAGAAGTCTCAACGATAGCAGCATAGCACAAAACTGGGACCTCGACGCTACCGGTCACTACCTCGAAGCTTTGTAACCCACGATCGTCCGCATCGCACTTGCGACCCAATTCCGATCCCAGCCTCTTGCACAACGAGCATACACCCACATGGCAACGTCCTCCAACAACCAACCGCGCTTCGGCCACGGCGGCGGCATAAACGCCCGTGCTGCGCCTCTGCCTACACATCAACAGCCCTACACGACTCCCGGCTTCGGACCTTCATCCAAGAATGCGCAGACTCGCGAAGCCGAGCGGCTGGATGCCCAACGACGCGCCCGTGAACAAAAAGCAGCCGCCGAAACCGACGCACAAACTGCTCTGGAGTCCCTCTCTGAAGAACAGCGTGAAGAGATTCAAGAAGCATTCAACCTGTTTGACTTGGACAAAGATGGTTACATCGATTACCACGAACTGAAGGTAGCAATGAAGGCGCTGGGTTTCGACGAGCCGAAACAAGAGATCTTAGGCATACTCCAGACAAACGGAGTACAAGCAGCAGGGCAAGCAAGCGGGAGCAAGCAGAAGCAGCCGGTGGGCAACTACCAGAGTCCGCCGAGGTGGTTGCTGCCGTTCCAGTCATTCCAAGTGATCATGGCACAGCGCATTGTTTCGAGGAACCCACAGGATGAAATTAACAGAGCATTTGACCTATTCGATGGGGACGGCAAGGGAAACATAACGCTGCAAGACCTAGAGAGGGTTGCAAAGGAGCTGGGAGAGGGTCTGCAACACGAAGAGCTGCAAGCAATGATTGATGAATTCGATATGAATGGGGATGGTGCAATCAGTCGAGAGGAGTTCATCAACATTTGTCTTGGCTAAATGGGCGGCGGGCCGCGATGCGTTGAGCTGTTTCTTTACTGTTATTCAACAGCATATTGAATGGGGGGACTGGGCGTTATGCGGCGCGAGGGTGGACCAGCAAAAGTGAGGGCACACTGTTTCCTGTTCTTGAGATACCAATGGCACATCACAAATCCACCAAGTCTCAGCTTAGAAATTTACGATCAATTACACTGAGAACATATGCACAAGTCAGTGAGCAGACCGCCAGCCGAACGGAACAAATGAAACACTCATTGTACAAGACCATCTCCCTTGCTCTACTGTCCGGGGGCGATAAGCTGACCCTTCTTGTCTGCGTCGTGTGCCCAACCACCAGCGCGGGCCTCTCCGCCATGCTTGACCCCGTAGTCCTTGATCCTTGCCTCCAACTCTGGCCTAAAATGCCTGATTAGACCCTGCAGCGGCCACGCGAAAGCCTCGCCAAGAGCACAGATGGTATGACCTTCAACCTGCTTAGTCAACTCCTGAAGCATGTCGATCTCACGCTCCCGGGCCTGTCCCTTATAAAAGCGATCCATGATCTGATGCGTCCACTTTGAACCTTCACGGCAGGGTGTGCATTGGCCGCAGGATTCGTGGTGGTAGAACTTTGAGAGGCGCTGGATGGCGCGAACGACGTCGGTAGACTTGTCCATGACGATGACGGCAGCAGTGCCCAGACCAGACTGGGCGTCCTTTAGGGCATCGAAGTCCATGAGAACATCGTCGCAAATGTTCTTGGGCAGGATCGGCGTTGAAGAACCGCCAGGGATGACAGCCTTGAGGTTGTCCCATCCACCCCGAACGCCACCACAATGCTTGTCGATGAGCTCACGGAGAGGGATGGACATCTCTTCCTCCACGGTGCACGGGTTGTTGACGTGGCCAGAGATGCAGAAAAGTTTGGTGCCCTGATTGCGCTCGCGACCGAAGCCAGCAAACCAGCTACCTCCTCGTCGGCAAATGGTAGGCGCTACGGCAATAGTCTCGACATTGGCGACGGTAGAGGGGCATCCGAAGAGCCCGACGGCAGCAGGGAACGGAGGCTTCAAACGCGGCTTTCCGGGCTTGCCTTCCAGCGATTCGATGAGCGAAGTTTCCTCACCACACACGTATGCGCCCATTCCTCGGTGGAGGAAGACATCGAAGTCGTAACCGGAGCCGCAGGCGTTCTTGCCGATCAAGCCAGCTTGGTACGCCTCCTGGATCGCACGCTGAAGAACCGTGGCCTCGTGGTAGAACTCTCCGCGGATGTAGATGTAGGCAGCGGTCGCGTTCATGGCGCGACCGGCAACGAGACAGCCCTCAATAAGCTTGTGTGGGTCCTTGCGCATAATCTCGCGATCCTTGCACGTTCCGGGCTCACCCTCATCGGCGTTGACGACGAGGTAACGGGGCTTGGTATCGTTCTCCCACCCCTTGGTGTTCATGAATGACTGTCCAGAGTCAGCGTGGCGCTTCCCAATGGCTGTGGCTGTTCGTGGCTCGTACCCATTTCAAGCCTGAGGGGAAGCCAGCACCTCCTCGGCCTCGCAGACCCGATGCCTTGATCTCAGAGATGATCTGCCCACAGTTAGTCCAGCTCAGGGTGCCCTTTACAATGCTGCACGCACCCAATCGTGGCCCTTCAGTATGATTTCCTTCGTCTTGTGCCAGTCTCCATATTTCATCGCGCTCTTGAGATCGGCGCCATGGTGGCCGTACAAGTTCTGGAAGATCCTGTCCTGGTCCTTCAAGCCTCCATGGGTCTTCTTAGGCGCGTCGCTGACGGTCGCGAGCGTCCGGCGCTGGGGTTGCGACGGGGTGGCGGCGATCGAAAGGCGCGAAGCTGCAGAGGCGGCAGGGAGAGCTCGATGGGTGACAGCGCTCAGCGTCTGCGCGGCAGGAGCGTGGCGGGCGAGCATTGTGGGCGCTATATCGAGCAGGGCTCGTGCAATTGAGGCTCCGGGGGCGCGCGAGCGGTCGTTGTCGTCGTCGTTGTGGCGGGCGTGAAGCTCGACGATGTTCGGCTGCTGTGAGTCTTGGCGCCATCTGATTACATTTCCTTCCTCTGATTGGGCTGGGCGAACATGGTGACATCAACTGAGTGCTTAATGGCCGAGTCGCCCCGAGACACCGACATCACAGTATCAATTGCTGGTGTCTTGAACGTTCCTAGCTTGGCTTGACGCATGCAGTCTTCTACATTAAATGCCATGGTTTTCTGACATGACTATGCTCGTATGTAGAGGACGGCACAGCACGAGCTGGAATCAATCAATCATGTCGCTACGTGCGTCGTGCTGTGCCGTCCTCTACATACGAGCATAGTCAAGTATAACAGTCCGTCTATGGCGAGTACTCGATACCTGAGATATATGAAATCCCTCATACGAGGAGTCTGATCCCCGGGCTGTTGGGGACCGCGTCCACTACGTTGAAAACAAAAACCTGTCACTCACTTGCTTCACCTCGCCTGTTACGGCACTTGACCAACAGTCCGCTCTTACCTTGGCTGTTGTAAAATTTACTGCGTGCACTCACGCTCAGCTTTTGTTGAAGACTTCGTGTTCGGTTGACTTCTTTTCTGGAATCTAATAGAGGCTGGTCAACAACTTGAACACATCCGGAAAGGCCAGCCTGGCTGTAAGTACCTCATCTTTACCTTGTACATCTACCTTCCATAAGTATTAACGTGGAATGCATGGCGCAGGACACCACTCGGCATGTCACAACCATGTCGCGTTCTCGCGGCAGCGACTTCGTCGCCAGCCCTATCAAACCCGGTATCAGGTTCCGAGTCCAACATACCTACCATGTTATCCGATGGCAAGCGCATGCGTGCTATCTGGCGCCCCGAACACGGCGATGGTGAACATGTGCCGCACATTGTCGAACGCACCAAGAGCACGCTGCGCGGTCACCCTACGTGGAAGCTTTTCGTCGATGACATCACCCAACCGATTGTTCGCGGTAGCCAGGAGGAGCCTCCCCGTCATATGTACCTTGACGATGAAGCTTGCCACGTTGTCTGGAAATCCCAACAGTATACCGACACTGAGCTGAAGACTTACTGGCCATTCGACTTCGACCATCAGGGCAACATCAAAACAGGGCGACCAAATCGCGGGCGTCCAGCTTGGGTAGACACCGATATACCAGTGTACGCCAAAGGAAAGTTGCGCGGCAAAAACAAGTGGTATGAGTTCTCTGGAGAACCAGAGACGACAGAATACCGGCCCGTGAGACCAGCAAGCAAGAGCAAAATTGAACTACAGGTGGAGGCAGAGTGGGCTGCAAAGAACGCCCAAGATACGGGCGTTGTAAATTCCATTGAGGAGACTCTTGATATACCAACCAGCGAGACGTCTGCGAACAAGAACACCGCCCCTAGTAGTACCGCAATCACTATCGCAGTGGGACCACAACCACGACCTGATCTAACGCATGCGGCTTTCACTCTGGAGGAAAGTCTGAGACCAAAGAATTCTCAGTCTCGCTCTGTTGATGAAACCTCACTTGATGATTCACTTCACCACATCGAGGATACTTACTCCACAGCGGGCCCACAGCCAAACTCGCCTCAAAGAACGATCACGCCGCTGCCGAAGCGCAAGTTAGCCGCTCCCTTCCTCATGAGCAGCAGCTCTCCGAGGAACAACTCGCGAGGTTCTGATCCCAAAGACATCATCTCAGCAGAGCTCTCGCTCCTCGTGGCTGACCCGAGTGCGGACAACGAGCATGGCGGCCCGGATGAGCACCAATCGAGCTCAATGCTTGTTCAGCTGCCTAAGCTTCCACTTGAAGAGGACAGTGACCACGAGGAAAACGAGTTTCTTGAACGTGAGTGATTGGACCAAGACTTTTACAGCCTCACGCTGATTTCCAGCGTTACAGACATCAACCAGAATCTCAAAAGGAAGCCATAAGGAACCGATGCCCAGCTGAACACTCAAATGAAACGTGCACATGAAAAGATCTACTAGATCTTTGATCAATCGGACGAGTCATGTATGAGCACGCGAATATCCCCCAGATGAGCTGCAAAGACCGATTGTTTGCGGATTTTGGGCACAGCGAGGCGCCTCAGTTGCGATAATTCGGCTTCGAGCCCTGTCTAAAGTCTGTTTTCAAGACCGGATGGCCTTACATCTGAGTATAAAACGTGGACATCGGTTGCTATGCGTGGACTACATAGCTCGACGCGCGCGAAGTAATGACAATGTAGATCGCTGGCAAACGGCCGTGGCACAGCTTTTGTCTATCAATCAATTTCACATATTGTGCTAGCTTTACCTGTGATGATCTGAGCACATTGAAAGACCGGAGAAGGTTCAGGAGAAGAGATTGTATTCACTAGGTTCGAAAGGCTGCATTCGACACCAGGAAACCAGTTCAGTCCAGTCAGACGAACTACTACTAGCCTCCTAACTCATCTATTCCGCACTATGGGTATCTCAATTACGTATCAAACCACTCCAATTCGTCGTTCTTTCCAAAGATGGCTCTGTACACACGATCACCATCATCCTTGACGACCTCTTCGGTGTGGATGCTGTGAAGCTTGTATTCCCTCTCATCGGCGCTGCTTCCATCGGTGCCGTCCTTGGCGGACCCGAAGATGCGGACGTGGATGTATGCGTTGTTCAACGTGGGGATCTTGACCTTGCCAAAGAGGTGTAAGCCGTACGCAGAGACGGCGACGCGGACGGCCTCGAGATCGGAGGAAGAGAAAGATGTAAGGTCGTCATCGGAGAGGTCCTTGACTGCGCGGAAGTACTCGGGCTCGTGTTCTTGCTGTTGTTAGCGGTGTCTTAGTAGCAAGAATGCCGCACTTACTGTCATGATCACGGCGCAGCTTGGCGAGCTCTCCCTTAAGGTCAGGAAGGATCGAGTTGAAGGCATCGATGGAAGCCTGCTGCGGGGCATGGAGCTCGTTCAACTGGACAGTTTCCTCGGTAGCCATGATGCGCGCTGTGCTAGTGGTGGTGATGGGAGAAGTATTTGTGAATTACGTTGAGTAATAGCAGTCAGGACCTGATTGCAGGGCCAGCAGTCTTATAGGCTCGAGAGTACCCCTCCCAGGATGATGCCATTGCGTGCGTTGTCCAAGGACCAAGGTCGCGCGAAGCAGGTCGTGTCTCAGCTGTTGCCCTGTGCGAGCAACAACCCCGCAAAACCTGGAAAACCGTCTTGAACATTTACACATAGCCCTGGTTAAAAAATAATATTTCTTTCGGCATTGTCTAGCTGGATGTCCAGCATTCTTCTTGATGTGAACATCTCGCCTTTTGCAAGCTCGTAATGTTGATGATAGTAGCACCACGTTGCTCGAGACCCTGAGCAGCAAGTGGACCTACATACGCGTTATGCGACCAACCTCGGGATGACGTACGCCACGTGAACGATCTTTGTTCGCGCACCCATTTCCCGACGCCTAAATTTTCAAGGATACAAGTCGATTCATACAGGACAACGCGAAGAGGGCAAAGTTGATGATCCATACAATGGGATGTAACTAGGATGCACGTGCGCCATTCTGTATCTAGACGTTGAACAGACGCGCGCATGCGTACCCATGGTGTTCCCGGACTTCTGCGCGAAGGCTTGTGTACCGACTCTTTGGTCCTAGCATGTATGTACTGTTGAAGAGTCCGTCGAGGTTCGCGTAAACAAGCCGGTCGCACCTGCTTGAGATGGAAAACATGAACTACTCCATGGCTCGACTGATGAACCCACCGGTAGGACTGGCGGCGCGGCCAGCATGACTCCAGATTCCCCATTCGGATCTTTCGCCCCATCGATGTCTTGTCGGTCATCAGAACTTCAACTGTTGGTGGTGCTGGACTCCTACGACGAGTGCAGCTTAGGCACCCGAGGCGTGACTCAGAACGTGCTGACCCATACTATGGTATGAAGGATCAAAACAACGTACCGCCTGCACATGAGTCAGAATTTTCGCCCTTTTCTCCATAGCTATGCGAGTGGCCAAGGTGGAGAACAGCTCAAGGGCGCGGCACCAGATCATATAAGCTAGTCAATCGACACATTTCCTTCTACTCCACCACAGAAACTATTCCCTACAACGATTAGAAGCTTAAGGTAAACCGCCAGGAACCTTAAATTTCTCCAACTTTCGCTCGATCGATCACCGCCTATCTAATGTCCACCGACGCCACCCCTGCGACCGCCTCTAGCAGCACCAAGGCCGAGACTGCCGTATCCTACGCTGCACTTATCCTTGCTGACGACGGCGTCGAAATCACACCTGAGAAACTCCAGACCTTGCTCAAAGCCGCCAACATTGAGGACGTCGAACCTATCTGGACCACGCTCTTCGCCAAAGCACTCCAAGGTAAGGAAGTCAAGGACATCCTTACCGCCGTCTCGACTTCCGCGCCGGAGGTCGGAATCCAACCCGTTCTCGCGGATGAAAAGAACCATGACGAGCCCAATGAGGGCGCAGAAATCATCGACGGAGGAGACGGCAATGAGAGCGACGCGGACGTCGGAATGTTTGATCTTTTCGGCTGAACAGCAAGTACGGATTGAACGAGCAGGATGCGGGGAAAACTCGATCTCTGAGGTGGGAGTTTTGAGATCTTACGCTAGCTTCACAATGCAAGAGGCTCTTTCTTCCAAACGTTCCTGCATTTGTGATGTCTTGTGGTTGCTGCTTCGAAAATGCGTGTGCTTTGCCCTTTACCAAATGCAGGTTAAGTCTCAAGACTTATGATCCCAGAAACGCCCCACTGTTTGTCCCCGTCAGAGGACTCTTATGTAATTCATGAAAAGAGTTGGGTCAAGAACATTGAATATGCCAATTTATGTCTTATGGACAACAATATACTCCTTCGTGACCTCGATATGATCTCCGCTGAACTTTCCGCCACTCTCTAATGTTACGAAGGCATGGTTCTGCCAAGTTTCTTTTCCGACCCAACTTGCTGGGTGTAGGTGTGTCAACGGAGAGCCGCCATGGTCCGATCGTATTCTTAGCCGTTGGAGGCCATGCGAGAATCCACCCGGGGGCAACTCGCTACTGTCGATTTGCCAGCTATTATGGAACGGTGCAAGAGTGGGAATAGAGCATGCAATGATGCCCACAGCGATCTCAAGCGGTGAAAGAAGCATACGCCCCCAGGCCGCGCCGATAGGGTCCGACTGTATGTCTCCAAAGAAAGGAAAGACACAGTCCATACGTAGCACAGCGCAGACGGTACAACTACAAACTTTTAGTGTATATTCAGTCTTGCAAGGTCAGAAGCCAACTTACAAGGTTCCCAGGAAAAAGAGCGTAAGAACGGACAGCTTCCTCCGCTTGGAGGTCAGTTCCATCTCCGTGATGGCTGGGACTGCGAGGCACATGATCAGAGCGTTGAACGCAACATGCAGCGACCCAATACTTATGCAATTGCCCCTGTTAGGCAACGTACAAGTACCCGGTGGATGACAGTGGTATGCCCATGCAGCGAGAGCATAGACGAACCACGCAATCACCGAACCCATCATCAGATAAATCGAGACGAGGAGGAAGCGGCGAGTACTGTAGATCCGAGCATAGAACCACAGAAGAGAGAGCTGAACAGCTGTGATCGATGTCGCCCAGCAGTAATCGACGGCGAATTGTGTCTTGAAGTACGGTTAGTGGTATCCACGACAGCTTGTGGGAGACCACGGATTGCATACCCTTATCCAAAAGCGATGTTTCAGACGCTCACCAAAGTGCGCTTCCACTTCTTGAGTACTAAGCCCCTGGCCGTCCACAAGAACGAGAACAAAGACTATGACAACCACAAGTAGGCTCATGATCTATGACTGTTAGTATCATTCCCATTTGAGTTGTTATGATACACACCAGGCCACAAACGCAGAGAATGTCTTCAACCAGGGTATTGATTCGCTTCACCTGCCTGTCCCGCCATCGCACAATTACCACGCCTGTCGCTATAGCCAGAAAGATAGGAGGTATGACAAGAAGAATGATTTGTTGGTCGTTGACCACATCAAAGCGACGCTTTGCAAGGTGCATGGTAATCAGATATCTTCATAGTATGGTCGGTGGCATCAGGCAAGAGAAGATATATACCGCACAGCGTGCCTAGATCGTAAGCTGCATGACAGATGAGACAACGGAAGCTCAAGAAATGAAGGGCCGACGTTCGACCGGCGGCATTGTTAGCAGCCACAACAGGCTCGGCCGTATAGGACAGGATCTTGACGTTCTGCGACTCGTGTTACAAGGGCCCACCCGTAACACGTCCACGAGCGTGGGCGGAGTTCGGAAACCGAACGTCTGGGGGTGATGGAGTGGACCTGGTGCCGGATTGTGAGTGGGACGAGATCCGATATAGAAATATGTCATCTATACATGCGTTCCTTCCTGCGCACCTCGGCTGGTCTACACGCTCAGCACTGTATCTCAGCCCTGCTACGATGTGACGGACTTCAAAGTGTGTCTGCACTTAGGTACAGCTGACCAATGAACATCTAGATTGGAAAGCCTGCTAAGCGCCCATATGGGGCTTTGAGTCCGCTAATTTGGACGATCTTGCCATATGTTTCGCCTTTGACGTCTAGCTCGGTTGAGCATTCGATGACATACCCTAGCGTGGCGTATAACCTGCATGGTTCGAACTTTGTAAGTTCGAGATGACTCGCGCTCCGCTCAATACAAGTAGATTTGTCGCTGTGTTGGCGTGCAGACGACCTAGAATCTGCGTCCTAGAGCCTGCGTAGCTTCAACGGGTTTCGGAGCTATCACCTTTTATCTATCTTTCTTGGACAATAGTAACATCATCTCTTCCCATAACTAGTCTTCTCAAGAACTCATTGCAATCATAGTATATTTGTTCTTGAACCTTACGCTCCGTGCTCGCTATTGGTTCCTCGAGAGTTTGACAAGACAACGCTATGAACCCACGAAACGCTGCAGATATGCCACTGGCTTGCAGCACAGCCACACTGCGTTACATTGACCATCCACGGCGAACTAGCCTTCCTTTCCAAAGAATGCGCAAAGGGTCATGGTCCGAGATCCCCTTGCTTCCGTCGTCTGACCTTTGCGCGCGAGGCAAGTGCGAGTCTACACAACAGCCGCTTCATCCCGCACCAGCGAACGCCACGCACGTGCGCCTTGATCGTCCCTTCCCGAGCGGAGGCTAATCTAGTGTGCGGCTGAGATCTGCAGTTATCCGTGGCTTCATTTCTTCCCGTATCGTCAAACGTTCGTTGCTCTCACCATTTTAGCTCCGGGGCCGCCCACCACCGCACCGCGTTGAAGATGCAGCCAGTTGATACACAGAGGCGTTGACGGTGTCGGAAGGAGTTCTCTCCCCATCATTTCCGTGCTGCCGGCGCGTATCGAAGATGTGAGCATGATGTCGATGGCGCAGCGAGCGCGATGAAATTGATCGAAAGGGCATCCAAACTAACTTAGCGTGGACGGAAACTAGAGAGCCGAACGGCAGCTGCCGGCATCGGCCCCCATGTTTCTCTGGTCCTCTCGCATATCGATCCTCATACGGGTACAAAGGGAAGTCTCAGGGCGGCTGCGGCGGCATGTACAGGCAGCTCAAAAACATGCCTGCAATGGTGTAACCACAATCTGGTCACGATGACAGCAAAGATACCATGGCACCTCACTCCTCTCGCTCTTTAAAGAGTTGCGTGACATTATCTACACCTACTACTCAATCGAGCTTTACCTCGATATGACGACCATAAGCATCTCATGTGCTTGAAAGGTCTCCCATGCACTCCATCTGTAAGCAACTACGCGAAGAAACCCGCCATGAGATGTTATACCGCTACAACACCTTCGACATGTCGCTCCCAGGCGACTCAATGCGCAACAAGACCTCCTCTCGCGAACTGCATACCTCCGAGTATCGCGCCATTCAGTCTGTGAACGTGACGGGCACTACATCGTTCAACAAGATCCTCGTGATTACGGAAGAGGTGTTGAACGTGCCCTCGTCGCTAAGTGAAGATGGGTTGGGTTCAAAGACTAGGCTGCCAGAGTTGACGGACCTTGCTCTTAGTGTTTTTGCTGAGCGGCCTGGGTATATACATAGCGGGCCTTGGCTTGTGGGTTGTAGGATCCAGGTCAGTGGCTGGAGGGCGAGGATTTGAAAATGGGATGAAGGGTTAAGTTGAGCTTCACTTATCAAAGGTATGGAACAGTAGCTAAGAGGTCGATGGTGGTGTTGGCCAGGGCGTCTAGATGTCGGTGGGGGAAAGTAGCTCTGCTGGATTGGGGCTTCGGGTGTAATCGCGCCCCAGTTTTGGCGCAAAGGTCTCTTGCAATATTATGTACTTTCTCAAGGTCGCCGTATGCCGATACCCAAGAGGTATCTCATACTACCCCAGTTTATCAACTGTAGTTTCCATTCCTCGCAATGCTAGGACAACTTTGAAATACCATCTCCACTGTGACTTTGAGAGGATCAATAACTCAAGTGCTCCATCGCACCAACATGGAGACCCTCCGCCCAACATCCGAACATGAACGCTAATAGTTTCGTTGTAGCCCTCCACTCTAGATCATGCACCTCCTCCTCCTCCTCCTCCTCCTCCTCCTCCTCCTTCTGCTTGGCCTCGTCCATGGCAACCTTGGTGGCCAGAACCTGCTTGGCGTTTGCGGCGGCGGCGTCGGAGACGTGCATGTAGCGGGCGAGCGAGCGCGCCATCTGGTCCTCGGAGTAGGTACCTCGAAGCTCGCGCATCAGGGCGTCGACGTCCTCCTGGGCGAGGGGCTACTCCGGAGCCGGGAGGAAGAGCATGCGGCCGCAGCCAGGCGTGGGACAGGGATTCCCAAACTTAAGCCAAGCCGTCAGGTACTCGGTACCGTGGATATGGCCACAAGACTTGAGGCGGACCGCAGCATGAAGGCGACTGTGGTTGTTGTAACCGCCGTTGGTGTTTGCGGAAGGCTTGACGAGATCGAGGGGCTCCAGACAGATCTCGCAATCGCGGGAGACCTGGTAGGCGCTCGGATGAAGGTGATCCAGACCATGCGTTGCGAACTCGGCTTCAGTGTTGAAGACTGCCATTGTGTTTGGATTGATGACTGATTGGTGTAAATTCGTGAAGATATCTGGAATTTGACGAGTTTCTTTTGGGCTGGTTCGGTGTATTGATCGAGCGTATCGAGCGCGAAGTGGTGTGGAGATTATTCAGAATGCATCTGGGGAACACCGCGTTTTCATGAACTGTGGGTAGATCCAGAGAAAGCATGGGCCTAAAGATGTGGCGAGGTGAAAGAACAATGTAAGCTCACTATGAATATCTCAGGCCAAGTAGGCAAAAGTTTTGCATGGGTTGAAACTTGTGGAAAGGTATGCGCTCGCTCCCAGGGTTGACAGAAGTGAGATGGTTAGTAGTGTAGGCAAGCTAGTAGCTTTCGTATGTGAATCCAAAATTGCCGTCCTAGCAGCGAGGTTGTGCGTTAAATCGCTGCTCTGCAGGACGATGGTCATGTCGAAGCTGCGGGTTTTGCTTTGATACCTTGGGGAACGAACAAAATGTTGAAGCTGGCGTCCTGGCACAATGCTGGGATAGATTTTTGAAATCAACTCACTTGTATGAACGAACCCTTCAAGTCTCTATTTTTTTTTTTTTTACCGATTACAGTCGTATATTGTGCACCTTGCAACTTCTGCACAAACAAGCTTCCTTCTCACTACATTACAGCCTACCTTCTTGCAACCCTCGCTTCTGCCACGACTCTTACCGCAAGCCCCTACTTTTTCCTCCCCAACAATCCTGAACCACCCGCCTCCTAGCCGGGCCCTCTTATTGATATTCGGTCATGCAGACAGCTGTGTTCCTCCAGCGCCTACGACCGCTGAGCACTAGAACAGCGGAATTGCACTGGAGTCATACACCTCGCTCCAACCAGTAGCGCGTGCGGGTGTATCCTCCCACCTCCCCTTCTTCTTCTTCAGATCGAACAGCGTCATCCTGCACATGGGGCAGGAATTCGTCCGCTTGAACCATTCCAGCAAGCAACCCCGCCCAAAGATGTGGCCACAGGCCCTGATTTTGACTGGTGTATGGACGACTTCCATGCGGGTGACGCTAGGTTTGGAGCCACGTGAAGACGTCAACGTCTCGGTTTCCCAGGAACCTGACGAGATTAGCGATTGGTCCATGGTAGAGAAGGACGAGTGGCTTGCTATCTTCGTCTGCTATGATTGCGGCTGCTACAAGAGCGGAGCTGTTGTCGCAGTTGCGTTCTTTGCCCTTGAAGAACAGCCGGAGTCGTCTTCCAAGGCGCTGAGATCGAGATGGTAGAAACCGATGGTGGAACGGGCGAGCAGCCGATTTCAGCCTTCGAGAACTATCTTTCGTCTTCTTCAGATCCGGTCCGCACGTAATGTAGGGATCGTAACAAATATCGCACATTGTAAGCCCGTCAGGCGTTTCGCGTGTATGGTGGCACAGGCATTCAAGACCGCCCCGCCTCAGGAAGGTTGATTCGTTTCGGTAACGCATTTTGTGTCCCTCTGGATAGAACCGCAAAATGTATGAGGAATTATGGCAACGGTAGTATCTTGCAAGAATCTTGTCGCACGCGGGCCAAGCACGTGCCTCAACCAGTGTTGCCAAAACTGTGGTCTTTGGCCCGGAGCCCACACCACTACCCCTCGTTGCCCAACAGGTGAAATGGCACCACTCTCGCCGATAACCGCTAATTACCAATACAGCACGTTTTACAAGACGCGGCCAGAAGAATGAACCATATGGAGCGAGGAAAAGCGACTCATCTTCTGTGCATGTTGCCTGCGTGGAGACATACACTCCAGTACTGTCAGCCATCACGTTGCGTGTCGTTGGGGACAGGAAATGACTATACCCTTCAGCTAGTAGTGTGGAGTACCAATCCATTGATTCCTTTGCACCTTTCTCTTGGTCCTGGTCCCACCACATGCATCTAACATCCCAGTGATGCACCCTGCGCTGTCTCTCTTTCAGGCATCCACAACACCTGCGCCCCCATGCCTATCTGAAGCTTTGTTCCCTGTTGCATTGCTGCCTGCTGACACGACTAGTCTTACACGATTTATCAGGGCTGCTGTTGTGCCTGTATTCATTGAACCAACTAGCCGCTCGACTTCCTAGAAGCGGAGAAGGCGTGTCGTTGGAAAGAAGTAGCCGATCAAAGCAAATGCAACACAGCGAGGCACCTGCGTCGTGGGGTTTGATTCCGTCTTGGTAGAATCCTGTTTTCGTAGCGTGTGCAGCCACGTTGAGAATGAGACGGTCGCAGTACAAGGTTAGAACCTCGGGATGAAGCCCGCAGCGTTGGCGTTGATATGAGTGAAAGAAGAAGCATTCAGGTTTGATGTTTCGCTGTTTGTTGTGCAGCACTTACCCATGTAATGTAAGTTCAGCAATTGGCCATCGTGCGAACTTGTGATTTCCTCTGTTACGCTTACCACTGAGGAAGCTTATCGCATTTTATTCAAAAGAGATCTGCAAAATATCACATGGATGTCTATCGCTTAATGTTACATGAATAGAATATAAATCCATAGCCTCTGCAAGTCCGCTCCTAATCTCTCAAAGTCAACTCTTGTCTACCTCGACAACATCGCCACTCGGCGCACTCCCAGCCTCACTCATACAAAAACCTCTCGTGTCGTCCCATCCGCGGCGGCGTCTCTTCCATGACGTCCATCCTACCTTCTTCACCAAACCTCCACTCCACAGCCGCAAGCTCGCCTCTCATACCCTGCCTCTCCCTCTCTTCGGTCGCATTCTCCCGCTCGTCCATCACTTGCCTTCTGGTGGCCGCCCGAGCAACCTGAGTCCTTCGACTTGTCACGCCGCTCGCGCTGTCCAGCGTAGTCGAGGTGGACGGAAGACCTCGCTCAGACTGGCGGCTGAACGGCAGTGGGGCTGGAATTGGGGTGACTGCGCGTCTTGTGGGCTGACGTTGTGGACCGTCGGAGGGAGGGTCTTGGCGGGAACCGTAACGCGGAGTAATACGTGGGCCACGGATAGGATTCTGGTAAGTGGGAGGCGCGGGGCGGGAAGCAGTCCTTGGGACAGGGGTCAGCGTGTCAGATCCAGAGGGATCATCGTCAGACGAGAGAAGAGCAGGGTAGGGAGAGTGCATGTGCGGACGGTTCGACACGTCTCGCGGCCTCTGCACTTGTGGGATGCTGAAGCGTGCGGTGGCGGGTGTAGTTGACAGTTCACCGCCTCTCATAGCGACGTTCAAGCCAACATGGGAAAGTGGCGGCACGAGGCTTGCTCTTTGGCTAGACAAACGAAACGGTCGCATTCCCTGGGTTGAGGAAACCACGGGTGCGTTCTCGCTTGAGCGCTGGGTTGCTCTAACGGCAGGCACTGTTCTACGTGGGCCATGAGAGACTCTCACATGTAGAGTGGGGTCATCTGCCGCAGCAGGCACCGGGATTGGCGCATACTCCATGCGGGCACGGGGTCGATCACTGTTTCGACCGTGAGCGCTGTCATCGGATCCGTTCCATGAGCCGGCAGTACCGGAGTCCCTCCTTTGGCGATCAGTGGCCCGGGAGCCGTTGGTCACCTCCTCGACATGCCTAGGAAATGATACTCTTGGCTCTGCCGTGTGGGTCTGTGAGGAAGTGGCCTGGATTCTCGCCGAGATGCGTTCGAAGTAGGCATTTGCACGCTCCTGGATCAATTCGAGAGGCGAAGATAGATCACGTTGGACTGCTCTGGCAGCATCTTGGTCCCCTCCGACGAAGTCCGTAACGTTGATCAGCCCGCTGGGTGGTACCAATCGATATTGAGCATTTGGCATCCTACTGTATGGTCTCGTGGGCAAGGGTGATGGTCCATACTGACCGAAAGCAGCGAGATCGGGCGAAGGCGTACTTGGCCAGCGTGAGGGCGAAGCTGGCCGCAGATATGCTCCGCTCGCTGCTCGATCCTGAGGCAGACGAATCGAATAGTAAGCTCCACGACTCATCTCACGGCTGACCTGGCGAGAAGGCGCAGCACCGTCGTACTGCGATTGCGCTAGAAATTCCGCTTGAGAGTGAGTGCTGCTGGACTGCCTGGACGAATCCGGAAGTTCATAAAAGGAGTATGGCTGACTGGTAGTAGATGCTTCACTGCTGTGTCTACCGGACGTAGTTCGGATCGGATCTCTATATCCCATACCATCCGTCCCGAGCGGTGACCAATAGCGATCATTCGAAGACTCAGAGCTGCCTTGGGGACCATTGTTGTAATGGATGGAGTGAGGCTCGGGCGCTGGACTGTTCCAGAAGATGTCTCCTGCGGTTGACGATTCGGAGGTATCAGGACGCATCACACGAGGCTGATGCGAAGGTTCACTGCTTGAGGACATGGTCCGATTGCGTCTTACGGGCTGCGCAGTTCGTGGACGCGGCTCTGTTTGGGGCGCGCATTCTCTGAAGTTGTATCGCTGGTGAGAGTCCCAGTAGCCTCGTATAAATCGGGCGGGCGGGCTCGCCTCCAGAATTGGTTGTTCAGTTCCAGTTGTCTGTCCAGTACCGTTGCTGCGCCTTCTAGTCACCAACTCAAGCCAACTCTATACCGGGGATTTGGAGACTCACCCGGTGATTCTTTCCTCGGGCTGAGAGATGCCCTGTAGAGCGACCGGATGTTGAGTGCTGCGGTGATGAAACGAGTGGACTTGGTTCCTCATAGGAGTTTCAAGTAAGGCTGCATTGTCGATATGTCCATCCATCGACGTATGATGGCGCGGGAAAGGTGATTCTTCATTACCTAGCTCTGACGAATTCGTTCTCGCCCGCCCCGGTCTAGGTGGACTGGGATGTCCTTTGGATGGAGAGGGAGTTCCCTCGCTGGTGTCCCCTTGTGATGCAACAAGACTTGGATCTCGATCTTGATGAGCAGGTCTGAAAGGAAGTCGCAGTTCACTGTCGGAAAGTGGCACCGTGAGCCGCGCCGTTGCAGCATTTGGGTCCAGGGCCGCCTGGGCACCTAGAAAAGGAGAAGGCGGCAACCCACTTGACACAGCTTCGCTGCTCCGGGCGAGACGATGTCGAAGGTCTCCAGGATCACCGACGGACGAGTGCACGGCTCGCTGGGGTCTCAGGATCGGTATGTCACCGAGAGTGGTAATGGATTCATCGCGAGCTCGTACCGGCCCGCGCTTCAAGCGGGCTCGGAAGGTAGGTGGATAGGGGCTGTGAAAGCGCGCTGGTAGGGTTGCAGGGAGATTTGCAGCTTGCCTGCGTTCCATGCGTCGACGAGTCTCGTCGACATCGGCGGGCGTCAGGGTAAGTTCCGAAGCATTCAGTCGTATCATGGTGCGTGGTGTACTGGTAACCATTCAAAGCGTGGTATAGTGCAAGTGAGCCAAAAGAAGCCAAAAGGAGCGAACAGGCAGCCCGGTGAGCGCTCTCGGTGAGAGACGACAGATGGGAACAGACAGTGTACACACAAGGACCGAGGAAAGGGAAGCATGGCGGCTGGATACCTCCTGCCTGGACAAGTCATCGCGACTATCTACTTGGCCATAGGGTCGCTGCCAGTCAGTGAAGGCCAGCACGCACAGCCGGCACGACACGGCATGGCAAGCGTGCTCATGGACGGCGCTGCACGAAGACAACGCGGGTGGTACATGGGGCTGCTGGGTGCTCTCCGACGCTGCAGACGATGCACATGGGGAGAGGGAGAGGCAGCTTTCGTGGTCTCATGGCGCGGCCATGCCAGTCTGCGGCCGTCTTCCTGGCCAGAGCATGCACGGCGAGATATCGACTGTGCCCAGCCAGGCACGCGTCCTCGGGCCAGGGCGGCTCCGCCATGCATTCACAGTCGCACAGAGGCGGGCGGCGGGCCGTCGCACACGCAGGCGGGCGTCTGGGCGGTGGTGGTGCGAGGCGGCGGAGCGTCGTGGGCATGGCCATGGCCATGGGGCGGTCGGGGGCCACCGAGAATGTCGCGCTAGCGGCCAGCAGCACGCAGCCTCACCGCGTCCCGCTGCTGTCATCATCTCCCGACGACGCACCTGCCCTGGCCTTGCGGCGGCCCTCGCCATCACCACAGCTCGCACGCCCGCCCTCCGCACGCCGCCGCCTGCCCGCCCGCCTCCAGCGCCCGGCACCATGGACGTCGGAACCCTGGGCCGGCTCCAGATCGCCAACCCGGACGAGGACGCCCACCCGGCGTCGCCCTCGCCGCCGCCTGCGTCTGCGTCTGCACCCGCGCGACCAGAGCCTGCGCCCCAGCCAGACACGGCGGGCCGCCCGTCGTCGCCCTCGCAGGCCTCGACGACCAGCACCATCACCGACCGCCCGAAACCGCCCGCTCCCCCCCACCTGCTGCCCGCGCCCCAGCCGCCCACGGGCTCGCTGGGCTTCAACGCAGACAGCTTCACGACGGCCTCGCCCGCGTCCTCGCTCGGCGACCAGCCCTCGCCCCTGGCCCAGGCCGACTCGGCCTCGTCGGCCTCGTCGCAGCCCCCGACCCGCCTCGCCCACCGCCAGTCGATGCCCTTCGTGCCCCAGGCCCAGCAGCAGGCCTCGTACCCGCCCTACGCTGCGGGCCCCGTCGCACACCAGGCCCGCATTGGCCCCGCGCCGCCGCCCAGCATGGGCGCGCGGCCCATGTCCACCCAGATGTACATGCACCCCAACCTGTCCTCGAGCTCCGCCGCGAATCCCGGCACCTATCGCTACAACGACAGCGTCGCCACCGACATACGCCGGACCAGCAGCTCGAGGGTAGCTCCCAAGGGCATGCCCATGGGAATGCCCTCGCGCGAGCCCAGCAGGAGCAGCAGGGGCTATCCCCCGGAGATGGCGGCAGGAAACGGGCCCTTTCCGCCGCGCCGGAGCTCGCGCCGCATCCCCATGGACGGTGCCCATCCCTCGAGCGTGCCCGCGGCGAGCCATCTGTCCACGTCGCCCTACGGCTTGGAAGGCGGTCCCCTTCCCAGCAGCGAGGAGTGGAAAGAGAAAGGAGCAGCCACAGGCGTGAGGCAGGAGATGGACCAGAATGGCAGGCCCGTCACGAGAGTTGTCAAGAAGGGCGTCAAAGACTTCAACTTCGGCAGGACACTAGGGGAGGGCTCCTACAGCACTGTGCTAGCGGCCACGGACCGCCAGACGCTGCGAGAGTATGCCATAAAAGTCCTCGACAAGCGCCACATCATCAAGGAGAAGAAGGTCAAATACGTCAACATCGAAAAAGACACGCTGAACCGCTTGACCGAGCACCCAGGCATTGTCCGGCTCTACTACACCTTTCAAGACGAAACTTCGCTATACTTTGTGCTCGACCTCGCAGCTGGTGGAGAGCTGCTTGGATTCCTGAAGAAAATGTCCACATTCGACGTGGAATGCACCAGGTTCTACGGCGCTCAAATACTCGACGCAATCGACTACATGCACTCCCGGGGGGTGATCCACCGCGACCTGAAGCCCGAAAACGTCTTACTTGACGACCAGATGCATGTCAAGATCACAGATTTCGGCACAGCCAAGATACTCGACACGAAAAGATCCAACGGCACCGGCTCGACTGGTGCTGATCCGTTAGAGGGCATGGACTCGGACCGAGCGCAGTCGTTCGTTGGAACCGCCGAATACGTTTCACCAGAGTTGCTTACGGACAAGAACGCATGCAAAGCGAGTGACTTGTGGGCATTTGGATGCATAATATACCAGCTGCTGGCTGGTCGGCCACCCTTCAAGGCTGCTAATGAATACCAGACTTTCCAGAAGATTGTGGGACTCGAGTATACCTTTCCAGATGGTTTCCCGCCACTGGCGAAAGATTTGGTGGAAAGGCTGCTGGTCCTGGATCCTGTCACGCGTCTTCCCATTGAACACATAAAAACTCATGCCTTCTTTGACGGCATAAATTGGGGCAAAGGGCTGTGGAAACAGAAAGCCCCGCGACTAAAAGCCTATGTTCCGCCCGCTCACGAACCCATCAGGCTCAACGGTAATTACGGCCCGTATCCTTCATCCGAAGTTCTCGTCGGTAACACAGCAGCAGGTCCTGCAGCACCTCCTGCGTCTTCCGCAAACAATGTACGCGTGCCACCTAGGCTCATCACCGAGCTGCCTCCACCGAGCCAGCTTGATATTGACTGGTCACCCGTACTCACAAAACGAGACGAGCGGATATTGAAGCTCGGAAACTTGTTCGTCACCCACCATCCCGCAGGCCATCCTGTGGGTGCGGATGCCGCTGCCGCTCCCGAAACCCCCAAGAAGTTTTCGCGGTTCTTTGGCGGTAACACCGTCAAGAAGCGACAGAGATTGGTCATGATTACTTCGAACGCCCGAGTGCTTATGTGCGCTGCAGGCACTAATGACAAGAAGCTGAAAGAGGAGGTGTCAATATTAGCACCCGGCTGCTCTTGGAGAAGCTTCCAGGACTCGAAAGGCTTGACTGCATGGCTTGTTGAAACAGTACGTACTGCCTCCCTTTCGCTCCTCGTGACTAACGCCCCGGCAGCGAGACAAGCAGTACGTTTTCGAAGATCCAAAGAGCACTACGAGCGATCCCAACGGCAGCAAATATTATACGCAGGAGTGGCTCGACAGCATAGAACAAGCACGAGACTACGCTATATCGCAGAGCATGACCAATTCCTACTCGGGCGACTCGACACTGAATGATCTGAACTCTGCTCTTTCAAGCCCTACTAGTACGTTAGGTGGTGACTCTGCCCTTGAGGGAGTCAACATCCCAGCTACACGTATGCTTCGCAGAGAGCAGGCAGACTCTGACTCGCTCAAGGGCAGGAAGAGATTCAGCAAGCGCCACTCGAAAAATGGACTCGCAAACTTCTAAGGCGTGGATCGATGATCCTGGTCAGCGGTACCAACGGGCGGTCATTTTCTCAGCCACCGTGACACGGCATCTGTTTCTCGACGTTGTCATTTTTTCGGTTCCAGCCGGGCTCGATTTCGTTATACTCCGGCTTCTCATAGTATTGGCATCACAATCAACCATCCAGCGATCGGCGTTCGGGCGTCTGCTTTTTACCGCTTCTACAGATATGGTACGTTGTTGGTGTTGCGATGTTGTCCCGCGCATCATACACTCCCCTTTCCTATGTTCTTACTACCCTTTTTGAACACCCTTGGAGGAAAATCTTCTGGTTTAAACCTTGCATTTACCGGCTTCGGCTTTGGCTTCACGACTACTTTATTTCTTTGTTGGAAGAGGGAGGGCTGCCTACCTAGTCTTCTCACAGGCTCTTTCGGTAGCCCCTTCTGTTCTGGGCAGAGGCCTGATGTTGGCCTCGACGCTGTTTTCGCACGTCATTTTGACACGGAAGTTTGTCGCGACAAGTCGGCTTCTTTGGGCGTGCAGCGTGCGCCATATTTCGTGTATTTACTTGCTGAAAAGAGAAAGGGTGCCTTACATAGAGGTATGGCTTGGCTATCGAATAATAGGGGGCTTTCTGCATGGTCGGCTTTCAAGACACCAGGCTGCCCCGCAACACTTCAAATCAGAGCGTTCCGCGCATTTTACTTCGTCTAGCGCACTGCCCCCGGTGACTGTGGTTTCGCGACCAAGAAATGCACTGAGAAACCAACATGCTGGGTGATTTTGAGGCAATTTTGTCAACGACGTGTCTATGCTGTTCACCGTCTGCACTCGACCTATTGTAAAGCAGGGATGGCCAGCGCAGATGATCCTGCAACCTCCGCCTAACAACCACCGAGTCATCTCCAACTATCTGTGCAATGGCATAACGCTGACCGATGCAACAGCGATGCTTCAGATGCTCTTAGCAATGATGCCGTATCTCGTGATACAGTATGCTCGATGGATCTGGTCCACCCATGAAGTCGAGAGTCCCGTCGGGATGCATTAAGATCCGTGCACGTGTGTGTGTGCACGATTTACATTCTGTTCTCGAAAGGAGTGCATCACCATTGAAGAAGAGAGGACCGCGTTGCAGACACGATTCACCGTGCAATCTCTCATCCACATGGCAGCTCAGCCCTGCCAACGCGGTAAGATATATACTTGAAGAAGAGAAGAAAGCGAAAGATGACTCACTCGTCCCGTCCCCATCGATAGGACAAGTAGAAAAAGTATCAACACAAGAATCAGAATCAAAGCACAGTCACTTTTCCCCCTAGGCATTGCTCTGCCCCACCGTACCCTCTAGCCAAGTGATAAACTCCGAAAGCGTCCACTTCTTCTCCTCTGCAACGCGGGTCGTAGAGGGCGATGGGACCGCGGGGGATGGGACGGAGGGGACCTCATAGCCGCTTCCTGTACCGGGCGCGGCCGTCGCGGAGGGGATGGTAGGGTGAGGCTCCTCTGTGTTTGCGCCACCAGGGCCATTATCGTAGCCGCTACCAAGGTTCGCGGGGGCAGCACTGGGTGAAGGCGTCTGAGCGGCGGGCAATGACGACGCGTCAGCAGGGCTGGGAACGGAGCTCGCAGCCGGCGTCGAAATCCCCCCAGCAGACGAACTCCCAGTATCGTACCCGCCGCCCGCCCCAAACGTCGGCGCCGGCGCCAGAACAGCAGAGCTGCTGGCAGGGGTCGTCCCATTGGACGCACCGCCATCCAGCGCAATGATCTTCTTGGCCGCATGCTCAGCAGCCACCATGACGATGACATGCGTATTTCCCGACGGCAGATCTGCGTGCATCCCGGCGTCAACGACGAACAGGTTGTCCGTGCCGTACACCTTGCAATTTGTATCGACAACCGCAGTGCCGTTCTTCGACCCGTCGTCTGTGCCGATGATGGTCGTGCCGGTCATGTGGGTGCCTGGCGAGGGTGAGGTGCGCGCTACGATGGCGGTGCCCGTGTCGTTAACTGGGCCGGCGTATGAAAGGGTGCTGTTGGCGCGGCGGGAGAGGGTCAGCATCTCGTCGATGGCGAGGGCAAGCGCTTCCTTGTCGGTGGGAGATTGGAGATAGGGACTTTCGCTGAAGACGGTGTTGCCGTCGGTGGTCATGGTGAGACGGCCTGTGGATTGCGTGCCGTGCGTAAGTAAAAACATCATAGAAATGGTGTTGTTGGCTGTGGAGTAGCAGTGCGTCTGGACGACGAGTTTGCTGCCGTCGCTGGTGGTTATGGTTGTGAATGTGTTGAGGCGCATCTGTGGGTTGCCGACAAGAGGGCCGGCTGCCTGAGCGAAGAAGTCGATGTCGGTCTGGCCTGGATTGCTGAAAGCGGTGGCTGGCAGGATATTCATGCCGGCAGTGACGTTGAAGTTAATGCCGATGATGGAGTGGTCGCGGACAAAGCCGACTGGGGAGTTGATCCAGGCTTCCTTGGGGGGAAGGGTGATGGACTTGGTCTGCTTGGAGGCAACTTCAATCTGGTCAGCGGGACCGATACCAGAGTTAAATAGAATGCGCGGCGAGGACATCGAGCCAGCAGCAAGAATGACCTTGCCATTCGGTTTGACGTTGAAGATAGTGCGAGCACCGGAGTCAGTCTCAGTCTCGACCCCAGTGATAGTAGAGTTTGTGCGAATGGCACGGAGAACCTTGGTGTGGAGCTTCAGCGTGAAGTTGGGTTCAGACAGCGCCAGTGGAAGGTATTGGTTGACGGGGCCGGAGCGACGGCCATTGGCGATGTTCATGGCTGGGTATGAGTAGATCTGGAATTTCTCATCAGGCTCCTCGTTGGTGGAGACCGACTTCCACCCAGCCCTAGCGAGGAATTTGGAGAGAACATCGTAGACGGCATTGTCGTAGTACTTGCCATCTGAGGAAGGCTCAATAGTACCCGGGTTCCGTGCATAGAGACGGTCGGCAGCTTCGGAGACTCCGTCAGACCACCGCCAGCCTACAGGCCAGTTCTCGAAATCAAAGCTTGGAGGCTTGATGAAGGCCATACCGTTCACGGCTGTGCCTCCGCCCAGGATGCACCCAGCCATTCCAGCGGTGTCAGAGCAGTAACCCTTGTTACCAGGGTAAGCAGACAGTTGCATAAACATTCCTGGAACCTCGTAGACTGTAGTGGTGTCGTTCCAGGGCACTGTCAGAGTACCACCGGTAGAGTAGAAGGATGGGCCGCCACGCTCAAGCAGGAGCACTGACTTGCCCGTCTCGGTGAGACGCTGAGCAGTAACGATGCCACTAGCCCCGCCTCCGACCACGATATAGTCGTACGTCGTGTTGTGGGTTGTCACCGTACCATTGTAGGGCGTCGTGCCGTTGGTCGGCAGCGTTCCATTGCTCGGGTTGGAAGGCGCTGTAACATTGCTAGCTAGCGCAGCCCACGACGCAAACTTAGCAGACTTTGCATTAGCAATGTCGACCGCATAGAGACCAAAGGTGTCGTGTTGCTCAATAGAAGAGCTGGGGCTGGACGGGGCCGAGGGACCAGAGGTGGTGGCGATAGCCCACCCAAAGATACTCGTGTCGGCTGAGACGTTGAGCGACTTCACCGTGGCGTCTGTGGACATGCAGTTCTTGCAAAGAAAAGTATAGCTGAAGCCGGTCTCATTGGTGCTGGAGGCGATTGTCTGGAGGATCGGACCATCCACGATAGTGGGAAGGGCGTAGTTCGTTGCTGATCGCAAAGATGAAACTATGTCTCCGTTGTTGGGCCAAGCTACGAGGAGCAGGGAGTTCAACATAGATCCCGTGAACGAGACACCAGCCCATCCTGTCAAGGTGTTTGCAGAGAGCTGTCCGATGAAGTCTGTGGTGGGATTCACCTAAGATACCGATACAAAGTCAGTGTAAGTTAAGACATGGTGGTGGATGTCTCGGCGCGTTTGCTTCTGCAAGACACATCCACTTTGTACACGCTGGTTTGCTCACAGGGAGGGCAATGCCGAACGAGTAGTTGGCGACGCTCTTCTGCTGGAAGGTGATGCCCGTAGCCTCATCCGTGTAGCTAGTGGTGAGCTGAGCCTGGGTGCTAGCCAAGCTCGCTGCCAGAGCGAGCGACGAGAGGAAATGACGAAGTGCCATCTTGGGCAAAGGTAAAGAATGTATGGGGTGGGAAGAGAGAAAAGAGTGTGTGCACAAAGGCAAAGAACGTATGGGTGAGTTCAACTGCTACCGGACCCGCGATGGCTCTTTCACAAGATGCCTTCCTCTGTCCTTATATTCGGTCCTAAGATAGGCCTCGCGATCACGCATGCCTAAGCGTGTATCAGCTTCCGCTAAAGGTCCGTCGTGCAATTCAATTTCCCTTAGTCCACGCCCAGGAAGCCTATGCCTGCAAAGAGTACAAGCAATGCGAGCACGAACAAGACCAATGACGGAGACTGCCCGCCTTTGGCGTTCCTTCACAGCCCAGCATCGAAACGTGCCCGTGAAACGAATGTGGTCCGTCCGCCAATGAGAATGTGGGAAGCAGTCAGCCACAACGAAGTAATCCCTGCGGAGATCCTCCGCCAATTCATTTCCATTTCCATGCGTGATTGAAACAGCTCCACACAGATGCGCCCAGGATTCCAACGACTGGACGGCGGAGCGAGCCCGCGCTGGATAACAGTTTCCGGGGTTGGAGGCTGGCCAGCCACGCGGGAGGTAGATTGCATGGGATTCCGTCATGTCTCGTCTCAGTGACCGAGCGCCTTGACTCGTATGCTTTTGAGAAACAAAGATGCTAGAATTCTAGATGGGGGAAGGGTATCTTGGCGCTGAATGCAAAGTAACCGAAGGAGCTTTTCAAAGTTTCAAAGCGACTCCAACCAGGATCCAGCGGCCCAGGCGCTGGCGAATCCTAGCAAGGCTGCGGCCCCCACGATCTGTTTCGACCATCCGGACTCTGCATCAACCTTCACAGCCCCAGGCTTCTTTGTGCTCTGCTGTTGCTCCATTGCAACTGCCTCTTCTATTATGTGCTGCGCCTGCGGTCGCAGCTTGAGAGTCTCGTTGTGTTTCCGCTTGGCCTCCAGGATCATCCTGTCGATAGCTTCCAGCTCCTCGCGCCACTGCGTCTCGTTCTTTTGGCTCACCGCGTCAATCTCCACATTCTGCACATTTCCGAAGAAGTCCATAATCAACCTTGATCTGGCGCCAGCTTCGCCGCCAGCGAATAAATCGTACCGGATGCCAGGGTCGGAGTGCATGTCGGCTGGGTTGTAACTGTCAAAGAGTTCGCCCATGGTGACCTTGGAGGTTGGATCGCGAACATTTCTCTCGAGAAACTCGAGGTTGTAATATGTGTACCGGTCGATGACGGCAACGCCCACGTCGTTGTCTGCGTGGTGGGAGTACGAGGACTGGTCGATCTCGGAGGATCCGGTTGCGAGGATGTTCGGGGAATAGAACTTGGAGTACATGGTGTTGGCCTGGCAAGTGTCGATCATGAATAGCATCTCGTGGTAGCTGTTGGTCATCAGCATTGCCTACGTATGGCGCCTTGGCTGTGCTTACCGCTTCTTCTCCCACATCTGGCCAAACGCATCTGCGAGATCGTAGGCGGATATCTCTTCGGCGTCTTGGAACTTCAGGAACTCGTTTCCACCGTGGCCCGTCATATAGACCAAGATGTTGCTCCGCTCGTCTGTCATCAAGCGCTTGGACCGCGGCATGTCTTCCGACACTCTGTCCGTCATGAGTCGTATGAAGTTCTCGACCGTGACTTCGTATCCTCTGTAGTCGACCTCGATGTTGTCGCCGTACAGGTCGAGCGCGCGGTCGGCGTTGTTGTAGACGGTTCCTGGGAATGCATTGCGGGGGTTGCAGGCCATGTCGTCGGGCAGCATGAGTATGATCTGCGAGTCGGGTATTCCGAGACGCTTCACAGTACGATACAGCGAGAGCACATTGGCGAGATGTCTGTAGTTGAACCAGAAGCGGGACGTGCCGACGAGGACGGCCCAGTTGGATGTGTGTTCGGCGGCGGCGAGGGGCGCCAGCAGCAGAGGCGCGAGGGCAGCGGACAGCTTCATGGCGGCAGGAGCGCGCGACACTATCGCCGAGCCTATGCAGAATCGTGACTGTGTCGCAGCTTTTGAGGCGAGTCCGCGCGCCTCCCCCAACACACGCTGGAGATGCCGGGCTGCAGCTGACTAAACGAGACGTGAGCACCTCCGCCTTCCTCGGCAAAACGATGATGCGCATCGCGTCATCCAGCAGCCTCGAGCTGCTCCCGCGCGACCTGTCCACTGCTCGAGAATCATGTCGTTTTAGCGCTTGTTCGAGCCCCGCTACTTTTGCACCTTTCCGCCCTGCATTGTGCCCTGCCGCTTCACAGGATGGCTCCAGACCGGGGTGACTCCACGGACGTCGACTACAACCAGCGAGATCATGCACTACATGATGCCAATGATGCGCCGCAGTCTCGGCATGACTCGCGAGAGTCAAGAGAACGCAGGTTCCTTGCGGAGCGAGCCGACCAGCCCCAGAACTTCACCCTCCGAGGCGTCCTTTGTGGCTTGGCCATCGGCGTCGCCATATGCTTCAGTAACATGTACTTTGGTCTACAGACAGGATGGGTCACGGGCATGGCCATGCCGTCAGCTTTGATCGGGTTTGCCTACTTCAAGACCGTGTCCCGCATGCTCAAGTTCCCATTCACACCTGTCGAGAATGTACTGGTCCAGTCTGTTGCTGGCGCGGTGGGCACGATGCCGCTTGGGTGCGGCTTCGTCGGCGTAATTCCAGCTCTCAACTTCTTGTTGACCAAAGAGGAAAATGGACCTCTTGACATCAGTCTCTGGAGATTAGTCGTCTGGTCCTTGGGGATATGCTTTTTTGGCGTGGTGTTTGCTGTGCCTTTGCGCAAAGAGGTCATCATTCGCGAGAAACTAAAGTTTCCGAGCGGCACTGCCACAGCCCTGATGATCCAAGTCCTGCATGGCGACGAGAAACCCAAGGTCACCATGTCCCACCCCAGAGGCGAGGAAGAAGAGAGAGGAGAAGAACAACGCCTTCTGCAGTCTTCCGAGACAGAAGGCGAATACGCGCTTCGCCCATCCCACGAGCAGCAGATTGAAGGGCAAGGAAGCGATGCTTATGAGGACGGTGACTGGAGACGCAAGATCCGTCTGCTGCTTGTATCCTTTGCTGGCTCGGCTGCCTACACGATAATAACTTACTTCGTCCCACAGCTACATGAGGTCCCAGTCTTTGGGCTTACGTTAGCTAGCAAATGGCTATGGACGTTGAATCCTTCTCCAGCATACATAGGACAGGGCATCATTATGGGTCCCGCTACAACTCTCCATATGCTCCTGGGCGCCATAGTAGGCTGGGGCATACTGTCGCCGCTTGCAAAAAATCGTGGCTGGGCACCAGGACCTGTCTCGGACTGGACAAATGGATCCAAGGGATGGATCGTATGGATCTCGCTTGCAATCATGCTAGCAGATTCGTTGGTCAACCTTGGATGGCTCGCTATCCGACCTTTTCTTGCTATCGGCAGGTTATATTATCCTGCGGCCAAAGAAATATACGATACACACACCTGGAAACAACTTCTCGCCCTCGACATTACTCGTCAGCCTGCATACACTCAGCTCGGCGACGGTACTTCCGCAAATCCTATCACAGCTATCAAGCAGCATCTTTCTAAAGATAACGAGCCGGACGCACCGCCAGAACACCAGATTTCGAATCGCACAACTATCATTGGGCTCATTCTCTCGCTCGCCGCATGCATAGCTGGTGTACATATATCCTTCCCCAACCTCATCCCGCTCAGCCTTACGTTACTGGCACTCGTTTTAGCGCTCTTTCTTTCCATCATGGGCGTTCGCGCGTTAGGCGAGACGGACCTCAATCCGGTTTCTGGCATCTCGAAGCTTACACAGCTCATCTTCGCGCTCATTACGCCCACCACCGGACCGAACGCAAAGAATTCCGTCATCATCAACTTGCTCGCCGGTGCCATCTCCGAATCGGCGGCTCTCCAAGCAGGCGACTTGCTGCAGGATCTCAAATGCGGACATCTGCTAGGCGCCGCCCCTAACGCGCAGTTCTGGGGCCAAATGATCGGAAGCGCTGTCGGTGCAGTGATCTCTGCACTGGTATACAAGCTCTACACGCATGTGTACGCTGGCCAGATTCCGGGTGGTCTGTTTGAAGTTCCAACAGCGTACGTGTGGGTGTTCACTGCAAGACTGGTTACAGGCAAAGGCCTGCCACCAATGGTCCGCGAATGGGCGGCAGGCGCTGGAGTTATTTTTGCTCTAGGGACGATGTTGAGGGTCTACGGCCAGTTCAGAAAGAGGCAAGGTCTGGGAGCAAAGTGGATGGACTTCGTGCCGGGTGGTATCGCCTTTGCTATTGGTGAGTATTGGGCAGACTAAGTTGTGGTGTTCGAAACTAACGATGCGTAGGCATGTACAACACACCTTCGTTTACACTCGCACGTACTATTGGCGGCTTGATCAGCTTGTGGTGGAGGCGTTGGAAGGGCCGGAGTGAGACGCAGATCGTCGTGCTCGCTAGCGGTTTGATACTGGGCGAGGGGCTGTTCAGTATCGTGAATCTGGGATTGGCTAGCCTGAAGGTGCCGCATTTGTAGATGATATACTCGATCGAAAGTAACTTTTCAACAATACATCTGGCGGTTTTATACTAGCAGCCTTTGGAGTACATGTCCGGTGACCTTTGCTAAAATTTTATAACATTGCTTCTCTGTCCAAACGCAATATTGTGCGGCTGTCTCTCAGGCTAAGTTAAAACTTACGGATCCGGTGCAGGCGGGGCTTGGTGATGAGATATGGAAGCTTTTATTCTATATGAGGCTATACTAAAGACACCGAATCTTCTATACACATGCTATAAGCCAGGAGGACATGTATTAGTAACACGAAACACAACGCATAGTGGAATCATTAAACAGTATTTCGTGGTTTGAATTGCCGGGATTGGCGCGTGTAGTTTCTCTTGATCACTTAAATTGCTGCGGACAATCTGATCCTCTCTCTTAGCTTACTCTCGAATCCTGCGGCCAAACAACGCAGTGGCTTTCAAGCAATACGAGGTCGTTTGCATCAATGTTTGTGTGTGTTCCTTGTGCTTACATGCAAAGCAGAAGGGACCATCTCGTGTACCATAGCTGCTACCAAAATCGAGTCATATAATTATTATTTAAGAACTTCGAACATAATGCATACCACAGTGTCTGACAAATAACATAGAAAGATACACACTATAGGCGCGCCTCATCTCATCCCGACTCATCCTACTATACATTCATAGAATTGTATTACAATAAGGCAGCGTGGGTGTTCACAGTCGGGTGGATTGCCATTTTCGTCGACAACTATGTACTCTGGAGTAGCTTCTAAGATTATACGACCCGCAGTCTGTTGCCTTTACAGCTAGTATAGCCCGGCGTCTTAGAATGCGCACCGTTGCAGTCTACTTCACCCACCGGAGTATTACTTAATCCTATAAAGGTATTCCGAGGCCAATCGCAGAGGAAAGCATGACCTACAAGTGCTGGATACCACAACACAGAACAAAAAGGCGGTGGCCACGTACCCCATGTATGAATACAACCACTGAGGGCTGCACTGTGATTCGAACTGAGTTCTTCTAGCCTCCTACTCAATTCTCATAATAGGTACACGTACCCCAGGACCTCCTGCATTTATGCTACAGCCCAAAACAGAAATCTTGACCACTTGACCATGCAGCCGGTGAATTGCTTGATAGTAGAAGTCCTACCTGAAAGTATATGTACCTGCCTCTTACTTGAACAAGAAGTTGGAGACTCGCACAGTAACAGCAAACGGGGTTCCGCGAGTGGTATCTACGAAGCGGACCAAACGGTACACGCGTAAGGCAAGAGATGGGGGTCGACAGGGCCGAGGCTGCGTCACGGGCAAAGTGGCGAGCTCTGTTGCGGCGAGCTGCGTGAACAGATGATAGCTCTACGGAAGTCGAATGTGTGCAACGTGGATGTTACTAATTTGCATAGGCTGGACGCAGAAAGCCGAGGGTCCGGCTGGCAACAGGAGGCGAACCAGAGTGCTTCCGAGTCGAAAGTACAAATACATCAACAAAGGCAGACGGCATAGCGGAGGTCCCGGTCTTTCTTAAGCTTGTGAAGTGCAAAGTATCGTGTTTCCAAGTCTCAAAACGACTGAATCCCGCCTACTTTTCCAGTGACATATTCACCACGCACACCCACCCAACCACTCCTACGATGAAGTAAAGCAAAAAAAGAACCCCACTCTTAGATTGCATCTAGGGCGTAGACATGAGCAAAAAGAACCGTCCTGTCTGTCCCTCTTGGAACAGTGGGAAGCGCCGATACATCGTACAACGCTGCAGATACCCGTCAAACCGCGAAAAAAAGATCGGGCCCCACCGCGATTCGAACGCGGGGCCTCCTGCAGCTTAGGAATCTAAATCCCAAAGCAGGAATCATACCACTAGACCATGAGGCCGATACTGAACTTGTACAAGTTCATGTTGTTCGATAGAAGACTTGTTCTATGTAGCGTATATATAGCTATTCCTTTTATTTGCGGGATGGAAGCCGAGATGCAAAATAGATATGGGAGTTGCTATCGAAGAGTGCGGGATGACGTGGCGTTACCTGAGTGGAGTAAAGGGCCGAAATACGGCCGGGCGGGTCGAGCAGGCTGGGCACTGACTGGGCTCTGAATACCGCGTTCCTGCTCCTCGTTGTACTACAATATGTCTAGAGCCTACACAAGAACTCATATTACTGGTCTCCAGATCATACTGCGGCATGACGCTCTATCTTTTGCAAGTCGTGGTGATGGTGGTCCACCTTGCGCGGCCTTGGTTCGCGACATAAGCGAACGAACCCCAACAGTTCGGCCTGCGAATCGCCAGGTACAAAGCGAGCCTTCGGTGTTACCTTTGACGAGCAATTTCCACGGCTACGCGCTGTTGACCCCAGAATCTTACATTGTCATGTGCCTTGATCGTTGTAGGAATTTTGGACTAGTAGCTGACCAGGATACTCCCTGCGCGAGCGGTGCACGTATTTATCATAAAGAGAAGGCTTGCAGATTGATGTCGAGTAAGCAAAAACAATGATAGAGTTTCGGAATCATCTCTGCGTGGTCCGAAAAATGTGTGCTATGGCGAGGTGGACTTTGCAGCAGACGTTAGTAATTCACAGGGGCGGATACAGGAAGCTGGACTTGGGAGCACAAATTATGCAGGAACTCACTGTACAATACGACTATAGAACTATATTATGAGTCTGTCCCGACAGTTCATAGCCATGGCCCCAATCTTAACTATCAGCCACTGTGCATTAAATTCAAGTCACATCGAAAAGACTACGATCTGCTCGCAGATGAGTATCCTGTTTCCAGAACTCACAATAATAATTCGGCACAAAGCCAAGGACATTGCTCAGGCACATCAGCAGTGTGCCTATCTCCGTTGACGCACTACAGGTAGAAAGCTTTGACAAGTAAGTACAGGATCGGTTTTCGTTCTGGGATAACTTGCGCTACAACGCGTACCACCATCATATGTTAATCTAGCTAGACAACACACCACTGTCCGGAGAAACTCTGAGCTTCCCATGGGCCCTATGTCGCTCACGATATAGACACCGAGACTCTTAAAATCCAATCCACTCAGATAGCTCATTATCAGAACAGGTGATACATCAAATCAGTCATTTGTTCATGTTACGGGACGGTCTGGTGTCCAATACCAAGGACTCACGTATTACCATGGTTCCAAGTACATCGATGCGCGCATATGGAGAACAGGCAAATGATGATCACTTCGGATCTCGGATAGTCGCTTTCCGCGGGATTACCTTCCGCTTAAAGATGTAGGCAATTGTTGTCAAGATTTTCCTTATCTCATGAGTCTTCAACTCAGACTCGGCTCATCGGACGACACGATCGCAAAGTACTACCGTCGCCGAGTAGGCTTCTGATTTACAGTTTGGTTTTGTTTGCTTTGATTGATTAGCGTAGTAATTCATGTATTGCACAATGTAGGGAACTGTAGCCGACACCAAGATTCAATTTCACCGCAAATCAACTCCCTCATACATTCCAGCTCCCGTATATAAGAACAAATACTGAAGCATGGACTGTGTGAAATTTGCAAATATATGCTTGTGACTTCCAAGTTTACAAAACTATAGGAACACCTACAGATATTGGTTCAAGTGTACATGGCCGCTCTGGACTCGAATCGTGTTCAACCTTACTGTCCGAAGAATGACCACGGAGAAATGAACGCATATGTTTGTGAGCAGCCGACACATATTAAGTGAAATGCAAAATGATAAGAAACACATAGTCAAAAACGAGCGGGAGTCCTGAGGTCTCGGTGGAATTTGAAACAAGATGTGCATCCTGGGCTATCTAGGGTCCATATAACGTCCCCACCTCAACGTCCATAGAGACTGCATCCGTTGTGGCTTCAATTCGGCGCGTGCCAGACCTACGGTAACGGACCAGCTTTGGCCCGGCATCCGACACAACAGTATTGCTTTCAGACCAATTGCCGGCCAATAGCGCGAGAGAAGCTCCGAGAACATCCCGAGCGACGTCTCCAAATCCTGACGTATACAGCCATCAGATGACACCGTCTTGCGCGTAGTGCGTGTCGTGTCCGCCGCTGTGCGATCCACATATGCAAGCATCCAAGTCTGCACAGCAGTCGGTCGGGAAGAGTTGGAGCAATATGGCCCTTGCTTGTATTCTGGACAACCCTGTCCACATTATCGTAGAGAAAGTATAAATTGCTTGACTCCTTTAGACGTAAGGATAGGGACAGTCCGAAATTTCGCGTTCAGAGTATACCTAATCAGCACGTTACTGCCCCGTCACATTATGCATCTTTCGAATTTGATCCCCGACACGGTCGGAGGGTACATCCTTTCAGTTGTTCTAGCAGTGAGCAGTGCTCATCGAATTCATCTTTGACCTACTAAGCATCTATCTCAGAGCGTCACGTATCTCACCGTCATAATAGTGTACAGGCTCTACTTCCACCCACTCGCAAAGTTTCCTGGACCTACACTCGCTGCCACAAGTATTGTATGACATCTGAATCACGCCGCTCTCATGTGCTGACCATCTAAAGCTGTGGTATGTGTTCCACTGGACAAGTGGTGACTGGCCGTATGATCTAGCCAAAGCGCACCGGAAGTACGGAGATGTTGTTCGCACTGGGCCCAACGAACTTTCGTTCGCGTCAGCGGAGTCTTGGAAAGATATCTATGGTCATGCACGCAAGGGAAGACCGACGTTCCTCAAGTCAAACTTCTACGACAGCCAAGGGAGACCGCCAAGCATAGTCTCAGCCCGTGATCCAATCGAGCACAGCATGCAGCGGAAAGCACTCTCAGCAGCATTTAGTGCGAAGGCTCTCCGCGACCAAGAGCATGCTGTACACCAGTACGTCGACATGTTCATTGCGCAAATCGGAAAGCTTGGTGGCGGAGCCACCAAGGGTGTCAACATCCCTGAAGCTTTCAACTGGCTGACCTTTGACATCATCGGCGACCTCACGTTCGGCGAGTCGTTCAACGCCGTCAAAGACGGACGCACACACCCTTGGGTCTCGGTGATCGTCGAAACTCTCTTCTGGGGAAGCATTATGGATCTGCGCAGACGGGTCCCAATACTGAATCTCCTTCTTCCGTTCCTCGTCAACGGTGACCTTGCAAAGGGGTACGAGATGCATCACCAGCTCACCAAGGAAAAGACCAGGAAGAGAATCCAGCAGAAGGACACCGTGACTAGGGAAGACTTCTTCAGATCCATTCTTTCCAAAGGTGACTGGAGCCAAGGCAAGCTCGAGAGCAACGCTGAGCTGTTGATTGTTGCTGGGTCGGAGACCACGGCCACAACTCTGTCTGGCATAGCGTACTTCTTGTCTAAGCATCCCTACTGCATGTTGAAGCTACATGAGGAGCTTACAAGTGCTTTCAGTTCGTATGACGAGATAACTGGCGACGCAACAGCCAAACTTCCCTATCTCCACGCTGTCATTGAGGAGGGACTTCGAATGTACCCACCGGTAGCATTCGGACTCTCTCGAGTGTCCCCAAGCGCGATGGTCTCTGGTCACTATGTTCCTGCCGGCACACTTGTCTCAACGCAGAGCTGGTCCTCTAAGCACGACCCCAGGTACTGGCACAGGCCCGACGACTTCCTACCTGAACGCTGGATTGGAGACGGGTTCGGCGATCGAAAGGACGCCTTCAACCCGTTTTCGCTGGGTCCGAGAGCTTGCCTCGGTATCAACTTGGCGTATCTAGAGTTAAGGATCATACTAGCCAAGATGGTATGGGCATACGAGTGGGAGATGGTGGACAAGGATGTTGACTGGGTTCGAGACAATAAGATGTATTTGCTATGGAAGAAGCCTGAGATGAAGATGCGTTTCCATCCTCGCGCGGAAACTAAAGCATAAGGGTGGACGTAAAGCTCGAAGCGGATGACTTTATCATTAGTTGTGATGATATCGTTGACTGATGCAAGAAACGATGGAAGCATTGCTGTTTTGCGTTTGAGGTCAGCATGCGACTAGTCTAAAATGGCATCACCGTAGTTTACAGTAGCTGTCAGTGCGCCGTGTTAGTAATATACGCCACTTTTACAAGGAAAGGTGGCGTATTTTAAAAAGTGGCGTATATTACTAACACGGCGCACTGACAGCTAAACTACGGTAGCCTTCTCAAGAGGTCGCACTTGTCTCGCAGGCAGCAGTCAATCCGACACAGACGCGATCTACGTCAATTCAAGAGCTGCCTTCAATAACCATTTTCTGAATCGCTGCATCGCTTGTTTTGCGATCAATCAGAAGGCGACAATTTTACGGTTCAGCAAAAACAGGTCATCAATTAACAATGGTCCCCACCATCAGCTCCTTGCCGGACGAGCTGCTGACTACCATTATTGAATCTGCAGTCTTCGAGGCCATCTCTATAGACCGCGAAACTTGTTCAGAATGTGCGGTTATCCCAAACAACATCGTTGTGAAGACTCTGTCACTGGTGTCCCACCGGTTTTGCAGAATTGCGCAGCCACTTCTCTTTTATGCTCCACGCGCGCGACACGACGGTAGTGACCTCACCTATTCACTGAATTCCATGGCAAAGCTTCGGGATACGCTCGAATCCCGAAAAGCGCTGTGTTCGCGGGTTAGAGTGCTAAACATTCATCTTACTCCCTATACCTCTCACGAAGATATGGAAGCCGCCGAACATATTCTTAGACGGCTTGCTAGACCAAACTGCTTGAAGCTAGAAGCTGGAAATTGGTCGCACACACCTCGAGGGCGCTCGCTAAGGGTGGCAGTCATCGTTGCTGCCAGTCAATGCTTGACTAGTGTGAGGCATGTTTACGTAGGAGGACAGTCTGCGAGTCTTTCTCAAATACTCGAAAGCAAGTGGAACACCCTGGCACGACTGGATTTGAGACACGTGGGAGTATTGACATTTTTAAAAGATAAGGCAGTTGTACGTATTTTCGGTTCATCACGTGGCGCTGTTCTCTAACAAGGCTTCGGACAGGTATTCGATAGTGCATCTTTCACGGCACTTTCTGTGAGGGAAACAATGCTTCTACCTTGTGCTCTTGAGGCCATCGTGAGATGGCCCAGAAAGCTCGAACACTTCACTTTCATCAAATTGAAAGGTTGCACAGCGGCCCTGGACTGGAATAACATCCTGCTGCCCATAATTAAGCATCATTCCTCAACGCTACGTACCATCGAAATTTGCTGCGGGATCGACAACACAAACAAGGATCCCTCATTCGACGCCAACCTTTTTCCAAACCTGACGCACTTGCGTCTCCGGTGCTGCGAGGCTATCAACGTCCTAGGCCCCAGCGTGACACATTTCACCTGGGATCTTCCAAAGAAGAATTCTTACTCAAGCACTGGCGAAATCATACCCGACGACCGGGAGGACTGGTCTCAGTTCGGCGAGCGGCATGAAGCACGTCTGCGTGGCATTGCCACCGCAGCCGTGGCTCAAGACGCCGCTCTTCGGGCAATACATATTGAATTCCATCCGGTCAACGATGGGCGCGAGGGACCAAATCCATGGAACCACTACAATACCTTTTCGGCGTGGTATCCGTGGGAGTTGATGGATCGTGTCAGGGACGAAGTGCTTAGACCCAGTGGGAGGGAGCTCACGTACTCCGAGCCGCCGTTCGAGACGAAAGAGGCGTGGCAGAGGGACTTCTCGGCGGCGGTGAAGCAGCGAGAGAATTCTCTCAAGCGTGAGATCGCGGAAGCCCAGGCTCAGGAGCGCGAGCGGCGAGCTCGTGGATTGTAGTTGGCGATTTTACAAACTTGTTTCAGTATTACGAAGACTTTATTATGTTCCAGGTGTACAGTGGCTAACACAAAAAGGGAAATGTCGGCGCATCCTGTAGTAGTAACTCACTCTATGTCGCGCTCGGGATATACCTAGTCTTGTAGTGACACACCCTACCTTACGCTTGTAGAGCTTTAACCTTGCAGCCTATCATCAAAGCACATACATGTGGAGGCGCGCTATATCAGTAGACCTCGATCTTCCGCAGATTTGACTGCAGGCGCTGTTGATTCAGACGGAGAGTATTGTTGGCTGAACGAAGATGCTGTTGCTCTTTGAAGGCATTTGGTGTAGGCGGAGAGTTCTCCAAGGAATCAACCTTTTTCAAGGAGAGCTCTCCGCTTTGACTTGACCGAGGATGACCGGCGTGGAGCCGCTCATTGGAGCCGCTTCTACCTTTACGGCTGACCGACCGAGACCGAATGTCCTGGCCTCGTATATGTCTGCCGCCGAATACATGTCTGTAATAAACTATCTATGTTGCCGTTATATTCGTAACCAATGAAGCAAACTACTGGCCTGTCTGTCCCGGGTCTGTGAATGCTTCCGCGCTTTGCCACATCCCAAAAGCAAATGTGTTGACAAATTTGACCAACTAACTGACCGGCCCAGGGAATCTCTGCAGCTGCGTACGAAGTTCTTTACTATCCTACTGGAGTGTTGCACCTTGTCAAGCACTTCTGGTGTTGTCAGCGACTTCATCAACGTACTGAATTTCTTCAATGCATCAACTACATCCTCTCTTGTGGTCTCGGACCGCGTAGTGGCCTCTTCCTTCCTCCTCCTCCTCCTCCTCCTCCTCCTCTTCTTCTTCTTCT